ACCTTGCGACATGTCGATAACACCAAAAAGAAGCTCTGTCGAAATTTGATGCAAATCGGACGAGAAATGGCGAAGTTATGACATGGCGACGAAATTTGGCGAAAACAACGTGGTCGCGGCGGGTGTGACCTTGCGACATGTCGATAACACCAAAAAGAAGCCTCTGTCGAAATTTGATGCAAATCGGACGAGAAATGGCGAAGTTATGACATGGCGACGAAATTTGGCGAAAACAAGGTGGTGGCGGCGGGTGTGACCTTGCGACATGTCGATAACACCAAAAAGAAGCCTCTGTCGAAATTTGATGCAAATCGGACGAGAAATGGCGAAGTTATGACATGGCGACGAAATTTGGCGAAAACAAGGTGGTGGCGGCGGGTGTGACCTTGCGACATGTCGATAACACCAAAAAGAAGTCTCTGTCGAAATTTGATGCAATCGGACGAGAAATGACGAAGTTATGACATGGCGACGAAATTTGGCGAAAACAAGGTGGTGGCGGCGGGTGTGACCTTGCGACATGTCGATAACACCAAAAAGAAGTCTCTGTCGAAATTTGATGCAATCGGACGAGAAATGACGAAGTTATGACATGGCGACGAAATTTGGCGAAAACAAGTGGTGGCGGCGGGTGTGACCTTGCGACATGTCGATAACACCAAAAAGAAGCTCTGTCGAAATTTGATGCAATCGGACGAGAAATGACGAAGTTATGACATGGCGACGAAATTTGGCGAAAACAAGTGGTGCGGCGGGTGTGACCTTGCGACATGTCGATAACACAAAAAGAAGCTCTGTCGAAATTGATGCAAATCGGCGAGAAAGACGAAGTTATGACATGGCGACGAAATTTGGCGAAAACAGTGGTGCGGCGGGTGTGACCTTGCGACATGTCGATAACAGCAAAAAGAAGTCTCTGTCGAATTTGATGGAAATCGGACGAGAAATGGCGAAGTTATGACATGGCGACGAAATTTGGCGAAAACAACGTGGTCGCGGCGGGTGTGACCTTGCGACATGTCGATAACACCAAAAAGAAGTCTCTGTCGAAATTTGATGCGAATCGGACGAGAAATGACGAAGTTATGACATGGCGACGAAATTTGGCGAAAACAACGTGGTCGCGGCGGGTGTGACCTTGCGACATGTCGATAACACCAAAAAGAAGTCTCTGTCGAAGTTTGATGCAAATCGGACGAGAAATGGCGAAGTTATGACATGGCGACGAAATTTGCCGAAAACAAGGTGGTGGCGGCGGGTGTGACCTTGCGACATGTCGATAACACCAAAAAGAAGTCTCTGTCGAAATTTGATGCCAATCGGACGAGAAATGACGAAGTTATGACATGGCGACGAAATTTGGCGAAAACAACGTGGTCGCGGCGGGTGTGACCTTGCGACATGTCGATAACACCAAAAAGAAGTCTCTGTCGAAATTTGATGCGAATCGGACGAGAAATGACGAAGTTATGACATGGCGACGAAATTTGGCGAAAACAACGTGGTCGCGGCGGGTGTGACCTTGCGACATGTCGGTAACACCAAAAAGAAGCCTCTGTCGAAATTTGATGCAAATCGGACGAGAAATGACGAAGTTATGACATGGCGACGAAATTTGGCGAAAACATGGTGGTGGCGGCGGGTGTGACCTTGCGACATGTCGATAACACCAAAAAGAAGTCTCTGTCGAAGTTTGATGCAAATCGGACGAGAAATGGCGAAGTTATGACATGGCGACGAAATTTGGCGAAAACAAGGTGGTGGCGGCGGGTGTGACCTTGCGACATGTCGATAACACCAAAAAGAAGTCTCTGTCGAAATTTGATGCGAATCGGACGAGAAATGACGAAGTTATGACATGGCGACGAAATTTGGCGAAAACAACGTGGTCGCGGCGGGTGTGACCTTGCGACATGTCGATAACACCAAAAAGAAGTCTCTGTCGAAATTTGATGCGAATCGGACGAGAAATGACGAAGTTATGACATGGCGACGAAATTTGGCGAAAACAACGTGGTCGCGGCGGGTGTGACCTTGCGACATGTCGGTAACACCAAAAAGAAGCCTCTGTCGAAATTTGATGCAAATCGGACGAGAAATGACGAAGTTATGACATGGCGACGAAATTTGGCGAAAACATGGTGGTGGCGGCGGGTGTGACCTTGCGACATGTCGATAACAGCAAAAAGAAGTCTCTGTCGAAGTTTGATGGAAATCGGACGAGAAATGGCGAAGTTATGACATGGCGACGAAATTTGGCGAAAACAAGGTGGTGGCGGCGGGTGTGACCTTGCGACATGTCGATAACAGCAAAAAGAAGTCTCTGTCGAAGTTTGATGGAAATCGGACGAGAAATGGCGAAGTTATGACATGGCGACGAAATTTGGCGAAAACAAGGTGGTGGCGGCGGGTGTGACCTTGCGACATGTCGATAACACCAAAAAGAAGTCTCTGTCGAAATTTGATGCCAATCGGACGAGAAATGACGAAGTTATGACATGGCGACGAAATTTGGCGAAAACAAGGTGGTGGCGGCGGGTGTGACCTTGCGACATGTCGATAACACCAAAAAGAAGTCTCTGTCGAAATTTGATGCGAATCGGACGAGAAATGACGAAGTTATGACATGGCGACGAAATTTGGCGAAAACAACGTGGTCGCGGCGGGTGTGACCTTGCGACATGTCGATAACACCAAAAAGAAGCCTCTGTCGAAATTTGATGCAAATCGGGCGAGAAAAGACGAAGTTATGACATGGCGACGAAATTTGGCGAAAACATGGTGGTGGCGGCGGGTGTGACCTTGCGACATGTCGATAACAGCAAAAAGAAGTCTCTGTCGAAGTTTGATGGAAATCGGACGAGAAATGGCGAAGTTATGACATGGCGACGAAATTTGGCGAAAACAACGTGGTCGCGGCGGGTGTGACCTTGCGACATGTCGATAACACCAAAAAGAAGTCTCTGTCGAAATTTGATGCGAATCGGACGAGAAATGACGAAGTTATGACATGGCGACGAAATTTGGCGAAAACAACGTGGTCGCGGCGGGTGTGACCTTGCGACATGTCGATAACACCAAAAAGAAGTCTCTGTCGAAGTTTGATGCAAATCGGACGAGAAATGGCGAAGTTATGACATGGCGACGAAATTTGGCGAAAACAAGGTGGTGGCGGCGGGTGTGACCTTGCGACATGTCGATAACACCAAAAAGAAGTCTCTGTCGAAATTTGATGCCAATCGGACGAGAAATGACGAAGTTATGACATGGCGACGAAATTTGGCGAAAACAACGTGGTCGCGGCGGGTGTGACCTTGCGACATGTCGATAACACCAAAAAGAAGTCTCTGTCGAAATTTGATGCGAATCGGACGAGAAATGACGAAGTTATGACATGGCGACGAAATTTGGCGAAAACAACGTGGTCGCGGCGGGTGTGACCTTGCGACATGTCGGTAACACCAAAAAGAAGCCTCTGTCGAAATTTGATGCAAATCGGACGAGAAATGACGAAGTTATGACATGGCGACGAAATTTGGCGAAAACATGGTGGTGGCGGCGGGTGTGACCTTGCGACATGTCGATAACACCAAAAAGAAGTCTCTGTCGAAGTTTGATGCAAATCGGACGAGAAATGGCGAAGTTATGACATGGCGACGAAATTTGGCGAAAACAAGGTGGTGGCGGCGGGTGTGACCTTGCGACATGTCGATAACACCAAAAAGAAGTCTCTGTCGAAATTTGATGCGAATCGGACGAGAAATGACGAAGTTATGACATGGCGACGAAATTTGGCGAAAACAACGTGGTCGCGGCGGGTGTGACCTTGCGACATGTCGATAACACCAAAAAGAAGTCTCTGTCGAAATTTGATGCGAATCGGACGAGAAATGACGAAGTTATGACATGGCGACGAAATTTGGCGAAAACAACGTGGTCGCGGCGGGTGTGACCTTGCGACATGTCGGTAACACCAAAAAGAAGCCTCTGTCGAAATTTGATGCAAATCGGACGAGAAATGACGAAGTTATGACATGGCGACGAAATTTGGCGAAAACATGGTGGTGGCGGCGGGTGTGACCTTGCGACATGTCGATAACAGCAAAAAGAAGTCTCTGTCGAAGTTTGATGGAAATCGGACGAGAAATGGCGAAGTTATGACATGGCGACGAAATTTGGCGAAAACAAGGTGGTGGCGGCGGGTGTGACCTTGCGACATGTCGATAACACCAAAAAGAAGTCTCTGTCGAAATTTGATGCGAATCGGACGAGAAATGACGAAGTTATGACATGGCGACGAAATTTGGCGAAAACAACGTGGTCGCGGCGGGTGTGACCTTGCGACATGTCGATAACACCAAAAAGAAGCCTCTGTCGAAATTTGATGCAAATCGGACGAGAAATGACGAAGTTATGACATGGCGACGAAATTTGGCGAAAACAAGGTGGTGGCGGCGGGTGTGACCTTGCGACATGTCGATAACAGCAAAAAGAAGTCTCTGTCGAAGTTTGATGGAAATCGGACGAGAAATGGCGAAGTTATGACATGGCGACGAAATTTGGCGAAAACAAGGTGGTGGCGGCGGGTGTGACCTTGCGACATGTCGATAACACCAATAAGAAGCATTTTGCCAAATGTCATGCAAATCGGCCGAAAAATGGCGAAGTTATGGCATGGCGACAAAGGTTGTCGCCATGCCTTCCCTTTACAAATGGGGGGAGCTGTTAGCCGCCCCAAGAAGGGCGTTTCCAGAGCACACGACGAGGACGTCGCTCCCTCGTGCTCCACGCGGGTCGGCCCCCACTTGCGCCCGGAGGCGCAAGGGGGGTCTACCTCCACCGACCGGGAAAGCCCTGCCCACGTCACCGCCTCTGCAACCGCGTTCCCCTAGGGGGCCCGTCTGACGCTCGCCTTACGAGGTGGGAGCGCACCCGTAAATCGGCCCCCATTAAGGCTTCGAACTCGGGAACCCGGCCAGCCCCAAGGGGAGTGCACGCTAAAGAGCGCGGTCACCCAAGAGTTGGAGGTAGAGAGCCCCTCTCACTTGCCAAGCGCCACCCGCACTTTTGGCAAGCCCCGCCGGCTCCCCACCCGGTGAGCCTGCTTGGTGGGAGGAGCATTGGAGGGGGGACCTTCCCGTAAGGCTCTCCCCTTGCAGCGTTGCTCCCCCGGACCACCCCTCCGACGGGAAGAGAGTCGGGGCTGTGGGACAAACCACGGGTGGACCCGACTCCCCAGAGAGGCAGGGCGGTCCAGGGGCGCAGCTGCAATGGGGAGCTCACCCAGGGACACGTCCCCCACAAGCGCCTCCCGCAGACTAAAAAAATTGCGGAACGGAACTTGTACTAGGCAACTTTGTCCCCCTAACCACTAAATGTGGCCACTTTTGCAAGAAAATAGTTCAATGACCGGACTTGAAACTGGTCAAATCAGCCTATTTTTTGGTAGTAGGGCAGTATGATCTTGCATTTAGTGCATTAAAAGTTTCAAAAAGGTCAGTGGGGGTTTTCAAAAGGAGAGGTGGCTTATAGCTGATATGCCAATATCTACATGTCCACATGTTCCGTGTTTACAATTGTTACAAATAATTCAATTAATTTTTTCAATGTTGTTGGAAGTGGGAAAATATCGATTCTTATAGTTTTTTGGTCGCTGATTTCGAATCTGAAGTCAGTTTTTCGATTGCGACATCATGGGAAGGAGGATATGGACGAGAAGTTTTCCTAAAATTTCGCACTAAATTAGGTGCATATATTATTTCTTTTGTCATGTCATATAATCCAATTTAAAACATTCTGGATCAGTGTGAAGGGCCAATCGACGGGCGTATACACTATACTTGAAGTGAGTTAGTTATGTGCTGTGCGAATGGAGCTAAACTCACGAGAAACCCTAGTCTCAGCACAAGGTACTTCAGGAGGCCGTAGGTTTAAGCTCCACCCGCACAGTACATAACTCGTTCACTTTATGTATAGTAACGATATAATCTGACGTAAATCTAAGATTCCCCCGCATGACATAAAGGAACACAAAGAACATACTGTACTGTACTATTTTTGATTCACCGACAAAATTCATATAATTCTACAGTATTTGTCAATCTTCCCGTCACAATATGAGGCTTATTTTTACAAAATGAACGAACCATCAGCAAATGGTATCTATTTATTATTGCGTTTCATTGATTTGATCATAACTTGTTTTAAATACTGTTGAATGAAACCAGCAAGCTTCACTGCAGGGCGGCCATGAAGGAGCACCGTTCGTTTCCTGGATAAGATCGATACAACAATTGACTAGGTACAAAAAATTATTTAAATATTGCATATGCGAAATAATACAGTTTGCACATTTTTAATTGTTTGAACACTAAATCTTAAATGCTTTAGAAAAAAACACTTCGTTCATCTTTATTATTCATTATAAATTATAATCATTACGTGTTGGTTAACTTTAATTACATTACACCATCATCATATCCGACAACAGGTGACTTGGTTGTCCAGATACTCACAATGGAGAACTCGGAGAACACGTCAATGGAGGAAGATGGCCAACTTGTTCTTTACTCTGGTTCTTCAGGATTAGACCCAAGTCCAAGTTCCAATAATTCCAATTCTAATGAGACGATGAGCAATGATAGCCCAGATTTTGAAACGGAAATGGACGGAGATAACGCTGGGGAAGAGGACGATGATAACGAAGAAGATGGTAATGATGATGAGGTGGAGGAAGAAGAGGAACGAGTCGAATATTCAGGATCTGTTGAGTAAGTCGTTTCAATATTATGTAGGGGAATGTACATACGCTCTATACAATACAAAATCTGTACAGGTTAAGTGCAGAAAGTATCCAGGCCATGGCACAAAGTATTGGCGTAAATTTGTCTGAAGAGGTTTCAATAGCTCTTGGAGATCTCGCATTGAAAAAACTAAGGGCTGCAACATTGGTACTTGTTTAATATTAAGTTTATTGATATATGAATGAATATGCAAGTTACATATCAGAATGGTTTGAATATATTTATCAGCTTGCTATTGGATTTGCGGACCATGAAACTGCTCCAGGTCTAAGGTTTGAGTGATTTTTGTTGTTTATTATCCAATTAATTTATTCAAAATCTGATAACATATTTACAATAATTTGAGAAATTCATTTGAAATTTATATTGAATTAATTAATTTCCATATTCAATTATTTGACAATTATACACCAAACTTATGTGCTGTGAAATGCGAATATGTCAGGCATAACGAGCTTTGTAAAGAAGCAAGCTTGATTAATAAATATTATTATTATTATTATTCTTCTCTTTTGAACAATTCAGAACATCGGACTTTTCCAAGGCCGAGCAAGTTTATCAATCACCCAGTTTCGGTCACCGATCCTCTCAAGCCGAACCACCAGTTCGACCAATTGACCCAGGAAACTTTTGCATTGCAGACGAAGGACCAGAAATCGACTTGTATACAACACTATCCTCCCCAAATATATCAGAATTCATAATGCGGAGATTGGATCCCGAATTTTACGTTCATCAAGCTGTTGTAAATAGCAGATTCGCTGTTCTTAGCTCTTCTGATGATGACGAAGAAGAGGAAGGGGAGGAAGAAGGAGTGGAGGATGAGGATGAAGAAGAGAACGACGACGACGACGACGACGAGGACAACGATGAGGAAGAAGAGGATACAGAGTTCGAGGAACAAGTTTTACCCAAACTGGATTTAGAAGATATCAACGACCATGGTGAAATAAGCAAAAATGTTGACAGTGATGCTGGAAACGCTTCAGGATCGCCCTCAAACAATACCATGGATGCTGCAATTGTCGTTGGAAACGGTCCAACGTTGAATTCACCTCCCGAAGTAACTGCTGATGAAGGGTTGCAACTGTTGCAAGAGAACGAACAATTAGCATTGGAGGCGTCCTCCAATGCCAAAGTTTTTTTAGATACACAATACATGCAATTGGACGAAGATTGGTTAGAATATATGCGCGTGTTTGTTAGTTGTTTTCTGGACACTAAACATGTTGAATTGCCGACGGTGACGGATGACGATGCCCTAGTAGATGAAAACCAGGATGTTGATTTAGACAATGAAAATACATTTCAATGTATCATAGAAGATTTAACTAGTAACTCTGCATTTCCGGTCGCAGACGTGATTTGCGATTTCTTCTGTGATCACCTCAATGGTCTCTTTACACAAGTGTCTTCAACTGCCTTGCATAGGATGGTCACCGTTGTGGATGCATTTTTATGCGGTTCGCGTATCCCCTCAACGACTTTTGTAAAGAATATAAAGTTCAAAACTTTAATACCAATTATAGTATTAATTATTGTTATGTGATTATACTTTACTAGATGAGGAAAATGTCGTCAGTTTTAATCGAAATATTGGTTCGTCCCCCTGAATATGACGTTCAACCTATGCTTGTTCAAGTTTTTATGAAGGTAGTAAAAACTAATTACAGTAAATTTATGAGTATAGAAAATACTTGAAAATATGACAATGCATCTTGCTTAACTTGTGTTAGATTCTGAAGAACTACGACGAACTTCTTACATGGACATGCACATATATCACGGAAGTACTGAAAAGAACCTCGGAAATGGCTGTCGAACTTTTAAGCAACGAGTACAAGTGTCTTCTTCATGGTGCGCTACTATTGGCAAACGGATTGGAGGTGTTGGATATCAAAATAGCGCATGAGTTTGGCTGGGACTCTAGTATCACGGACATTAAGCGAGTTCATTTTAACGTTAAAAAAGAAAACATTGAATTGTCAAACGCTATTGATGAATATTTGGAGGAAGAGTTTAACGTGAGTAAACTTAACCTAACTGTTACAAAGATGCACTTTAATGTGATACCAGACACCAAATAAACATTATTTTAGTGAAATGTTTCTCTAATTTTCAGAAATTTGAAAAATCTAATAACAATGGGAGCTGACGGCGACAGAGTTAGACATGGAGTCTATGGAGTTCTGTGTTATTTTTTAATCGATAACAATTTACTATGATTTTTAAAATAATTTATATTAACCTATGCAAAATTTGTATCTACATGCATTCTATAATTAGAAATATTTTCTACGACTGCATGGTGAAGGCTTACATGTTGTGTATTTATTGCATACCATAATGCGCGACTTGATAAAATAACAATATATTAAAGAATATTAGTGGGTCAATTAGATATGTGTCAACAAATTATTATGAGTGAACATATTATCAATAATGTAGAACTCGGTCACAATTATACATGCTAATACACTAAAAGTGTAGCTATTTTCACTTATCGTCAGGCTTAATTTAAACGGCCGTGGCATCAATGCTCTTCTTCCTCTCTGCATTTGGAGGCGACGCCAGTGTCTCTACGTCACCTTCTTCGTTTATGACGACCACAGAATTTCTCTTGATTTTTGCCAAAATATGTGGAATTTTGCTTTTGGCTTTAAATCCATGCAAGTGTGATGTGGGTGTGGGCGTTTCGGGTTCCTCGGTTGAGTCTGTCCTCTCAATAATTGGAATGTCATCTGAAATAATTTAGGGGGAGTGTCAGTTTCAAGTCTTTGACGCGTCTACTACTACTACTACTACTATTACCTTAAATACTTAAAAGCAAATGTAAATAGAGATGAAAAGTATGCAAGGTTTAGTCAAGTTTCACTTGCTATAGCTCAGATGAACGTTTAGTCAAAATTAACGTCATAATATGCAAAACATAAGATACACGAACATGGATATTATAAGGTAATATAACAACAACATTGTGCCTTAGTGGCACTCTGGACTTGCACATTTTTATGAGATACATACCCAGTTCAAAATTTTCAAGACAAATCGATAGGAAAGAGTGAAAGTCGAGTTGATTAAATTAATTCAGAGGGATTAATGTAATTATACAGTTGTGTAGTCCTTCCAAGGAGTGGTGCAGTGCCACGCACAACAAGATCATTCATGCACAGTTCAGAAATCAGATGTCATGCACATATTTCTCCCCCAACACCACTACTATCATCACCACCACCCACTATGTCATCTAAGGTTAAAAAAATCTTCTAAGCGGTATACAGTATAAAGATTTTGGTTCTCAGACCTCCCGAGCTGTCGAATATGACCACAAGGCAGATGTCACTATAAATTAATTTACCTGGAAGTTTCTTTGTCCGAAAGGAAGCATTCGTGATTATAGATTTCTTGAAACTGCTGACTTCCACTTGGATGGGTAGTTCTAAAATCACAATAATTGAAACATTTATGGTACAAAAATATGTTTGTTGCAACTATTTTATTAAATCAAAAATTATTGAGATGGCCAGGAGTTGAATTTAAAGTTGGGTTATCAGGATTAAATGAACACGTTAGAATTGAATGGGATACAGGCGAGGAATATTGAACTCAAAGAACCAGTCGAATAATTGGAATAACTGGCTGCTGTTCGAGATACCACTGACAAGTAGCAAGAAGTAGGATGATGATGTTTGGATTGGATCATGTCAAAGAGAGAAAACTGGTGGCGATAACAGGGAAGGCAATCAGGTTCGAAGTTTATGTCGAGTAACTTGGGAAAGATTTTTTCAGAATGGAAAGGATGTCGATAAATCTGCCCACGTTCTCGTGTACCTGATCAAAAATAAAGTAAAATAATAACATGACAAATTGAAGGGTGGTTAGCTGACCTGATGATTTAAGATAATCCTGGACAGCATGACAAGCTAGCAATGCATCTGCCCAAAGTTGGTAATTTGCACGAGCAGAAATTTCGTCCAAAATTTGTTCTGCCAGCGTTGGAGAACCATTATATCTATAGTCAACAAAATATCTCAATGACATCACTAATCACAGTTACGTACAATAAGTTAATTAATTGATCTTAGATTGAAATTATACGCTGAAAAATATGCAGTTTGAACCATCTCAATTAGTAATTTGGATGACAGAACAATTCTCACAGGTGGTTGCAGCTTTTGAGAGTTCATGGGAGTGAACCCTTGCGTTATTAGTCTAGAAGAAACGAAAAAATTCCACATTGAGTTTATATCTTTATTTCATAAGTTCGCATATTGTTGGTCAGTTCAGTTTTTTAAACAGCACTAAACCAAATAATATTTTCGGGCGGCCATACTTTGTTATCACCTTAAGATGCATAGGAATTGAGTGCTTTGGCATATGGGGAAGCCTGTGATTGAATATCCACCATAGCTCCACACATAGCGGAAGTCTTTGTGGGGCTCTGATCCGCTCATCGTTCAGCACCAAAGCCTGCCTTGTAATCGTCTTGACAGTTTTCAAGTTCAAACGGTCCAAATCATTGTCTGATAACCAAGATGTAGAGACGCCACCAGGCTGAAATAGTTTAATGTTAAATAATTACTCTTATTGACCGTCGAATATTTCAACGTCCAACTTGTAAGTCTTACATCATGGTAAATCGAAGGAAGATTGACGTTAGCGATTCTAGCAGAAGCCGGAATGATTTCTTCAAATGATAATTCTAGTTCAAATATTCCTCGCAGCAAAGTTTCAAGGGCTACACATTTCTAGTAAAGTAACAGATCAACGTAATAAATAATCGTATTCCTGACATGTTGTTGGTCGACATGCTACCTTTTGTGAATGAATTTGGTTCAGATAAACATAAATAAGGGATGGGATGAACTGCCCAGAGAAGACGCGGAGTTTTCCGTGAGGTGCTCGATAAAGAGAGAACAAAACGGCAATGACATCCCCGTATAGCTGCAAAAACAAACAAGATTTCCAGATGTTATATGACTGGAACTTTATGATTTAATAATGGTATTTTTATTATATTGAATATGTTGCAAAATTAAAAAGGTTCGACTTATAGAGTTCGTTGAATCCGTATACTACTAAACAAAATTATCCACCCACCGAACGAAACCTGTCGTTTTCCTCCAAGACGTGAGTCACCGCTTGGAAAAGGTCTTCATTGTTGAGAATTGACTCGGAGAAATCATTCAACCCGTCGCAGCCGGATAACAGATTGTCAGATAACTTTGCCCACTCAGTCAATAACTCTACGACCAACTGGTCCGTCATCGTGGGAACTTATAAGACTGTGGAATGTGAGAAGTGGCTTACTTACTATGTTAATTTGTAGTAACTATTAATTAAAAAACAAACACATTTTGCGTTACACAAAATGTCTTCATTTCATTGTTGCGAAATGTGAAATGAAGGTGTGAGCTTGAAGATCGCGCAAAGAGTGATGAAGTGCTTTGTGCATGGGAGTTTGTGCTCGAGTCACAGTCACAGTCAATGTTGATCATGATGTGTTGGACCTTTTTTGACAAGACATGCAGATTTTTTTTAAAGGTGTTTCAATTGCGTTTTATTTTAGTTCTCAAAAACGATCATGGATGTATACGAAAACGATACTGTAAAGCTCATTTTAAACAGCTTTGCGGCGATTGAGACTTTTTGAAAATTCCACAAAATCCATTTTGGCCACACTCGTTTGCCAATTTCATACCTCAATGATTTGTGATGGCAATGTTTTTAGGTAAATACCTAAAAATGTGTTGAAAGTTCGATAGTAGTCAAGTAGTGGCTTATTATGCTAATTTAAATACTTTGAGCAAAACGTGAACGTGTGCGTGCCTAGTTTTCTGTTGCTAAAAAATTGAGACGGTTTGGGAAAAGTGAATTCTGCAGAGCTGTATTATCAAGCAAGTATACGTGGACAAATCTAATCCATCATATTCTCTGTGCACAAATAAAATCGCCAATTCGTTCAGTACGTTAGGTTTTGAAATTGTAAATAAATACAATTCACTATGCTTGATGTAAACCAAAAGTGAATTCAAGTAAATACTACAACATTGGAGATATTTACTATTGCTTTTCATCCTGGAATTTTTTTAATTCGTAAAAATTCTTATTTGATTTCAGCGTTCTGGTTGTCAACGTCTTTCTCCCAACGGTAGGTTGTACTGGGAGTAATTGTTTAGTAATTTACTAATTAGCAGTAGTTGCACTACTGCTGACGTTGTTATACATTGGATTGCATTGGAGGCAAAAGGAAGATTGATTAATTATCGTGGATGTATTATTTATTATTCCTTGAGGTGAAGATTAGTTTAGTGAACAGCAAGCCCAGCGAATTCCTTGATTCTTTATCCGGACAATGTTAAGGATGTGGTGGGCACGATGGAGTATTTGGATTGTGGGGTGTGCTCTCGCAACTGCGGTGGTTATTGGAAATGCATTTTATCAAAAGAAACAGTTTTATCCCACTGTGGTCTACATTACAAAGTCCAAACCCAGCATGGTTGTGAGTCTCCCAATATTTTATAGCTAATTCAAAATCAACAAACTGGTTTTGAATCAATTGTTTTTAATTTGAGTATTTTGTACTACTAGGTAATGTATGGACAAGCTCTTTTGTTTGTGGTCATTTTGGGAAAACTGTTCAGGAAATTGTTCTTTGGTCAGTTGAGAGCTGCAGAATTTGAGGTGAAGTTGTTCCCCAAATATTAAATATATGAGTTTGTATTACGACTGTTTAACTAATTATTTAACTTATATTTTTTATTATTTTCCTAACAGCATTTGGTAGAAAGATCGTGGTACGCCGTGACCGAAACTTGTTTAGCATTCACTGTTTTTCGAGATGATTTCAGTCCAAAATTCCTTGCACTTTTCACTCTACTCCTTTTTCTGAAATCCTTCCATTGGTTAGCGGAAGAACGAGTCGACTATGTACGATATTCTTTATCAGCTAAACAAAGTGAATATTATAAACGGGTAAAGTTTATTTTTAATTTTGGTGCAGATGGAAAGAAGTCCAGTCATCACTTGGGTGTTTCATGTTCGAGTTTTGAGTTAGTTCAATTGACAATCATTGCGTAGCATCTATACGTAGATTTTATCAAGTTGTTTTATATTATTATATTATTTAATACAGGTTTACTTTCAATACTACTCCTGATGGATGTCTACTTTGTGAATGTGGCTTATCAATCCACCATTACAAAGGGGGCCTCTGTCCAGTTAGTGTTTGGATTTGAGTATGCTATCCTTACGACGATTGTCCTTAACACGGTGGCCAAGTATGTGTTTCATGTTATTGACATGCAGAACGACACCCCATGGGAGAATAAAGCTGTTTTTGTTTTACACACCGAAGTTATCATCGGTATGTACACACTAGAATGTTTGCAACAATTGTATAAATCCTTAGTGCCTATTTATTGACCGGACGAATTATTTTTTTCCATTTAGGTCTGTTTAAAGTTATATTGTACGTCGTATTTGTAATGATTATGGTTCGAGTGTATACGTTACCTCTATTTGCTCTTCGACCAACCTATTTGGCATTACGGTAAATTAAAGTTGAATTATTATGTGCAATCAATTTTTTACTAGTTAACTAATGATGGCTAATTAATGTTAACGTGTTTTCCTCACTCAGAGCGTTTAAGAAAGCTGTCAACGATGTCATCATGTCAAGGCGTGCTATAAACAATATGAATAACTTGTACCCCGATGTGACCCAGGAAGAACTTGCCGCAACTGACAATGTTTGTATCATTTGTCGCGAGGAGATGACCGGAGGGGCGAAAAAGCTTCCTTGTAATCATATTTTCCACGTGTCCTGTCTCCGATCCTGGTTTCAAAGACAACAAACGTGTCCAACATGTCGTCTAAATGTACTACGAGTTCCTGCTCAACCAACTGGGGGTGCTGCTGGGATCCAAGGTGGAAATTTCAATGCCTTCATCAATCAGTTCCCTGCATTTGGAGGACAAGGAATGTTTCGCGGAGGACAGCAGCAGCAGCAACAACAACAACAACAACAACAACAAGCAGCACAACCTTTCGGAATATGGGGTGGCTTTCCACAACAATGGATTCCTCAACAACAACAACAACAAGGTTTGAGTTTAAATTCAGAACCTCCTTGTATTTGGTCTGGTGGTGGCGTAAATTGTGAATGATAAACTAATGAATATAAATGACTACACAGCTGGGGCTCCACAGCAGCAACCGATGCCGCCCACACGGGGAGGAGGAGCTGGTGAGCAAAATGACCTTCCACAACAACCTGCAGCTGGTGGTGGAGACGCGCAGCAGAGGCAGCAGCAGGGAGTTGACCCTACATTAGGAGCGAGGGGGCCACAAATACCTTGGAATAATGCTTTTGCCGCAATGGCTCCTCCACCATTTGCCTTCCGACCAACGGGTGAATCTTTTGGTGATTTCATGACTGCTGGAGGACCATCAACCCCATTTACCTTTCCTCCCATGCCTTACATCCCACTGGGTAGGTCTGATATAGCTTAATTCTTATTTTGTATCGGCCTGATATCACCTGATAACAATTGGCTATAAGAAGCGTTGCTAAATATATAGTAAGATTGTGTATTTTAATGGTTATAGTACCACCACCCCCACCACTTTTGCAAACTACTGGACTTAGTGATGACGACCTTGCTAGGATGGAAGGAGTGACCAGAGAAAATATAGAAGCTCGACTACGATGTTTAAGAAATGTTCAAATTCTTTTAGACTCTGCAGTTGTTCAGATGCAACAATATAGTGCTATTATGTCCCATCTCAAGTAAGTCGACGACAAACCGCTCCTACATGTTAATACATATACTTAATCCGAATCTGCTTTGAACTGATTACTTTATGGCAGTTTTTATTGCAATATTTAATATTTCTTTAGCTTGGCGACATCACCACCCACCCAATCGTCCACATCTGTCCCCTCCCCCGAAGGACCAGGCTTCAGTGGGACCTCCTCCGCCTTCCAGTCGAGCTCACAAACCAAATCTCCAGCAGCGCCAGTAGTAGTCTCTCAAGCGGAGTCATCCTCAAGTGAAAAGTTTAAAGAGGCTAGTACAACAGATGCCACTTCTAGTCTCCCTACCACAGAAACGTCGACCTCCTCCTCATCTTCAGTTCCTCTTTCTGAGCAGGACGAACTAAGAAAACGAAGACTGCAACGATTTACCACGACCACGAATCAAACGCAAGCTTCTGGTCAAATAGGAGGTGATGAGTAATTGTGAAGTAAAAACTCCAAACCACACGTTGATCGATAATAATTATTCATCTGTGTGTTATTGAGAAATTCATGTACCTCTTTGTCTTTGACCCATTAATTATTATACTTAATATATATATCCTTATATATCCTTAGATATCCAGCCCTTGCACAATTCTACTCCATAGATCGGTTCCGCAAAGCCCTAGTGCTGAGTGGCGTTCTCCATTAGGAACCCACTATTAACTGTATACCCTCTCTAAAGTATTTGCAAGTAATCAAGTGAAATTATTGTTATCTTTGTTACTATCCTAGCTTCTCATATTGTCGCTCAAAGTGGAGTCTGACAAAGTACCTAATCTTAGGTACGAATCAGCTATACAAACAGGCTGAGATGTGTATGTACATGAGCTGGATATAATAATACTGTCAACTGTGCGATTAATATTTGCAAGCCAGGCGATTATCATTGATTGCACGTGTTAAATTTTCAGGGAGAGAGAGAGAGCTTGATAATCTTGTACGTATCGCTATAAACTCATTCCCTAAAGTATGTAAATATTAATGTGTCTAATAAAGATATATGATTGTAAGTATGTAATTGCAGCATAAGGTGTACTAGGAATACATAAGTATGCGTAATATGTAACAATAAAAATAATAATAAATTTCGGGATATTTTTCATAATACAACTGCTTCCGTTTTATTTTCAACAGTGTTCCTTGGTATGAATTCTGCAATATAGTCGGATTCAAGGGGATGCAACTTGCCAGGGATAACAAGAGAATGGAGGGGAGGTCCCAGATCTTGGTTAACCATTTGATCAATGGGACATGCAACAATGTGTTGAGTGGGGGAACCAACTCGAGCCACGCCCAGACAAACGTCACCATTTGTTACGGGACAATCTAGACCGAACAGCCAACAAAAATGCACTTATATTAGAATATTCGACGATTATATAGTACGCTTGTGAATATAATCTCTGGAAAGATTTTGAAATACCATCAGTTGTTTGTGCGTTAATAATTTGTAAAAGTTGGTTTACAGCTTGAGCCACCGTCATAAAACGTGGAGGTTCGAACACGACTTTTCCTCGCATCATCGCATCTAAATTGGGTTCCTTGACTTTAATATCTGTAAACAAACAGCATATCCAGTATCACTATATGGGCATATTTAAATAAAATTATCAATGGTCATAGAGATTTTTCAGGCTCATCGAAGCTTTAATTACCTAAAAGGCAGAGCGTGTGCAACCCTCTGGCCTTATTCTGACAAATCTTGTCAAAGAAACTATCAGGTTTCCACGTATCCGTCCAAAAAGGGATTGAAACGGTTTCCCCAAAGGAATAAAGTTGCAGCCCAGTTGCACCAACAGCATTAAGAATAGAGGCGTTGTGCACGATTTGGGTGGGAATGCTGAGCTCTCTAGCTCGCAGAACGAGGTCCGTGTGGGTCGTGGCTCCGAACGGGTCTGGAACAGGAACAATACAATAATACACATAACCAGTCTGTGGTACATTTAACCGCTTAGCAAGTATCATATTTACATGACACGTATCTAATTTTAAAAAAGTTTAACAGTTCTCATTCTCAATCTCACCTCCAATCACTAAGAATGCCGCATTTCCCGTCTTTGCATGCTCTAAGATTTGGTCAGCCCCCTGCTCCACGAGGTCACGATCTGCAATGATCAACTTCTTTTGAAAGAAGGACTCCTACGCAGATATCAGTAATGTCAATTAGTATAGTACTCGCTCGCTATATAATAATCATCTTAAGTTAAGTATATATAACATACTGATTACTTGACTAGGCTATTAACATTCTTTCAACAACAAACTCACCATGTCCGACAAAGAGGTTGAAGTCATGATGGACGTGTATGACTCTAAATACACGTGCTCACAGCTTCGAACCATTTCCAAACCCTTGACCGTGATGTCAGAAGGATCACCAAGACCTAGTCCTATCAAATACAACATTTCAGGACAATGAATAATATTATAATATGGAAATATGAAATCCAAGTAGATAATGCAGGATAAGCAATGCAAATTGCATTATGCAATGTGCACACAGACTGCAATCTGAAATTAACGGTTGCTTGATTCCCTCAAAAAATCGTATCCAGTTTAGATTCCACTTGCCCCATGTGTGTATAAAACAGGATAGGTCAATTTATTTTTATTTATGATATGCATATCATCGCTGTTGGTGCAAAAGTTGTTCGTTGAGGAACCAGTCGGAAACAGAAGTTGTCGCCTTCAAAACCAATTGGAACACAAGTTGTCGGATACATTTTTTTTGTGTGATTTGATTTGACGATCAATCTGAAACATGGTGTTTTCCGCATTCTACTAATCTGACAAGTTATGTTTCGGACTGATTTCTCAACCGACGACTTTTGCACCAACAACTATGATATTACTAATAGTAATGTACTATTACAGCATAAGATTAGACGAGGCGAACGTTGTATAATTATCCATCAGAAATATCCCCCGTCCACGGGGGATATTTTTACACAGAGTTGATTTTAATTCGTTTATTTAATACATTTATTTCATGCTGAGAGAGGGGTATAGAATTGCTCCGAAGGGTCAAATCATCACATATAAGTTTAACCTGTAGATACATTGTATCTTCAGATTGAATCTGTAATATAAATATTTGTTCTTGCTCGTCATTCTCCGACTCTTTTACAAATATTATCCTATGGAACTGAACGCGAAATACTAAGTATGATTTAATATTCAATAAAAATTAAATATTTAGATGTTCTATCTAACTAGTGAAAAACGTAGTATAAAATAAAATAATGTAGACAGCCATATAAATAAACTCTTACATTTGTTATATCACAGCCTGTATATAATCATCGTATAAAAAGTTAGTAAAATGTTGGTCATGAAGTTTAAAAATTCATTCTTATTGATAGTAAATCGTGATGATGAGTGAAATTATGCATTGCAACAAAAAACACTGATATAATAATTATCGTAATCGCATCGTAATCGCATCATAGATATTTACCATACCTAATAAAATAGGAGTTAAGTATATTACAGAAAGACAAGTTAGATCATGTTTTGGAACACATGGTGTCAGTATTCTTTTGGGAATAATAATAATTACAAATTATTTATCCTTAATTGAGATACTTTCTACACTTTCTGGAACCACACGCGCAAGGTATTTTGTTCTCTTCCTTTTCAAACTTGTAGTCATACGTGAGTTCCTCCCCACTAAATATTTTACGAAGCGCTAAAATCACAATACGTTCGGCCCCGGACATCCGAAGAGGTTTAGACTCGCAGTTTGGCTGAAAGTGAAATCCCTCCAATTAGTCTAGCTACAATACATATTGGATAATTGGATTTTAGTACCACCAAGCACTTACTTCGCATGAATGGTTAATAAATCGGGCAGCATTTCCTTTCATAGTTGCATCAATAATGTGTTCATCATCGATCCGGAACATGTAACATCCAATCCCCTTGGTTTCATAAAACTTTTCCCTCTGATCGCACACTGGGGAGCGAATGACCTAGCACATCCATACAAATATCGTTAAGAACGTTCACCACAATTAAATTGTATCGTTAACCAAATCACCCAAGGTGTGTGTGTGTGCATACCTCTCCAGCATATTCAATAATTATGTCCCCCCTGTCAATGTCCCTCCGCGTGTAGAGTCCCCTCCCATGAATTATGGACCACATCACCACCAATGTTTTTTCTGTCCGCTCCTTTAAATTTCGGTATCGTTGTATCAATGGGATGCCGATAGGCTTCCAAATCTCCTCCCCCATCCTATTTACAAACCAAGAGAGGAGTGTATTTAAAAAAATGACTGGGAACATTTTCTAGATACTTTTCCATGTTGGGAAACTTACGAGGGCATCTTTTCCAACGGTTTTCTGTGTTTAGAAGCCAACCAGCCAAACATGTCAAAGGGTTTTCGTCCCGTGTACCCCTCTGTCCGGGCACAACCCGACTCAAACCCACTCTCATTGTCACACTGAATCTCTTTCCTGAGCGGGAGCTCCTTGAATGGTGTCTCCTTATCCGGTTGGGGCAAGTGGTTCAACAAGAACTGAACGGCACGATGGGTGAGGCCGAGCATATTAAACGTATGAACTGAAAGCAATTAGGAAATTATTATATCGATTAAATGGATTTAAATATAATGTACAAATTGAGTTTAGAATGCGTATGAGCATGGAGAAGAAAGTACCCAAAGGCACTGTGGTTGCAGGATACGAGAGGGGTGGAAGGTTCCTCTTGAGCCGAGTGCCTTGTGCCGTTTCAAAAATTTGGCACCATATGGTCCTCACGTCGCTCGATCGGAATATGACGGTGCTCCCATGCGACACTTCGTACACGACGACAGCTCGGTAGGCCTGCAACCCAGATATAATTATCAATAAGCAGCTTATTCAGAAACCTGTTTCTCACAATAATTAATTAAGAATGGTGTGTGCTAGACCACACGAAAGAGTTTTTGTTTCAACATTTACCAATTTGGGCGTGTCCTCGTGCACTGCAAAGTCTACAGGAATACTCGGAATGACGGAACTTGATCCTTCCCCACCCTCAGGAATGGTAAGATTCGAGTCCAGTTCGTCCCCATCCGGGTCTGGTGTGGGAATGATGTGAATCTTGGGCTCTACCACCACATTCGTCATTGTCCCTTCCAACTCCCCGGAAGTGATGCGGGCCGTAATCTTCAAACTCTTGAACTTGGACTTGGCCTCCGACTTGCTCGTCTCACTAATGTGCTTCACTGAATAGGAACCTCCCCGTTCATTCCGTTTGAGAGTGAGCTGTATAGGTTTAGGAGGACTCGTGGCACATTTGGCCGGCGAGGAGTGTGAGGTTGCAAGGGCGGCGGTGTTGGCCTTCTTTTTCTGTCGCGGACGATGAACTGCACCTTGGCCGTTATCCCATGAGTGGTGTAGACGGGCTGCTGGTTCCAAAGTTCCCTCTGTATCTTCCTTCTGAATCCCAAGTGTGCCACAAGGGGGAGTGTTATTAAAGGTGGTAGTCGTGGGGGTGGCAGTGTGGTGAGTATTATTATTCGGATTTAAGAATCCTTGAAGCGTGTCAACAGATTGAGATGCAAAGGTACTGACAGTACCTCCACTCAAACTGTTGAAGGTCGACTCAATCTGAGAAATTTGATGAGATAATTTTTGGAGAGGATGTTCCATGGGACGAACCACTGCTGTCAAAATGGGATTCTTGCGCAGATTGGGTGGAATTTGTTTCAAATGCTGATCCTGGAAGCCACTAAGATGGACTTCAGATTGATTTTTGCGAAGAAATTGATTCTGACTCTTCTCCAAAATCATATTCGCCAGCTGAGATTTGACACTGCCGAGCTTGCTTTGGGAACAAGTTGTGGCCTCTTCCACCACCTGTGGGGCTGGTTTAGGCTCGATAGGTCTAGGAACATGGGACGAAGTAGCAGGGAGGACCTTTCTATACTTTTCCATCCCGTGGTGGTGAGGCAGCTGTGGTTGGAGCACGATTCCGCCCGATGGAAATTGTTGCAGTTGGAAGGCCATGGTGGTGACTTGGCTGGGTGGATTGAGCTGCGGCGAAGCGGATAGGTCATGATGGGAAACTTGTGGGCCTATGCACTGACCCATGGTTTGCAGTTGAATCTGCCTCTGCAAGGATTCCAACATTGCGTTTTGTTGGACTTGCTGCTGTTGATGGTGTAATAGTGCAGCCGTTTGATGGTGATGCACTTGAACTTGGGATGCGTTGAGGAGTTGGGGCTGGGCAATTTTTTCATGGTTTTCAGTAATTTGGCTGCTTTGCCTCGTCGAGAAGGTGGGTGAGGTAGTCCTGAATGAGGGGTATTGCAACTCACTGGCCACTGATGGTGAGAGGATAGAACCATTTTGTTCCAGTTGGTTTGAATGGGTGGGTACAGAAGGTTGCTGTTGTTGATTCTTCTGATAACTTAGCTGGAGAGGTTGTTGTTGAGAGGGTAGAAAAACGTTGGGCGAAGAGGGCGGCGACGACTGGGACGACGGCTGACCAATCGACTTCAGATTGAGATGCTTTTGAACAAGTTCATTGTGGTACAGTTGTTGTACCTGCGTCCGATGAAAAGCATTTTGTTGTGCCAATTGTAACTGTTGGTTGAGACTAAGCTGTGGTGGGTGCTGATGTTGGGGTAGGTGTGGGTGGGGCAAACGTGGTTCAGCGTCGTGGTACTGGAGTGATCTGGGGGCCACATAAAGGGGGCTAGATGATGATAAAACTCCAATGTTCGGCTCAACTGCCCCAGACAAACAAGCCACGGAACTAGAACTTGGAGAAGAAGAACATGACTGGAACAATGGTTGAGCGGATACTGAAACAAATTCATCAGTGTTATTGGAAGAACCATGTAACTGACCAAGCGGATGTTGTTGGAATTGTGCTGATATTTGTGGTTGTTGCTTTGGGATATACTCATTATGATTCTGTTGTGAACAGGGTCGTTCTCGTTGGACGAAGGGGAAGGTTCCCGCAATAGTTGAGGAATGCGAGCGATGACCCTTATGTTGAGGGTTGTGATAATCCATGCCCTGGGATTGAGAGGTGTGGGGTGGAATGCTTGGATGTAGAATTTGGTGGCTAGGTAGAGGAGGTGACATTACTTGTGGTTGTTGAGTTGTTTTAATTTGGAAAGAGTTCAATTGTTGGGTCGAGTTTTGGAATTGGAGAGGGTAGTGAGGAGAAGCTACACTGTTTGAGGGGACTACCGTTAGTGGTGGTTGAATCATGGCATCAATATTACGACTATGATGAAGTAGCTGTTGTTGTAGGTCAATTTGAGACATACTTGCCGTCACCTCAGCGGCTGCTGACGGTTGGGGAGCTGGATGATGACCCCCATGACTCTGTTGGACGTTGACTTGTTGTCCCTGCAACTGGTGCTGGGGAAAGGTAAAGGTGACAGGTTGATGAGTTTGGTGAAAAGGAATTGGAATGTTGACACGAAACAATTGACCTGTGACTGTATCTTGAAGGATCGTGCTCATCTCATGTTGCTGAAGTTGGATTTGAGGAGAGGAATGTTGCTGCTGCTGCGTTTGTTGTTGTTCCACACGCTGGTATTGTTGAGTGCCGTCGTACTGAGGGAGATTAAGTGGTGGGTACACGTGGTCTTGTAAGGGTATTGTTTGGTGAGGAAGAGGTGGTAAAACTGGGGTTGACTCGTAGGGCTCCCCAGTTTTCTGTTGTTGAATTCCATTCTGAATTCGAAACGTGTTTGTATCCTGACAAGGTGACTGATGCTCATATCTTATCTGCGGCGACGGCCTATTTTCCCTTCCATCTAATGTTACAGGTGCAGGTGGTAACACCAGACGAAGAGGGTGTGATAGTCTTTCCATCGGGGTTTCTGTTTCACCAGTTTCTTCAACCTTAGCGGAATTATTTTCAAACTTCTGCTCAAGTACCGCATTACAGCTGTCATCATCACTCTCTGGTTCTTCTCCCTCCTCTTCACTACTTTCACTTCCGACGCAAGTGGGCATATGGTTCTGGAGGCTGACTAATTTACGGTACCTCGCATGACACTTGGGGCAAACAACTGGGTCGTCATCGTCATCAGCGATACTAGTTTCAGTTTCTTTCAGTTCTACTGATAAATTACTTCCTCCATTCAAATCGTGTCCAACCCGAGTCGTCACCAAACTAACTTTGGCTTCAACGTCGACAATATGGGTGCGTATCATTGGTTTATTGCTTAGATCAGGTAGTTGTTTCCCTTGTTCATATAGGCCTGCTTTCGACACCACATTATCCAAGTTCACCTTTGACGGCCGACCCCGATGTTTTGTCACCACGACTGACGTACCGGTATCGGGTTTATCGTTCTTCGATTTTGGCTCCTTGTTTGGTTTTGACACTCTTTTTACACTTAGAGATGAGGATGACGAGGTTGACCCTGTCCTCTTGCTCCTCGTCATTCTTGTAGAGTTATCACACCAAAAGGCATGGTTTTTTAGAGCATCTCCAGTTTCAAACGGTTTCCTGCACTTGAGGCAGGTAGCAATTGACATGGAAGAGTTGGAATCATAATGGCGATGGCGATGATGATTCGGGGCCGGCGGCGGAAGTAGTAAATTCTGATGTATTGTTGGTGATTTAGTTATCTCTTGTGACTTTGTTGTCCCTGTTGCCCCCTTTTTCACTGTTGGTGGTCGCCCTCTGCCCCTATGAATTTTAGAAGGGACTAAAGTAGTATCTTTATTTTCCTTGGGCGGTCGACCTCGCTTCCGCTTCGGTTTCTCCTTCTCAGCCATTACTTCTAATTGTTGTGAAGTATAAAATGTTTCTTGGGGATTTGTACTCTTCTTTGTTTTTTCTTTTATTGTGTGCTGTTGAGGACTTTTGCGTCTGGTTGCTTGCTCATTGTTTGTGTCTTCCTTCTCGTGGTGTACACTCATTTCGATGTATTGTCGAAGACGTTGTGAATTTCTCTTTCCAGTCCTCACATTTTTCTCCTCCTCGTCGTCCTCTGATTCTGTTCTGTCCGCGGAAGAATAGTCGGACGACGACACAGATCCTTCCTCCTCCTCTTCTGCGTAGTCGTCGTCCTGATCGTATCCACCGTCAAATTGAGGGATCCGTCGCATCCTTCTAATCAAATTTTCAGAAGTTATACAAAATAATAATGTGTATACATACATCCTGATACATATCACTACCTTTAATACAATTACCTTTCTTGCGACTTTCTGTAGTGTCACTTCCCCGCCTTTTTATAATATTTCTAAATTACTTTGAGTGTCATCTACTCTTTGTTTTTTTCTATTTTCCACACAGATCTCTTCATGTCTCTCCCCCTGGAAAATCAGAATTACGTACTTATTAAAATAACACCCCGTCGTTCCCTGGTGGTAATAAATGCATGGATTTGTACCGCGAGAGATGGGATGACCGTGGCCAAGAATGTTTGGAGGGGGCCGGTGAATGATGGGATTTAAAAAGTGACACGGTGAAGGGGACCCAAACATCAACAACGAGCAGATGAAGTCCGCTCCTCCGGCTCCGATCCCAACTCACCCCTTCATGATGTGAGTTCCTTCATCACAGTTTGGTGACATCCGACGGCGCCACTTTCCTTCAGAATTGCTATATATGACCAAAATTATGTCATATTAAGTCATAATCGATAAAAACACCATTTATTTAATGACAGTAATTTGATATCAATTTCAACATCGCTCCCTGAAGAAGATGGCAGCATTGATTGTTCCAAGTTGGAAAAATCAATGTTTTTAAAATGTCATCAATGATACCCGTTGCAAAACTTATTTAATGTTAGCATTAGCAAAAGGTGCAATAGGAAATCTCATGAAGCATAATTTAATTTTTTGGTTGGTTTTTTATTATCAAACCTCATATTTAACATTTTAGTCACTTTAATTCATTAATAATTAATTAATCAAAATATCAGCTAAACTCGCACGCATCTTCACCTGTTATTCATGTAAAGGAAGGGAAGTGATGACACAAAGTCTGTCTGCGATCGATTTTCGGGAGTTTCGATCCCCTGGGGTACCCGTATGCGCTATAAATCAGTAAAGATGAGACAGGGGAGATGTACTATCTCTTACCTGGTTATCAATTAGCATATTACATTTTGCGCCCACTCCCCCAATCGATCACATTCTTTATGCACGATTAAGAAGTCATAAGTTTGATGGCCAAACACGAGACTTTACCATAATTTGGAACTTGTTTTACATTGTTTGGCCCGTGGTATCTGCATAGTACAATCAAATGTTTTTAATTGTTGTCCAGAGATAAAGTTGCATGTACTCACATTAAGGATACTCACGCACACATGATACTTATGTATGCACATAATTAATTATAATAACCAACACAAGGCATAAAACCAATGAATACCTTTATCCCTTTATTACTTAGGGACTATCGGATTTAATTAGAGATTTCGTATTACATTAATAATTAAGTAACATAGATGTATAATAATCTCTCATCATCTTATGGAAGTGATATAATCACCACAGCTCGACTCTCAAATAGAATAGGATTAGAATTGCGACATGTAATCATAAAAACTAGTGCATCACCAAAGACTTGTTAAAAAAAAACATGGAAAAATTATAATGCATATATTTACTTTGCATAAGTTTGAACGTAAACTGGACAAAAATGCCAAACTAGTACATTGAGAACTGTAATATCCCATACCAAAAGATTCTTTGGCCACGCGTCATACAACTGCATGTAACTCAAACATATTACATAAATGCATTCTGTGTAGTAGTTTGGTAACAGTCACTCACAGTCAGTAATAAATTATTACTAATAATTAAATATTTAGTAGATTTAAAAAGATGGCATTTGCAACACAGAGCCAGCCGCATTGACAAATTGGCATCAAGATCGACAAATCGGTCTAGCTTTCTAGCTGCAGTAAATTAAAATTAGTATATAAATCTACCCAGTGAATAAGATGTTACTTACAAAGTTTATATAAAGCTAATACTTGGTATCTAAAATCTAGGGTTTAATGATATACGTCTCTGTGTATCGAATTTATATAAATGCTTCTCTACTTTCCCACCCTATTATTTCCACTTCCAGTAACGTTTTTACTAGTGATATTCAATATTTAAACATGTAATTTATTATCGTATTGAGAAATCGTCAAACATCGATGTCCACACCGAACGGTTTTTACGTAGAAATCAAAATTGTTTTATAAAAAAGAGAATTTTACATACATATTAAGTGTGTACATACTTCTTGGTCATATGATTCTTTCATATACATACATGTTTTGGAATATGTTGTAAGACGAAGCTCCACGGTATTGATATTTGCTCGAGTTTCTTTATTATGTGTAAAGTTGTGATTATTAATTTAGAGATTTAATGCGTATAGTCTATGCTTGTTCATTTGAGTACAAGTCGATTGGGATTTTGGAAATATACGATCTCCTGATCAATCTAAATGGTGTGGACGCAGTCTGTTATTTATTGGAAGATTTGTCATCGTTGTGGAAAATTTCAAAAATATCTTGGTCAGTGTTCCTTGCTTAATATTCAATTCGCGTATTAAAATATTAAATTCAGTGGACTCCACCAATGTGTTGTCGCTGTTGTTGCTGCTGCTGCTGATTTGACGGATTCTAAAAAAACACCCAGGTTTATTTTCAGATTAAACAATATTGACGCATGTCGTGAGAGTTGTAATAAATACTGCTGCATATGTATGTACATACTTGCGAGTGCGGCGTTTTTGGTGGTATGCTCGTAGCATCTGCAGCCGAGGAGGACGGAGGTGGATGTGATGGAACGACCGCTTTTCGCCCCTTGGACAACTGAGGGCTGGAGCTGGGACTCCCAAATAACTTTCCCAGACCTTGTCCCGCCCTGTACACGAAGGACGAGGCGGCGGCGGGGTGATGATGAGGAGGTTGAGAGTTGGTCGTCGTGATGTTGGAGGGTTGTGGCAAGGACGTCGCCCCTCCAGGCGAGGTGGGTGGATGGAAGAGAGACTTGCAGGGGGCCCAGAGGGGGAGGGAGAAGCCGAGTTTGGGGCTGGAAGGAACAGAAGTCGAGGGTCGGCGGGAGGACGAGGGATTCAGCACGGAGCTCAGACGCCGAGGCGTGGATACGGTCGACGTCTGCAATCAACAAACACCGAATTAATATGAAGTAAATAAATAGGCGAAGTAAATAGGCAGAGTTGCCAAAGTCATGTCATTCACATGACTCATGGGGGAGTAACCCATTGGGGTGAAAGTGCGCACCAGATCAAAGACTATGGAGTGAGATCATACCATGGCTTTGAGGGAGTGGTCACTGCTGTGATGGCTGTGGGGAAGGTCGGTGGACTCCACGGAGAGAGACAACTGTTCCAAGGAGTTGAATAATTTGGGACTTGGTGGGGAACCCGACTCGGACTGACTACTCGACTTTTTGCGTATCCGGAAACCTCTCCGTTTTGAGTGGGGTTCTGTAGGAAATAATTAGAGTGGCTGTGACTATTAGTTCTTAACCAAATTCCTCTCTTGCGGAATTGTTTCAGGAATTCCACCGTGGTGGAATGTCTGAGTCTGAGGCGAGGAAATTACCTGGTGAGGGAAAGTAGAGCAAGGAACCCATCTTGCATTCGTGTAGCATGTATTCTTTGCAGTACTTGTGAGCATTGACGCCACAATTTCGACACTTGTACCCTTGTCGGATGAGACCCCACAACTGGAAGCAACGAGTAAAAAAATAATTACGCAGTCTGGAAATCAATGTATGTGCCCAGGACGGAGCTACTGCCTGGCTTTTGTACAGCGTCACATACGAATTCTTAGGTTTGGCATAATGTGGTATTAATCTTGTTAATAAAGTTGGTGTAGTGTGATCACTCACCAGTCCGGAACAATGGATGCAAAATGTTGGCTTGAAATAGGTCTGCTCATGAAAGTTGTGCCGAGATCCTGCGTTCTTCTTGTTGCGGAGGTAGCGCTCGAGCTCCAACTTGCTAATCTTTCCGTCCCTTAGAACAATTATTACAAGATTAGCATGGTTAATCTCTCAGCCCTGCAGCTCTAGTTACAAAGACTGAGCAACCGCTTCTCCTCCCACCCACCAACTCAACCAAGCACTCACCTGTTCTCGTCCAGGACGAAGAAGGCGTCGATGGCTGGATGATTGGTACAAATCTGTTGGAACTCTTCCTTGCTGATGAATCCATCGTGGTTGGAGTCATAGTTGCGAAAAACGGCGTCCACCATGGTCTGCAGCTGCTTCTCGTAACTGCCCGTCCCATCCCCCAGGCCGGGGGAGCGGGTGGGAGAGACCTACGTACGACACCATACTTTATTCCTCACACCCGCGACACAGAGTCAATCAATGCCCATTATTTAGTAGAGTGCTAATCTGTTCGTCCAAATTATAAGGACATACCGAAGTTTTGGGCTCCCTTGAAAGTGAAAGTTCGTAGATTTCGTCTTCCGAGTATGCCAGGTCCAGGGACGCCTGAAAAACAGGAAAGTTGAAATGTGCACACTAATGGTGGCTCGCTGCATGAGGGAGGGGGCATCTTTCGGGTCGGTGAACGACCAGTCTGGCCCCATGTGTGTTGCATATCAGGATTCAGGACGTTTCGGCTTTTATGTATAAGAAGATGAAAACAAATTCGAATTGTAGGTGGAGGCATAAAGTGGATGCTATAGGAGGCATAAAGTTGTGCCACACATTCAGGCCTGTGATCTGGCCATGCTTGTCGTTATTCAAAGATTTATCAAATTTTATTTTTCTATCAAACACCCATCATGAATGTGTGGAAAATAATTATTCAGATCAGAAACAAATTGGTTCAAAATGACGAAGAAACTGCAATCTGAAGTTCACCCGGCCGGCCGGTTCTTTTCCAAAGATGATTTGTCATCTAGAACTCCAAGGGTCCGGAAATGCATGTGTTATAAGGCAGGGTCAAATGTATTAAACCAAACTGGAATTGGAAGAAAATATCGAAGTGTTGGTCTATCAGAGTCAAAGACGCAACAACCCCCAATACCGACAAGCAGTTTTTTTCGAGGAATTGATCTCTACACCAGTAAAGAAAACCCACGACAGACTCGAAAACAATTAAATGTATCTCAAGCATCTACTGATAAAGCCATTCGACACGAACGAGTTGTTCACAAGAAGAGCATAGTTCGTGTCTAAAAAAATCGCAAGAAAAACTGGAAGACAAAGCCCTATATATAAAAATCCTCAGGCAAGTAAAAAATCCCGATTTTTGTGCCTTTGAACGAGGGATTCCTTTTCATTTAAGATTGTTCCAGAAAAATATATCAACAACACGGAAAATGGCACCCTGAATTTTTATTTCAGAAAAGCATGGTTTGAATTGTGGAAATTACATTATGATTCAGCGTGATTTCTGTGATTTTCATACTCCATGATTTTTTCGCTAATTGTGTTTTTTGTTATTTGTGACATTACTGGGGGAAAGTAAACCAACTTATTTAAAATACATTCTAGGACTAAACCAACTTGATATTTGGATTCAGCATGAAATTCTGAGCATTTTTCATGAAAAGGATAAAATTACATTTTGCATTTGATTTGTACATATGCTAACGTTGGTCAAAATACCGAATATGAACATGCTCAGAATTTTATGCTGAATCCGAATATCAATACTGTTTTAATATCTAAAACGCATGTTAAAGAATAATTCCAGAAATTCTACACATGATATATGAAATCACAGTGCCACCACACCAACCACTGTGATGTGATTTTCCAAACCTCGCGAAAAAGTGAAAAGGTTTCCAACAAGTTATGTTGGTCGGTATTGGAGGTGGGCATGACCCCTTCCACTTATCAAAGATGTCCACCAATGTTAAGGTTAACTCAGGAACATATTGAGCAATATATTCTCAAACCACTTTTGGAGATACAAGTTCCCTTGTTCTTTTGCTCCCAAGTTCCACACTGGTGTGGTGAGACCTAGAAATGCTTGGTCATGACGCTGCCATGTCACACACTCTCCAGATGGACCACCGCGTATGCAGCCGACTTGAAACAAAAATCAATATGAACTATAAAAGTGAGATGCCTGTAAAGAGTTCCGATGGATTTTTTTTTGGATTTGAACTACTAACAAAGACAGACTTGGTCAACCATAGTGCAGAAGACCATAAGACGAACAGCCACTTCTGACCTGGTTTGGAAACTTCCAAAAGATGAGTTGAATAAGACTAGCCTTAAAGATAAGGAAAAGTGATGAATTTGTGGAAACGAGGACTTGGACTATGTTGCATGTAGCTAGAAGTCTGGGGAACATGTTGAACAAACAAAACAATTTCACAAACGCGAGATAAAATTAAAATTATAAGGCTAGTCTTCTACTGCGTAAAAAACTCTTTCCATGTTCAGTATGCACATAGTGCTTTTCAACCTTTGTGCAGGAATTCCATCATGTTCGTGGCAGTAACTTTGTAACCTTGTCCACTCAGTTGGTCGTACCTCTGGCGTGGTGGAGGTGGTGGTGCGACGACCGATCTCAATTTCCATGTTTAATCAATACTCTCATCATCATCATCGGATGCAGCATAAGCACATCACTCCGTAGGCAATAGAAGTCTATCTGTCTGTCTTGGAGCTCGAAATTCCAGTGTGAGGAGCAGTGATGGAATCAGTGAAAGTCTCTCCTTCCGCTTGTTCGATTAACCAAGCGTGCCCAACATGCATCCGTTTATTTGTGACCATCCATCCCATCTATTTGTGGCCCTCCCCAAAGTGACAGAAAAGTGACGCGAACATGCATGATTTCGATGGTAGTGATAAAAATACATATTTTAATATCTCAAATATGAACTCCAATCTCCCCGTCCCAGTCGAGCCACTTTATTGCGTATAGTAAATATGTAATTTCATATCAAACCAAACATCAGGCGATCGACGACACTCGTAGTAGATCAACACCAAACTAATTTTGTCATGATTCCTACGCTTTTGTGACCGAATCAAAACCTGGCACTTGACACAAGAGAGGTTGAAATAGGTGTTTATTTTTTGTGGAAAAATTTTTGTGCCTCTCCCTTTTCCTACCACAGGCACACCATAAGGCACCTGTGCAGCACCTATTCGGTTTGTCATGCTTGAAAATCCTGAACCAACAGATGTGGCGAAGCCACAAATATAAATCTCACATTGACGACTTTCACCAGGTCCATACTTCCCCAGACTGTCACATTCACTTGACTAATACCTATACTGATGGTAACATATTTATACATATAAAAAGTACAGTACGGATACAAATACGCAATTCTTGGTGGCCTCAGAGTCAACAACAGCAATTTTTCTTTCGGTACAACTAAAATTGGACTAAAGGAAGCCAGTCAGGGGATGATGACTATGACCCGTTGAATTAATTTTCATCCTTGCTCGTCTCGTCTATTTGCACAGCTAAATTGTGCATAAACGCGACTCGTGATGGTCTATCCATGTAATATCTTTACCACTTCAACTGTCCAGTATCGGCAGGGAAGCTTAGTGGGGATGACGCTGACTTAGTTCTAGTTAACTATATAACTGGAGAAATTACTAGACTGTTCTCAGATACACTAATTTGCATAAATACAGCCCCATCCCTCTGCCCTGTCTAATATGTACTAGTCCATGGTCACTTTTGCTCGAAAGTGTTGTCCAGTTAGACTGTGTTGGTATTATACCATGAATATGCTAATTCAATCACTTATACCCAAATATCCACAACGTTAGCATTCAGTTTTTTGCAAGGCTAGACGAGAGTAAAAACTGGTGAGAGAAGGAGCCGACAAATTTGGAGGGCTCTAATACAGAATTTTCTTCCAATTTAGCGAGCGCGAGTGAAAGTGATTTATGAGGAAGAAGGACTGCACATAATGTGCTCCCTCGTATTGGTTGCCCATTATTCCTCCTCACATTCCAACACAAGAGAGAGGAGAGAGTGGCAATGTATGGTAATCACATGTTTGACTTTCCCCGAGACCGTTGAACTGGGAAGAGTGCTTATAAATCACCAGCCAACCCCGAACCAGTTGAGATCAGGACGGATGATATGCACTCTAGTGATTAGGAGCATACATAAAGTGACCACACCGTGTGGGGGTAACAGGAGGTCACCACCACATGGAACAACTGCCATGCATTCCTCTCCTGGCGTATTCACCACCACGTCGCCCACACACACAATTTGACGATCCTCACCAATGATTTTTACATATGTGTGCATGGGCATTATTCTCAGAACTAACATACACTGTCCATGATAGAATTTCTGCAGTGGCATGGCACTCACCCGGAGCGTGTTGAGAAGATCCACGTTGGCCTGAGCAGGTGGCATGGATTGAGCTAGGTTGTCCAACTCTGTGAAAATGCCGGCGAGCTGAGCCAGTTTTCGAAACTAGAGAGAGAGAGAGATTAGATTAGATTGGATGCAATAAATATGTGCAAGTTGGTTGGTTGTCAACATTTCCAAAGGATATGCTGAAAAGGCTCACATTGATCAAGCCTCCCTCGACGTAATCTGGGAGTGCGGTGTGTAGAGAGATGAGATCCTTGAGATGAACGCCTCTGCAAAGAAAGACACGATCAGACCCAGTAAACCCACGCATCAAATTAGCACTACGTATGACTCAGGAGTGCACCAACTGAAAGCAAATCAATCCAATCGAGTTCACGCAAACACGAGCAACAAAACTTTCTCTTTCTTATTGTACACTTTCTCCGCACGAGGTAAGGCGCTACTACCGGGTATCAACCTTGGCTACAGGCAATTCTGGGTCCAAATAGGTTCGTCTTATCCCCCAGAGGATCACAACAATAGCTCACCAATCAGGACTATCAGCTGCTTATAGTCGCTCTCTTACAGTAAATTACATGTACAGCACTGTTCCTACATATATTTGATTTATGTAGATAACCGACATTGGTCCCTCTCCTCCTCAGTTGATATGGGAGGAGGCAATTAGGCAGCAGAAGCGATCAATGACACACATTATTGTACTCCACATATCTTTGGGGCAGAGTCTTTTGGAGAAAAGGAGCTGGATGTCTTGCAAGTGCTAATGTTTCTGGTGTGTGAACATAGGCGTCTAGCCAAACAAATGAGAACTTTGGTGGCTGTGGTATCACATGGTGATTGGGTGCGATTGGGAGGAGTCGAGCCATCCATCGACTCCAACATCGCGGCGGCCGACAGACAGACTGCTGGATCCCATCATCATCATTGCTTTCTCTCATGCTAATATGAATCATCTACTCGCTCTTCACTAACAAACACACGTTCATGCAATCCCTACAACCAACCACGACGCAAGGGAGCTGAATAAGTATTGCATACGTCCCTATAAATGTATGTACACCGACCGGATGGGAAATTTACTTTCTCCGATCTAAGCGTTTGGCCGCTGGTTTACAAACAGATCTTCAATTGGGCAGCTTCCACGATCACAGTCAGAAAATATCAGTCATTACAGTCCAAAATCAATTATAGGGACATAATTTTTTCAGAGCGGACCCTAAATCTATCGACCGACGGCATTTATACAGCTGTGTAAGTCTATGGAACCGTAGTCCACGATTAAATACTAATTATGCAACTTTATAGATTTCTACATAGGTTTATATACTTAAAAAGCATGTCGACTTTTGCACAATTGATTGTGATACTTTTTGTAGTTTGTTCCCTGAAGAAAATATGTTGACAGAAAAAATGCTTCTAAAAGCTTTTAAATTCCCTTTAAATTTTGGTAAAGGTCGAGTGGTGTGGGAATGGCTTACTGTTGGACTAGCGATCGCTGGAATGTACCATATCTGACCTGGATCGAATACAGTGAGGAATATTAACCCTGATTTTGTCAGCCCTCTAAGAAGGAGTGAGGCACGAGGGAGTGAAAATGTGTGGAGATGTCATCATCACCTTGTTAGCCTCCATTCGAAGGACGATAGGAGAGGACCACTTTGCACTTTCTCTGGGGAAAGTGTTAGTGCACGCATTCTCCACCCTCCCGCAGAATGAGGCATTATGTATGCCCAGGAGGTGGTCGTCTTGCCTTTGCGAAGCCAGAGTATATTTTTACAAGTTAACAAAACACCTTCCCCAAAATTTGGTTAAGGAGAACAAACAGACTAAACAAATCTCAGGGGAATTAGTGGATTGTGCTTGCTTTCTCCGTCCAGGTAACACATGGCTTTGTGCTCGGTTGGTTTGGCAAAGCTACCTACGTACACGGGGACCTAGGAAAGAATCAGCCAGTGGTGGTGAGAGCAAATACTTCCTCTCAGGCAGCCTGAGGAGGGAAAGCCGAGTTGTACATACTTACAACTAATGTTTAACGTGTTTTCATTGTTTTACAGTTTTCACAGGTCATGCAATTTTGAACTTAGGTTGAAACTTTCTCCACTAAAATTTTCACCCATTTTACGAAAACGAAGTCATGCATATTTGCACATATTTGTACTAGGAGCATTAAGGAGTTGTTACTTCAGGGCACTTACAAAATGGGTATTTTGAATCCCTTTCCTTCGGTGAGAGCTTTTCGGTAGGCGGAGAAGTTTGAGGAGGAGGACACCAGGGCGGTCAGCTCCTTCAACACCTTCCGCTCCTCCACGGGAACACAATCCATCGTTTTGGTCAGCCGAGCTGTAGTTATGAATGAGCAAACAATTTAGCTACCTCATTGTTTACCATACTTTTCCTCTCGGCAATGCAATTAGTCGCGTACCTAAGGCACTGTGACTAAGACTCCCAACCACACCCATCAATGAGTTGAAGTTCTGCAGCTTCCGTAAGTTCTGAAAGAAAACAAAGGAGAAAATGTCTTATTTATTTACCTTCATCAGAGGTCTATCTTTCGCCTCTTGGTTTGCAAAGGAACATGAGTGCGAAACAGTTTCGCAATTTGCTGACTACACGAGCAAATAGAGAGAATTCAGCTGGCAATTGTTCCGTTTACTTTGTGGGCATTCTGTGGGGAAAGCTTTGCTTTCTCAAAACCCATCCAGTCGCAAAATCTCGTCTCCTTAATTCAGTTTTGGTCTGCTTTCTTCGCGTCGTGCCATTCACTCGTGGCGTGGAGTAGTCGTCTCTCTCTGATGATTGTCTCTCATCCTGCTTTCACTTTCACCTGCTTCCCAGCTCTCACATTTCATCAGCAAGTCCACTTCATATGCTCTCCATTCACATTTATTGTTGCGTAATCTTGTGTGCCATCACAACTGCGGAACAACGGGCGGAACCAACGGAACATGTCCCTCAAGAACGGGTTATCCTAACCGCATACAATTTCTCACCCGCCGGAGGTACGTGTGTCTCTCTCAACTATTCAAAAAAGCTCATCTTCCCACGCGGCACTCACTGCTCACATTGTTACGACGCACGTACGTACGTTGGTTCGTAGATATCCTTACAATAATATGTCCTTATTATGTACGTGGTACAACATGTGGCCCAACCACACGTCCCACTAGTGCTTTCTCCAGGAGTGAGTACATATTGTGCAGCTCTTCGCTAGTGCCCAAATTGGAGGAGAAAGCCGTGCTCGCTTTCTCCCAGAGTCGCCCAATTATTTCAGAGACTAATCAATAAAACTCAATTTGTCCTCAACTCTTGGAAATCATACAACTTTGAATCCATCCAACCCAGAAAGACCAAGAAAGTGTCAAAGTTTGAGAATTTGGAGTGAGACCAAACCGACGACGAGAGCCAAATTGAATGACTGCATGATGTCGTCTCAACTGAGTAATCCAATTCACCCGGCCAAGCAGCCACAGCAGGATCTTCATACACATGTACTCCCAACAGGCATGAATGTGTATAGCTGGGTAACAGCTTCTCTCTTTGAGATTTTATGCAGCCACCCAGGTTTTTTTTCCAGCAGCCGACTGTGTGCAGTTGACTTGCCTCCCACCAAAGAGAGTAGTGGAACGAGCCAAATATTTATTGGGCCACCCATTCAATCAATGGATCCTCCTTTCCACTTGTGAACCTTTTATGCATAAATCCAGTTTCCACTCGTGCTTCACTCTCCACTAGAGACTCGTCGTCGTCGACTAGGTTGGTCGTGGTTCATCATCGTCATCATCATCCTGGCGTGTGTGCACATACGTATGATGGATAAGCTGTAGATATTCCGGCCGTCCTCAAATTAGTTGGCTTTCACTTGGCTGCCAACCGCATGAGTTTGTCATGCCAGGTTCACGCTCCTCCGCCATGCACACACCCACCACCTGTGTCCTTTGAAGATGAGGAATAAGGAGACGACGGGCCAGACTTTTGGTGAAAGTTTGACATTTGGTGGCGGATGGCTGGTTGCTGGATCTTGCATCCTCCTTTCTCCCTTGCTCCCGACTTATGTATTTCTCCTTCTCACACAGCCACTGGGCCACTGGGCGAGCGAAATAATGAAATAGGTGAGTGAGAAAGACCCACGTCGGCGACAACAAACAAGCATGTCATGTGGAAACAACTTTCTCTCTCGTGTTCACATTAATTCCCAATTAAAACTTTGCTCCGAATCTAAAGGACATCAATAGGAACACCACCAGGCCGAGGGGAGAAGAGCGAGTGGCTCAATGTACTCCCTGCTAGTTGCTTACTTTGGTTGGATAGTTGGTTGGATTGGGACAAGTATACAGAGTGAGTACACATATGCACATAATTCATGGATTTGATTGAATCTCTCGCCCTCGGATCTGTGGGTGACACGTATAAATGTGTCAAAGAAATTATACTGCAGGTTCTGAAGCAACCCTTCCACCCACCCACACACCCGCATCCCCAACATTTCACAAAGCAATAACTGGACACACATGCAGATTGGCGGATGAGAAGAAGCTGGCAGAGAGTTGACAACCTTTGCCCTTTCGGGCGTGGAGCATGAATTGATTGTGTGGACCAGTCTGAAACGTGGAAGCAGGATTGGGCCAAGTTGTTGGGTAGTTGGTTTATATGAACCTCCACTTCCATCTCAGCTTGGGAGGTTGAGCGAGTAATTAAGTGAAGCTCTGCAGCGCCTTTGAGAGGGAGAGGATTTTGGTCCCGTTGTCAACTTTCTCCGAGGAGAAGAGGAGTTAACTCAATTTCCTCAAAAAGCTATCCTCTCCTTCCGCTAATTCGACCCTTTTCTCCAGAAGCTGCACAATACGTGTATGAAGGTCATCTGGTTAGTTAAACTGCCTGTTTTGTGTGTGGATGGATTGCACCGAGCAGAACCACGAACCCTCCCACATATCCTCCCACCGACTACCAAACAACTGATGGGAATACAAATTGGTGTCCATGATCGCGATTATACGACACGAGAGTTGGCTTTCACTTTCGACTATGGAACGGTGAGCAGAAAACGACGCTGCCCTCTCCGCCGCAATCAAGTCGACACTTGAAATGTAACGAGATGATCACTTTGAGTGGGCCGAGGGACTCACCTCCTGGTTCACCATCACCCAAAAAAACATCCCCCTTGGATTATGCTCTAATCCTGAGTAGAAGAACCAGCGCCTGTTGCTGGTTCTAAATATATAGAAGAAAATATACAGCAGCAAAGTTTCTGCCTCCCAACTTGGGCTGGTGGTTCAGAGCTTGAGGTTTAATTATGTAGCTTTCACTTGGCTCTCTGAAGGGAGAGACAAATGTACGTCCATGTAGCTCGGGTCACACACACGGCTTTGTCGTGACAAACCCGTCAGTAATTGTATCCCCAAATCCACCACCCACGACGACCACGGCTTTCTACTTCTTCTTCTCTGCCAATTTCATCCCGCCTTCTCAGCCCAGAATGTGCATCATAATTGCTTCGTCCTTCTTTTACTTGTATCAGTAGCTAGAAGAAAATCAATCTCGAATGTCAACAGCTTGTGTACTTTGCCACTACGAGTACTACATCTCCAGAGAGAGAGATGTGTACCACACAAGTTTCTCTCTCACTTTCTCTGGCTCTATCTCCTCCGCAATTGAATTGGAATTGAATTTATTCGGTTGTTTGCTCCATCCCAGGCTTGCTGAATTATTCAGAACGGCATCTCAACAAAATTCCGGCGAAATTCTGCTCAGCGAATGTCCCAAATGCAAATCTCTTTCACGTACAAATATCTGTCTTATAAATAAGCAAGTGAGAGGAAGACAGAGAAAGAAGCGTTTTCAGGCCGCGGCAATTAGCCTTCAATGTTCTACCGCAGCAGGTTTTGACATCTCTTATCATCCAGCACTCCACAAAATGCAGTATTTTGGGACCATGATAATCCTCCTCATGCTCAAGCAGCAGGATTTTGCGGACCCAACATATTTATTTATGTGCATGTACATACAATACACGCATAATATTCAGCCAGGCTAGGCCCTGCAATAATATGGGATTCCGGTCGGTCAGGATGTGATGTAACGAAACAACAAGCTCTGTGTGAGGGCTGCCTAATTGAAACATGAACGAGCTCCCCATTGTCGGCCTGAGAGAGACTCTCGGGTAATAGACTCTCGTACATAATTGCCTTCCTTCCGCTCCTCGTGTTACAACTTTCATCATGTCCTTGATGGCCTAATCTCTGATCTCCTCCCATTCCTATTTAATAACCAGCTCCTCCAATTCCCCCTCCTTCCCTCTAACTCGCGAAGGTCGGAGGGAATGGAAGCCTTCATAATTCAGAGGAGCCTTAATTTTACATAATTACACAACCGCAAAGACCGGAACAGGGACCATCATGCTACGGTGAGACTGAGAGTTTCAATGCCACCACACCTCGCGAAATAAGTGAGCATAAGGTGTTCGTTCTGAAGCAATTTCCTTCCACATAAAGAGTCCACCACCAGACCAAATTGGACCCATAAGTTAATATGTAATGCTGTTCGGGCGAAACAATGTGCACCTCTTCCACCCGTCCATTTTTACGCCCGTTGAGAAACCTCGCTCTCCGTTCAAATGGGAACCTTTGTGGTCCTCGTTTCACCTCAGAGTTGGAACCATGGCTGTTTCCAAAGAATGAAAATGAGACTGTCGTGGCCAAGCAGATGGATGTGTTTTCACCACAAACAGGAGTCAACCTGCTAAAGCAGCCTGCGAAACTGTGAAATCGTGATTAAAAATTAAATTAGATTAAATTCCATAAAAATAGGCAACCCCTTCGATGCGAGCTAAGCTAGCCCCTCGTGCCGTTCAAAGGCTGCACCTATGCATGCGTGCATGTGTGTAGCAAGGAGTGGCGTCAACGTCACATCAGGCATTGACTTCCGGGGAAAGAACGTCCTCTCTTCCTCGCCACACGACGTCACTGCTGCCACCCGCAGAAGATGGTCATCCACCTTCCGCCAAACTGCCCCTTCAAAACAACGTGGGTTGGATGAAGGGTCGTCAAGTGGTTGTTATGCCAAGTCAACCGTTATGATCAGAGGGCGGATATGCGTTTATTTTCAACTTTTCCATTTGATGACGACCGATGGTCAAATTTTGTGAATGTGTTTCCTAACTCGCATATTTTTAGGTACTCAAGAAATTCGAAAATTCTTATTTTTGTTTCTTTCGTACATATTTTGTAAATAGATATTCATTTTATAAAGATTTAATCGATTTTTCGTAACTGCATGCATATCCGCTCTCTTTTTGTTCCGATGCTACCCAGTATTTTAATAATTGGTTGAGGCGGTGGCCTTGTTGTTGAGTTTGTATGGAGAAAGAATGTATATGATGATTTATGAGGAATCCGGAATGTATGGATGGATGCTGCTGCTGCTGCTACGGTTCTTTCGACAAGAGTGCACTTGCCAAGTGCTGCGTGGTTAAGTGGAAATGAGACGTAATTGGCGTGTTGTATTATTAGAACTATGGCATCCTCGTCTATGGTCGTCGTCTGCTCTCATTCGTGCTCCAGTTTTGATTTGAGAGGTGAATCTCTCTCGGGTGAAAGTTTTAATTGAATTGAAAAGCACAGGAATGTCTGACGAGCGAGCTGACACCTGAATTGAGCATGGCTGGTGGCATTTCCCTTTGAAGGGACCCTTGCTGAATAGCACGAGTCTTCCTGCTAAATTATAATTATGACACCACCACCACCACTACTTGTACCTCCAGCCAGCCACGGAATCTATGGGAAGAAAAGCACTAAAGTTGTGGTGCCCGTTCCTGCGGGAGACGACGATATGCGACGACGCATTTCGATTTGAATTGATCTTGATCACGTCGCAACTAACACCCTCGTACATGGATCTTATTTGTATTCGTGTGACATATTATTACAGTAAATGCGTCACATAAGAACATGCATGTGCCGGCTGTGTGAGGCAGCAAGAATTGGTCACAAACATCAGCCGTAGATGAGGACACTCCATGTTGATAATCGCTCGAAATCAAGAGTTCTTGGTTCATGAAATGAACTTGTTTTCATGCCCACTTCCTTCCAACCCAACCTCGTTTGATGCTCCCCTCGGCCCATCACGTCTCAATTATACATTTCGTGACAAATCACATATTTATGATTCATTGCATTTGGAGTTGAGACTCAATAAATATGTTCATCCTCCTCGGACCATCCTCGGTGCGTAATGATAAGCTTTTGTTGGGTCGAAATACGTGTCCAATAAACGCATCCTCTCATCTCGTGCCGCCTCAGCTTTTGAGACGCCGATCCTTCACGACATGTGTCTAGCTGTTGGCTATGAATTTGTTTACGTGGCCTGCAATTTGAACAAGGAGAGAGAGAGACGAGCAGAACTGCTGCCCTTGAAACAACGTCCGTGATTGACGTACGTATTACAACAAATTGCGCCGCGTGTAAACAACAAAGTTTTTTGAAGTAAAGTTTTTGCTGCTGTGGAGAAATTGCATAGCGTTGATATGCTACAGACCTATGTATCTCTAGAAGTGATGTCGCAATTTCGTCAAGTTGTGTGACCAGTTATGTGGGGAGGAGACACTAACAATGCCAATAGGTTTGATAATGACCTACCTGAGCGACGTGGACAAACTTGACGATGACATCGGCCCTTTGAGCAGGAGTGGGTCTGCTGAGAACGACACACTGGATCCACTGAAAAAAGTAATTAATTTAATTTCAAACGTTGATGTCGAGATATAATTCGGCATATGTAACTGATATCGAGATTTCTTCTACTAATTTTCATTTGGCTAAATAATTTGCTTAAATCATTCGAACTTTTTGTTCCCACATATTTTGCAACCTAACCTGGCTCAGTCCGTTGAAAACAGCAACGGACCGCTCCAACTTGGGAACTTCTTCCAGCGTTCCACTCTCGGCGTAGCTCTTCAAGTCCTCAAACTGAAAGAAAAATGGTGTTTTTAGGTCATTTCATGTGTTCATTTCACGTTTTTTGGGGTGTGACCAGAGATGTTTTCAGGGGTCTGACCGTGATGCGACGGATGATCTTGTGCTCGAGGAAAGTGAGATGGAGTGCGAGCTCGTTGGGTTCGAGGTGGTTGAAAACGAGGGAGACTTTTCTGGAGGGTCGTGCCCCCTCCACCTCTCGCATCGACACGTTCCGAATCCAGTCATAGTTGGGGAGCGTCGAGAGGTCGAGCAGGGCAGAGTCGCATGGCTCTAACCGGCCTCGAAAACCCTCCACGCTCTGCTGCAACCGCTCATCAAGCCCAAAATGCATCGGGAAGGTCCGTATCCAAAATCTAAACACACACAAAAAGAAACCGTTACGGGTGAGTGGTACCACCTTCGGCTAATTAGACAAGGCGGGTCTCCACTGCCCATGAAACTCGTAACCGTATAATTAATTACTCAACGCGAGTGTCTTTGAGGATATTATTTATTATGCACACCCGGCCAACGCTAGCTCAGTTAATTAATTATAGAGCTATAGTTAATTATAGAGCTGGAGCTGTAATTTGTATCCGAAAGTTGCATAATCTTAACATGGGTGTCATCCGAGTTAAAACATGTAATATGAGCCGGATGGACGAATGGGTGCATAATTCATTTAACCAGGAACATATGAAATGAATTATTTTCATGACATACGTTGTATGCACACATGCAGCAGGCTACATATCGTGTAGGATTTGTCACAGGAAACGTGGAGGATTTGTTGATGACATTGGTTTAGTTCCTGGCTTAGATTGACCACCCCAGTGAGCACATGTATTATTAATAATATTTAACTGAGCTTTCTTGATCCTTTACTACGCACCTATTTACCTTTTCCGGTTATTCATTTCATACCCCAACCTGCATGGAGAAAAACTCGTCCTCCGAGCTCTGGGAAATTGAGCAGAACAGAACAAAACTCTGAGAATTGGGCTGCGAATGTGAATGGAAGGAGGATCCGGATGATAATGATGATATCATTAGCATCCTGATTTTGTGAAGTGAGCATGGTGAGCACAGATTGAGTGAACTGTCGAGTGGGGAGATGGTTAGAGTCAAAGATCAAAGGATCATGGGGGGCAGAGGAGGATGACAAATCGGTTGATCGACCGAGGGAATAAAAGCTGCTTTTTGACTTGATCTTACTTCCGAGAATATTCGCATCTCCATTTCTGCCCTTTGTGACAGGACTGGGTGAGATCCCATTGGATACGTCTCCTCACCAGCACTTGCCCATTGAGAAGGATGAGGTTGATGGAGGTGAAGTGAGAATTAACGGTCCACGACTTTTTTGTATCATGACGGAAAAATGTAAGAAAATGAAACCAGGCCGTTTGCAAAGCGAACACGAAGCTGAGTCGTAATAATGAAGAGCATTATTCACATCATCAGAACTGTGTGTAGGCATTATCCTCTTCCTGGATTCGACGGATGGTGGTGGTGGTGGCGTGGTGGCACATGTCGTGTCACACGTTGCTTTCTCTCTCTGGGAGAAAGTGGAAATTGTGTGGTAAATGGTGCGCGGATGCATATTGTGGAAAAGGTTACTAAACATTACATGGCTGACTTGGTTGGTTGGATGGCTTGGCTGGTTAGATGCATGACAATGGATCGATAAAATTCACCAAAAAAAACCCAAATTAAGCCTTCTTTTCTTTTCAAATAGCAAAAAAACTGGTGAGCTGTGTGTGTTTGTATGTGTGCAGGCAGAGAGTGAGAGAAGGGACGAGTGATAGAGTAAAGTATGGGGAAAAGCAGTATGCAATGCACTAGGTGGAGGAGGATAATGATGATGATGGTGAAATATCTACCAACCAAATGGTAGTTCAGCCTTAGATCGGCGACCAGCATACGACAAGATATTACCGTATGCACATACATATCGGCACGTCTCCGTGGCGTTGGTAGTTTTTTTACATCGTTGTTGCCCATATACTGAGTAACTACTTGCTAAATATGTGTGCATACAGATATTATATTTTGCGTGCAATTTGCTCATCATTCCAACCTGAATAGAGGAGAGATCACATTTGCTGATGCTCTGTTTGTCTCGCAACTTGGTTTTAGTTCCTTAGCTCGCTTTCTTTCTTTCTTTCACTCTCCTTCCTCTGTTTGTTGGGGGCATCTTCTTTCATTGCACAATTGATTGTCTGCCAACTTTCATCTCAGACTTGCTCATATTTGCTGCCAACGGCACAAGACCAGCGAAAACAACCAACTTTCACTTTGTCATCTTCTTTATCAAAGTTGGGAGGATGGACTCAAAATGTGAATCAAAGCGGAAAAATGTCAGAGAAAGTGAATCAACCAGCAATATCAATTCCATCCAGCCCACGTTTACTGAGTCTGATAGTCTTTCTGTGTAATGCATGCATGTGGAAGCTGGAAAGGTCACACACCAGCCAACGCGGAAAATGGAGTGGGATTCTATATTATACTTCATCCCTCGTACATACTCGCGCGCTCCTGTATACGCGCATATATATCTGCCTTGCCGAAACTCGTGGCGCTTGAGAGGAGGGGCACGATAAGCAAGAGACAAGAGAGTGGTGACTAACTAATGACATATCCTACGTGGAAATAAGTGCATATTTAAGTGCGAATGACGCTGGCATTGCTTTCACCTCTACTGAATTCTCATAATGTACTCGGGCAGAATCTGCATTGACCATTTGTGGGGAGAGATGTGGGGGAGGAGTAAATTTATATAGTGTGTGCGTACCTGAGGGCGAATATGACTTGAGCTCGAAACCTGAGGGTCCTGCAGGGCGGGTGGGAAGTTGGGGGAGCGTAGGAGTGGGCGGAAGAGTTTGAAGAGGATGACTCAGAGGAGGCGGAGGGGGTGAGCATGAAATGAGTGCAGTGGGGGTCGCAGCATGGCGCCACGACCCCCGCCCCCTCCCAACTCGAGATCAAGAGGAAGGCGAGCTGGGGTGACGACGTGAACCACTGGTGCATGAGGAACAGAGTGCGGGGAAACGTCGACAGGTCCTCTCGAACCTCCCCCTTGGCATCTAAGGACCAAACAATCCGGCACAATTATGACTCTCATTATACTTACGCACTCAGAGAACGAGGGGGAAAATATATGACATTTGTGGGACATGGGCTGAGCGAAAGGGGAAGCGCATATTTGTTTGGTCTGGGCACTCACTGAATGACTGAACACAGAGGCGAACGAGGGCGCGGATGGAGGCGGCGCGGATGGGGAGACCGGGGTGAAGTTGTCGCTCGTCCTCAAAGATGACCTCAGAGGAGAGGTCAGCGAGTAGGGAGGCAATCAGGGCGGCGTGGTGATGGGTCGTGGTGGTGGCCGAGCTCGAGCCAGCCGAGGAGGACCAGGAAGAAGCATTCTTGGATCCACCTGTTCGTCGAAACTTTGTACGTTTTGTTGCCGCCGCCGCCACCGTCGACGTCGGCGTGATGCTTCCCTTTGTCCCCTCATCCATTCTTCATCCCTCATCCCTTGAGAGGGACTGACTTTTACCTCTGAGAATCGGACTGGTTGAGTTTCATTTCAAATTTTGCATGGAGACAGGGACACTTCAAAGGTTTGCCCTTGACCTTCTCCCATCGCCCACTACAACAATCAGCAGCACGGAACAGAAATGTCCTCCCTCAAACCTGATCACAGCTTCATTTAAGGATAACATTCGAGAATTACTTGTTAATAAAAGTTAACGTCTGGATGGCTGTCAGGTGAAAGCTGATTTGCATTGGTCCGTATCATAAAGATCGAGCTGTACTACTTCTTTTGAAAATAGTCGACCCTTCGCAAAATCCTGTACATGTGACAGGCAAGTTTTCACCCAGCGTTATAAAAATATGTACGTTCAGTGAGTAAATGATGATTCATGTACATTTGTACTGACCCTTCAGAACAATGATTCTTTAACATGTGTTTATTGTCTGCACTTTATTGTGGACGAGGCAAACACTGGGATAACAATATGCTGACAGCACAATCACTCAGAGACGAGGCGAATATTTGATATTTTTCTAAGAATAGCTTCTTTTTTGGAATCACTGCAAAGTTTTCTATCGCATGTGAACTACGACGACCTGGTCCAAATATTATGCAGAAGGGGGCTCGTTTATTTTTTTGGGGGGAGGAGGAGAGAGGAAACTTTGGCCTCACAAGGGAGAGAGTTTTGCCGTTCAGTTTAGAGGATGGAAAGCAGAGTCGTTGGACGTGTGTGTGAATGGGTTGGAGGCGAAAGTTGGACTGACTGCCTGGACTCTGAGAGCAACTTTCTCCATCCAACAACTCTCCTCGCCGTCGTCCCCGCTCGCTCAATATCTGAAACATGTTCAAATCTAGTAAAATCTAATCGTTATTGGACCTCCGCGACTACCAGAATAATAGCTCACATAGCATGACATTAAATAAAATAAGGATGCCCATACACCCGCCACGATCGGAACATGGGGCCGACAAATTGAAGCGATATGAACTGAACACGGGATTGGTGTGATGCTTGCATAAGTCTGTGTGGCCAAAAGAAATTATCCAAATTGCTCAAAATAAATTTTACTTCTTGGCCCGGTTTTTTAACGACTGGCATGACAAATGCAAGCAAATGAGTCTGGGATGGTTACGCAGGTGGTCACTTCCTGCAGGTATGTAGCAGTCGGGTGACCAGGGTAAGGGACGCTTGGCCACTTTGAGTTAGACACGAATTGGGCGATGAGACATGGCATCAAACAGAGCCTGCAAACACTCGGACTAAATATGTATGGCTGCGGGTGAAAAGTACAAATGATGATAAGGTGAGAATAATGCACACTCATCATCATCGTCACCTCCGCTGGGTCCTGTCATCCCGATTTCATTGGACTGATTTCCTTGCAGCCACCCACAGAGAATGAAGCAGGCCTAGGAAGAGAAAGTTTGCTGGTTGGTTGGGCAGATGAGGGCATGAGAAGCTCCGACTACGTATTTAGTAGGATAGCATATACTTTTATGTGTCCTATATGTTTGTACATATATCGAGCAGAGTGACTTGGTACAGTTTTGCTATCGATTATTATAAGCCGCCAGCTTCCTCCACCAGTCAGTCAGAAATACGCGACGACGACGACGATGACGACTATGCACTCCTCAACCAGCAAACTACCAGGCAACGACCAGTCTCAAACTCTCTAATCCATCCACATTCCCTCGGGTCCTTCCACATACACACACATCTCAAAATCCATGCATGTGAATCCGCATCCTTCACTCATATTCAAACGACGGCACGATGGGAGTTCACTCCCAGCATGCCCATCCTTCCCCCCACCATCATTGTGCAGGATAAGTGTTCACAGGTACACAAGTGGAAGGATACAACGTATAATTTGATTGTGGACTCAAGGTGAATGTGATGAAACTAAAGTTGAGCACAAGTGAAAGTTTCCATGATTTGATTTTATGTTCAGTTCTACATACATCGCTTCAGACACCAGACCGTGGCTGCTGTCGTGCGGAGGGGAGACCACGCCAACTACTATTTTCATTTCCCTCCTCCTCCTCAACCTCGGCGTACACCAGGGTTTGGTTGGCAGAGGAAAAGTATTTGTCTGAAGGAATGCTTGGGAAGCTGTTTGTCGCTGAGAAAGGCCGAGCCGAGTTGTAGCCAGAGAGAGAAAATAAAATAGTTTGACAAGGAAAGTGAGCCCGGGATGAGAGAGAAAGTTTGGCAGCAGCAGGTCTGTTGGTCATACGCCGATATTCTCCCTCTCTCTCTACCACGCTGCCACAAGAAGGCGGGTGATGGAGAAGCTATTAATAATACTCGGCCGATGAACGCGGACTCTCCGTCATCCATCATCCTTCCCCCCACGTGATGGCCAGAGGCGAGCTTGGTGGGCACGTTGTTGAGCAGGAGGAGTGGGGGTGGCGGTGTGAGGGAGGAAAATTGATCACCCATTTCCGCTCTGTTGGTTCTCCATGACTGACACAAACTTTTTAATTCGCTGTCAAACAAGCAGAATTTAATCCATTTATAGGTTTTCTTTCAATTTATTTGTAGGATATGGTCAAAACTTTCCCTTTCCCCAGGAATCACTGAAATCGTATGAAATGATGATGTACAGAGTGTGTAGAGTTTATAAAAAAGAGGGAATCCAATAAATTTGATGCCATGAAATGAATGAGAAGTGGAGAATGTGGATTAATGTGGGGCATTCTGGAGAAAGTTTTCGCTTTCTCTCTCGTTCTGCAGAAGGAGGAGGAAGGATGATATCCTGCTCGTCGTCCTCGACCCCAAGAGGACGAGGATGAGAATGACGAGATCAACTATGGATCAACTTACTGTAAATATTTCCCACGGTCGACGCTAACCATAAATAGAACGAGAGAAAGTCGCTCGCTCAAAATAGACGACGCGGCTCTCTCCAGGACAAGGAAAGGAAACGACATCTTGCACGGTGGATGGGATGGATACGTGGAGTGGACTGTGGAGTGATCCAATAGCTTATGTATAGTGTTCATTTTGAAAATGAGCGAGATGAAATTAAACGGGCGAGCAGTGCCCTGATTTCATCTTCTCTCATCTTCGGAACTAGAAACACGGGCTAAACGTGAAGCCATAAATATCAGCTTAGGCGACTGACAACAGCACAATGGGATGCGGCCATGATGATGATAATGATGATATGAAGCTGTATTTGCAAACAAAATAACGTGCATACTTTCACTCTGCTCGACTTTCTCTTAACGCTTTCTCCAGCATTTTCTCCAGAAATAGATTTTAAGGGCAACTCTTCCGTAATACAAACACTTGGAAGAAGAGAGGATGGGATGCAATAAGCTAATGTATATGTAAGTATACAAGTACGTACGTACGTATTTACGACTGATGAGCGTAATAAGGTTATTTGGAACCTGGAAAAAGGGTATCAAATGTCATGTCATCCAAAAATCGGGTTTTTCGCTGCTCCATAAAACAGAGAACCATCCGGTCGGAAAAGGAGCCGTTGGTTAAGTTGGAGCTATATATAATACACGTAGTTAGTCGTGGAAGGAAAGCGGTGTAAGGTTTCGTTTCACTGACGTTGACTGTGCAAAACTATGGGTGGCTTAACTGCCCGTGTTGTTGCTTTCTCCTCCTAACTCGCTCTCGTATAGAATATCCATCTCTGATAGAGTTGGGAGTCGAATACAAGTTCGATACAACTAACTCACGTAAACATATGACAGAAATAGCTCCATTATTTACAGAGTACGCAAATCTATGAATTCCATGAACGCAATAATATGTATGTAAGTCAATAGCGAGTTTGTATGGGCACAACGTAATCACATGTGCATACATGTGTGGTAGGAGGCGAGGCTGCCATTGCGGCCAACAAACAAGGACATCATGAAACCTATCACTTTGGGCTCATCGCAAACAATATGAACCAGCAACATCGAGTGCACTATGTGCTTCACACTAAAAATTCGAGGTAACCCTTTTTTGTGTAAAAATGACTCCAACACTGTACATTGTAAACCGTGTCCCACCGGGAGTAAAGTCGTTAATGCGATGTGGTGTTAATCCACGAGTAACAGGGTGCCGAGTAAGTTTTGACTGGTTTACTCGTCCCCGTGTTAATGTTACCCATGCACGGGTTATGACACTGTGATTTACTCTTTATGGAGTAAAAAGGACGCTTCCTTTTTACTCCATCTATCACGAGCGGGCACGAAGCTTTGTCAGTCCACCACTCGTCACTCTCCAAAATATTTTTTTTACTTTACCTGACTGTCAGAAATTTAATAATTCTGCTTTACTTATATAAACAATTAGTAATAGATATTTCTAACTAATAATAATTAGTTAGCATAATCCCATCTATACTCTCTGGTACACAAACTACTATATAGTGATGTGTACGGCTGTTGGAGCAATGTGATTTGAGTGATTACTTCCATAAGTTTCAAGGTCAGTTTTTATTATAATTTTTTGGGGACTTGAAATCATTCGTACTAAATACTTAACGCTGTTTTATTATTTAGATAAACTCATCTGTGATGACCCCTTGTCGACATTTAAAGACACCGACCTAGTTGAACTTGTACAGGGCATTGGACATCATCTGAACTTTGAACAGCCATTAAGAATTCGGACAACTATCTTTCTATTTTTTGATTTTACATAGTTATAGATAGATAGTTGAAAAGCATAAAAATAACTTTAAATTGTTACACACAATTTTGTTACACCTGATTAAATACAAAGTTTTTAATTGAATATAATATTAATTGTCCGTTAATACAGGCATTGCATGGATAACTCATAACCAGTAAAAACAACCCTGTAACCAGTAAAGTGGTAGCTCGGTACCGAGTTAACGGTAACCCCTTTACGAGTTATACGCTAACCCTGTGCGGGGATAGCCACCAACTCGCTCAGGGTAAAGTCGGTTACCCTTTGGCAAATTCGCTCGGTTTACTCTGCACAGCGTGGAATCACTTTCAAGTCCGCACAGTATTACATTTTACTCTGCACGGACTTAAAAATTTTTACTGTGTAGGCGACGGTGTCATGTGTAGATATGTAGATATCACATGTGAAGCCCCCTCGAGACAAAAACATATTTCCAGCCTCGCCCATAGAAATTCTACATGAAACAAGTTGAGATTATGCAAGCACAACAATAAATTGGAACAGTCGAATGACGGGTGTCAAATGTATGTAGGTAACTGAATGAATGTCAAGTAATAATGGTGAATATATTTAGTGCGGGTAAGTTAAGCAGCTGTGGAACATACGTATTAAAATCTGGGCGACTTGCTCCAGAATTATCATCATCCTCCAGAAATGGGGGTGACGTGTGAAGTCTTGTGGCTATAAATATACTGGCTGGATAAGGCGTATATGCGATCGTTGTTCTATCTAGTTTGATGTCACAGGAGGACACAGAACCAGGTGCGGGAGGATGACGCGCTAGATATTTCCAACTTTATGACCAGATTCTGGAGGACGTGTGGTCTCGGCTTGTTTGCAGAGAGAGAGTAAAGGAGAGAGAGATAGAGAGAGAGAGAGAGAGAAAAACGAGTTAATTACGAGATTGTGTGAGAGAAAGTGTGGCTCATGACGGATTACACGGCTCGCTCATTATACTCTGGCACGAAACAATTGATGCAAGCGCGTCAGTGAGTCGAGTCCGTGTGGAATATCCACCCAGGAAGACGGACGTAATCAACTGGCTAATTCGGCAAATTAATTTCCCTCGTGAAGTGAAAAGTAGGCGTGTTGGGGGCTATTGACGCAATTAAAATGGGATATTAATACTTAATATGCAATGTAGGCAAAATGCATCAGTGGACACCAAGCTAAATTGACCACTTCAAACTATGGATATTATTAATCAGGTATAAAACGCAGTACAGATAAATGTATAGCATGACGATAAATATGTACGTATCTACATAAAAGAGTAGATTGGAGGAAATATACAAACAAAATTAAGCATCACGCATCTCCGTATCCACGATTAATTTCGGCCAAAAACTTTCTACATTTCCCCTTCAAAACTCGGATCGACTCTCGGAACAAGGCATCTGGCGGCATGGCTCCGAGAGATTCTATTGTAACTGAAAATATAAAGCAAAAAATCATCACTCTGATCACGCCATGCATACTTTCGTAGTGTATTGTGCGACCTTTGAAAAGGACCATCGACACAAACTCAACCTTTTCAGAGAGAAAAGATTTATAGCCAAAGAAATTTACCAACCTGCCGACCGAATTTTGGAAATAATGCTGTGAGCTTAAAAACATACGCACTTGCTTCAATATATCAGTAACAATGCTGCTAAAAACCTACTTAGGGCTTATGTGTAACGCTTGTTTGGTTATTTTTTTAGAATTAAAAATTAACATAGGATAATCCTGAGTATGATATGAAATTCTTCTGTTTAAGTTTCGAACAGTGGTTCCTGCGATGGAAAAGTCAAGAATTCGGACTTTTTCATTTGATGTAAATAATGCCTAGAAATAAATCTTGAACGGAACTCGGCTGACTGTGACTATGGTCCCTTTTCATATGCACATACATACATACATATGTAAATACGACATTTTATGAAAATTTATATTACAAAGCTTACAAATGAAATGGTCCTTTACTCTTCCTAGTTGAACACAATCTGCGAGATCTTCATGTCTCAAGACGTTTCTGCTGCAGGAATCGTACCTGGCATCGTGCACTTTGGCCACTTTCTTACCTACGGAAGGATAGTTTACAATAATAAAGTAAATATTTGGGATCAACTATGACCGTTGTCAGTTCATTGGTAGTTACATATTTTTATCTTACCATTCTTTTCTACGAGGGTAATAACTCCAGGAGAAAAACACTTTTGTAATTTTTCTGCGAGTTCCCCCTCTACAGATCTCGTTAATTGAATGTCAGGAAGGAGTCGGTAAAATGCAGTCGCTAAAAAGAACAGTTTTAATAAAACATATTTTCTGCTTCAAGTCTTTCGTTCATCCGTCCACACATACCAACAGGGGAGAATTTGGCGTGGTCCTTCCCAATTCCTTTCACCGCGTGCAACTTCATATCCAATTCTTGTCCTGGGCGTAATTTGTTGATAAGAACTCCCTTCTTTTCGGTGGGTGTCTAAACAGATAAATTGGATCCATGATGCATTATTTGTCATCACAATAGTATTGCCCATTTAACTTTTTTTGGTACATACTAAAAGTCTGGAGACATCTCCAACCGTAGGACCTACATCGGATGCTCTGAAAAGATGGCCCTGTGTCCCAATCGGAATCCATTTTAGATGAGTAGAGTACACTTTAGAAACAGATGCGAATATTATTACAGCACAAATGATGAATTAGTTTTAACCGTGCCTGGGACAGTGAATTTCTTAAAAATGATGTTTAGGGCTCATTTTTGGAGAGAATGGACAACGGATCGGTAATTCTGTGGGGACTGGGTTTCTTCACAGAATTACCGATCCGTTTTCCATTCTGTCCAAAAATGTGCCCTAAACATCATTTTTAAGAACTTATTTTTGTGCCTGCGTCCCAAAAGTGAATGTCATTCTCTTTATCAAACCTTTGTGATTAATATAAAGTTCATCTGGATCGGTTGACTCTGCAGATTTGTCTGGGTTCCAAGAACATCTAACTTTCAGTTCAAATTCCAGCGTGTCCTGCTCCGTTCCATGCAAGTCTCCTACATAACCAATTTATTATTCTCAGTGCTTAACATGTAACTATCATGTGGTGACTTCTTTTGTTTTTATACCTTCTTGACGATACTCAAACTTTCTGGGGTCAGCCTTGAGGGGAATCAGCCCCAACCTGTGAGCTAGCACTTCGTCCGGAATGACGGACGTGTTATTGTACATGAATACTTTCTCAATGGCCATGGATGGGACCTGCATTTTTGACCAATAAAAGCACACGAAATTATAAATTGTGATTAATATTATTACATTAAGTCTTTCTCGTCATACGAATTATTTAATTTTACGCATTAATTATAAAATTGTTAATTATGATGTAATGCAGAAAACCTCGGACAGAAGAATCCGTCGAAAAGCATTCACAATTGAGGGGTCAATGCTGATAATGTCAAACTCCATTTCTGTGTTGTCACACCGAATCACGTGCATTTCTAACTGCTTCTTAAACTTTTTAAGGTCCCATCGGTCATCATAGTCGCTGTAAGTTCCACTATACAAGGAACTGCTCGTCTAATAAAAATATTTGCAAGTCAATATATTGATTCTTATAAGTTATAACATGTATAATTTACAAATGTGTTACTCACATCTATGACTTCATGCTGCTGCATGACTGCCAGATTTCTGGAACGCTTAATGTTGTCCATTTTGAAGTCAGTCAAAAAATAAATCGCTCTAAGTAATTCGGAAAAAAGATACAGAAATTCTCACACGTGCTTTCTCGATTCAGTGATGGAATGAGAGGAATTTGAACATAGCGGCGATTGAGCTGCATTTCGCAGCTTTATGTCTGCCTTAGCTGGATTTTTGGATTTTTCATACATTTCTAATCTTGTGCCTATCTTTCAAATAAATGAGTAAATCTTTCAGACACCCGATGCAAATGTCGATATGGAAAACTGAATGCAAACTTGATGGAAAGCTGATTTACAATTCCACCAGGCATAAAATAAAAGTAGAAAAATCATCATTAAACCTAGCCCAATTAGTCTATCAACACAGTGTTAATTGTTTACTGTAAATCGCCGACAGCTACTCTATATAAATATTCATCAATATAAAATATGTATAAAATGTATTAATATCACGGTTATTTATGGAGAAAGTATGCAAAATCTGAATTGATGGAGTAGGAGTGTGCATGAGCAGTGGCCGAGGGGGCGACGTGAGAAGGTGTGGTGGGAAAAGTGAATTTGCTGATCATCTCAGCTCCAGCGAGTCTTGTCTGCTGCTGCCTCGCCAATATTCCACTCGATTCCTGGGTGAGTGAGTGAGTGTGCTGAGAATATTGCTACCAGAGCCACAGTCAGTCGGACTCTGTGCCCTATTCTATTCTATCATTTTTCCAATTGACCCAACTACAATTAGACTTTACAGTTGAAATAAATCCGCACCGGTTTTAATTAGGAGACGCATTATCGAATTAGCCTGTTTGGTTGGTGGTCTGGGTGGATCAATTCGAGGTCCTCCTCCAACCAAGCCAGCAGGTTTGTAGGATAAATTTTGTATAAAAACGTCATATTACGACGTCTAGGAAAAGGAAATCAAAAACTTTTCTAAATAACTGGTAATTATTTTAGCGTATTATTTTTATTGTCGTGAATGCCTTGAGCTACTATCTACCTCTTTCTTTTTCATCAGATTAAAGGAATCGGATTAGTGAAGTTGTATATAAAACGCCGATGCCTGACCCGACCGGTTGCTCGCTTACTGATTGATTGTTTTGAGAATCATGATGACGGAGGAACTCCGGAATGATGGGACTAATGTTGACCTGCCCATCGAGGAGGCCGGTGGAGGTAATACGATTGTTGGAATTGCGTACCATGAAAATCTGAACGTCATTCTTGTTGGGACGGGAGATGGGAAGTTCTACGTTGTTGACCCTACTCTCCGGGACGTCCTCTACTCTACGACCACCCGTGAGCACCACTTTTCACTTTTTCTTTTGTTTGGGGGATTATGAACCTAAAAGATTAACAGAGGAAGGGTTATGCAAAATATTCTTGTAACTTGTATGGTTGGCTGTTTGCAGGTGACCAGCCCATCACATCAGCTGGCACATCACCACCCACTAGACGTGATTGGAGTTTTGGTATTGGTCTTGATAAAGTAATCGTGGTGGAAGAGAACTTTGTGGGGATTCGCAGCGAGTATAATGGAATTCTCCTCCTGGGTTCGGTCCTCCAGGGACAAGTCAAATCTTCAAAGGACATTGTCCAGATTGAGCTCAACAAGTCAGAGGTGAATAACAAAATACGCAATACATTGATGTTACATAATACACGTACAAGTGATGGAGGATATAGTTTCGTAAAGAGTATTGTTAGTATTAACATTGTTTGCATCACAGGCGGAAAGTTTGTCCCATTCACTCTCAGCATTGGAGACAAACGACGCAGAAATATCTTCTGTACATAACCAGTTAAAGTCATTAATGAGTAAAGAAGTGGAGACAGGGTCGCCATTGTTGTGTGGAAAGATGGAAAAGGTACGCACTTTGTTATTTTTGTCAATGTCGTACTATCAATCACTGTTATTAAGTGAACGTGTGGAGTGAACATAATAATTTTGACACCAAGTAAGTCTGTCTATTATTCTCTGTATTTCAATTTTAGTGGAACACAGTCAAGTTGCAGTTGCCCCATTATCTAATCAAGAACTGCGTCCAATCGCTGGTTACCGACCTGGTTAAGAAAAATCACTACATCCCCCAACTTTCTATCGCATCATCCATCCTAGAGAGGCTCAACATGCTCATGCTGCATTCAGGCTTGAAAGATGTCCAATCAGCACTCGAGGTTCCTCCGCTTGATAAGACGCAAATGTTCTCTGAATCTGCCAGACTGGATACTTTCCACAGTTGGCCTCATAGTGACTACAAGTAAGGATGAGATGCTATGTAGATTAAATTATTGTTTTAAAGCAGCCAGTACTAGAACTTGTTTTGTTTTTTATTCTCTTATCGTAGGTGGGCTCTCCCAGATAAAATGGCCCAAGCTGGATTTTACCATCATCCCAGTGCAAACGGGGATGACAGGGCACTGTGCTTCTCTTGCAATGTATGTCTGGTTAGTTGGGAACCTACTGATGAACCATGGTGAGTTTGTCAGAGACAGACTAGTATTCTTGTATCATTATTTATATTCTGTTTACGGCAAATAGTCAGTCCTATTGGTATATTATTTTTATTTTGTTATGTTTTCAGGTCTGAACATGAGCGTCATTCTCCATTTTGTCCTTTTGTTCGTGGTGAACATACTCATAACGTTCCTCTCAGTCTTTCCTTTGCTACTGCACCCGCTTCAAGAATTTGCAGGAATGGGATGGGCGCTCCTATCCTAGGAAAATCATCATGTCCAGCCGGCGTAGTTATTGGCTATGATCAAGGACTTGTGGTCGTGTGGGAAATTGTCAAGCAAGCAAAGGTATGATCATCAGATATGATCTCATCATCAATGACTCGCTTTCCATTATTTTGTGGTGATGAATTTGTAAATTAACATGTTTTCTGCTGGTATTTTTTTTAGGAATTGGTGCAAATTGAAGTGACTGCTAAAGCGATTGCACAAGCAAGTCAGCTCAAGGACTTTTCTAGTTATTGCGACGTAGCCCTCAAACCAAAGGAGGCTTGGGTGATGGACACTTCAGAAACGTTGGGAAGTGACGTTTCTCACATTGCCAAAGGTATATCTTGCATTATTAAATTTATTGGATTATTATTAAACTTTCGTAATAATTTTTTTTGCGTATAGTACTTAAACTTTTTAAATTTAAAATGTAATCTTTTCAACTTCAGAGTCCCTCGAAAACAATGTAACGAGTAGAGAGAAAGTCATTCTACATTCTGTGGCCCTCTTGGGATGTCCATCCACAAATGCTGAGAACAAATCTGCAGAAAACAAGCCCGTCCCTCCATCCCTTGTCGTGGGTGGTATCATCCTCCGTTCAAGTCAAGCATCGCCATTCATTGTGGTGTATGATCTCGGTGTCAATGCAGCTCACTTGAGTGTCAATGAAGATTCTGGAACAAAACCTAGTGACGATTTTTACACGAGCTCAGGAAGTACAGGTATGTTATCAAGTTTGAAGTAGCATATCATCATTGACTTGTTGAATATGCATTTGGTCACAAATCAAAAACTTAGTTTTGCATTCGGGTACATCTCGAAATCGCGTGCATAGCATTTGGACACAGGGCCAATGTTATGGCATTCAATGCAAGCAAAGCTCAAGTTTCAAGTTTTTAATTTGTGGCCAAATGCATAATATGCATTTGGATATGCTTATGCAAATCATATGCTTAAGCAAATGCATATGCATATGCTTTATTGAACATTATTCAATAAAGATACGTAGGTAGTAGATATGCATGCGAAACCACTAACGTATAGCTGAGCCATCTTATCTTAATTTGATGATACACAATATTTAGGAACGAAGCAGGAATCCCAAGCATTTGACGACGATGCTTTCACCTCATACATTTCAGAGGCAGAGCTCATGTCAGACTCAGTAAGTATTTTCTCTGACCTCAACATGTCCGATTCGCATGGATCCTGTCCTGGTGCGTTTCTCGAGTTTCCTGTCGTGATGGGAGCCGCTGAAGTCCCACCCTCACCCACTTCCCAACAGACAATCAGTCAGCCTCCGATCGCGTCCTCAATTCCTGGATTTCTTCAAAAGAAAAAGAGTGCTGCCAAGAAGATTAGTGCAGCGGCGACGGGCCTCCCTCCTCCCTCCACCACCGTCGTTACTAAACAAGATAAAAAGAACCCAACGACCGTGCTCATCCTTCAATCTGTCCCGTTACCTGGTCCAGAAGGGGCTTGGAAACACGTTGTCATCCAAAAATTGCTTCCCACTCCAGACGGAGCCCAACTTATTGTGATACTTGGAGAAGGGACCATGCCAGTCTCTGGAGACAAGAAGCAAGCTTCAAGATCGGAGCAACAACAAGAACAAGCTGTCGGTGCAATCATTTCTTACAAAATTTATGCAGATATTACTTCCGTACGAGTATCCAATGATAATTCCTGCATTCGAAAACTCACATCGAGGGAAGAGTTGGTGGTCGGAACATGTTTTGTGCCCCCTGATAATACCCACTCCTTACTCGGCACGGCACTCAAAAGTGGTGAAGTATGGCTCTTGAAAACTCTAGATCTCAGCGTGGTCAGTGTGATAAAACGACCCGGAAGTGAGCTTCGTGTCACCGCCATTTCATATGTTTCAAGTAAGTGACCTGGTTTTATTTTATTTTTTCATATTATGCTTCTTTATCCATAAATGTCATTTTAATAATTAAAAATAAATCAATGCATGTTGTGCTCTAGGTTTGGAACGGCTTTGTTGTGGCACATCTTCTGGAACTTTGGAGTTTTACCCAGTCAACATCCCTTCCGACGAAGCTGAAGGTGTGGATGTTCTAGATGATGAGGACGTCAAATTAGGGGGACTAGGAGGTACCAGCACGACCTCCTCATCCATCCCTTCGGCTCCAACCTCAGGGGGCACTTCTACCAACGCCCAACAGGCCAACAAGTCATCCTCGGACCTGCCGCAGCTCGCCCTCATCTTGGATGATCCAACTCTACTCGTGAACCAGGCTCTCAACGTTTCCTCTCTCAAGTCACTCCTCAACCTCACAAACTTTGAAAATATCAAGCCGTCCTTCAGCGCAAACGTTTCCTCCTGTTGGCAAAAGGTTATTCAAGCCCAGAAAGAAAGAAAGCATCCCCAACATTTACAACACAACGAGAATGAGTTTAATGGAAGCACATTGACTTGGAAGTTGCAAAGAAACAAGTGAGTAGATAGCCCTGTAGAGATTGGTGAATTTCTTACCTTTAAGATCGTGTTTTCAATTTGTACACCTTTTAATTTCAGGATTTCAAGGAAAGAACACATTTTTGAAATTACCCTACCAAAGTCTACTCGAGTGGGACACTTGGACCTCAAATTCCTACTCCAACCTGGATGCGTGGCAGCCTATCTTCCATCCATCGAAATCACGTTGTATCGCGCTGTTCAGACCAAATCCAGCTCGTTGAAGGATTTGCCTGATATTGAGAAAAGGATTGATTTCGGGAGTCAGCCCAATACAAAAAGCAACAAAAGTCCGACAAATGAGTTTCTTACTTCTATCCATGCCGAGTTGGTCTGTGGTCCGTTGGACTTGGGGTCATATGTTGATCTCTCTGCCACTGGTGGAACCGTGGTAATGACCAGTCCTTCCATGATTCTGAGAAGAGGCCGCAACTTTTATCTCCACATTCGGGCCAAGAATTTAGGCAAATTAGAAGATTCCTCATCAGTGTTGACTTCTACAAATCCTCCCTCTGTAACCCCAAACTACAACATTTCTGACGCAGCCACCTCCACACGGAAAAAAATTAATCAAGGTCTGGCTGCTGTGCTGGCTAGTCATCAGGAAAAAATTGCCATGCAAAAGGCCAAGTTTCAAGGGATCAAGACGGCCCTGAAAGGAGGATGGGGAAAAGAAACAGTTATGGATATGTCTGACATTCTACCCTCATTCCACCCACATTTTGGTGCTGGACCCAACATGATGTCATCCAGCATAATTGGTCCTCATAAACCTAGCTCCTGTCCAGGAGGCGGGGATTCTTCTTCCGGCGGCGGTGGTGGAGTGATTGGAAATCCTGAGGACAAACGAAGAGATTACACGGGTTGCGATTGGATCAATGAAATCTCCATTACAATTCGACAAGTGAAACCCACGTCACATCGCAATGAAGAGTAAGGCTATTATTATTCTTAAGGACATGTTTTCTTGGTTTGGTTTAATTAATTAATCTTTTTCTAGTTATGAACGGAAAGCTTTGCTCATGTCAGAGCCTGTATTTCTCAATCTATTAAGAATTGCGGTTCTTGAGTCGGACGACAGTTGCTACGCCTCGCAGTCGGCAGCCTTAGACTTACTCGTTTGGATTGCTGCTGTGAATCTCTGTGGCCCTCCAGTCGGATCCATGGCCTACCAGATCAAATTCATCAGAGCTGTGCAAGACAAGCTGGAAGCGTTAGTCATGCAAGGGATTCTCATGGCTGATCGCTCAACCGCTCACAAATGTGCCAAACTGCTCGTCCTTTGCATAGAGTGAGTATTTAGGGAGACTTTGCTTTCTTTTTAGCATTTTTTTTGCACGTGGCTGCATTCTTAATTAATAAATGAGTAAACGTGGTTGACTAATTCAAATTGTTATTATTCACAGAGCGTCCGAGAACTTCCACAGCAGCGAAGAAGTGAACTTTTCAAAATCTCTCCTACATGGACTTTTAAACCTTCTCCAGTATATCGTCTCCTGCTACTCTGCGGGCTCCTTGCAATGGTACTTTCTCCTCCTGAACAGAGTGAGGGGCGAAAATCTAGGACTTGCGAGCGACTCACTTCTAGGAATTTTGAAAGACGTGTCGGCAGAGCTCAAAAAGAGAACGGATCCACTCCATTCCTTACTTAGGACAAGGTACTACCACTATACCTACTATAACTAATAGAACGGCGCTACTCCAGACACTGCTGTGGAGTTTTTTTAAACCTCAATATGTTTGTCTGGTGGAACAGATTTGGACTATATGGAACGCCGTTCGAGTCGGAACTATTTGAATTGGAAATTCCGCCCGTTACCAAATCGTACTCTCATCCCCTCACGTATGCTGGTTTGTACGGAGCTGAAGTTTTGCAAAATGCAGTGGGTTCCGGAACATTTCATCTTTGGGGACTCAAGGACGTTGATTTTCGAGACCTTTTAGTGGGCAATCCGCTTAATGTCAAGTGGGGAAAGATGGGCTCACTATCGCCAAAACAGCAAATCCAAGGACTGCTAGAAGTTGAACCCCTTCATTTCACATGTCACGCAGCCTCGGATGGAACTCGCATTGAAAAAATTGATTTAGGTGATTGATTAATGATAATTTGCCGAATTAAATCATGCTCTAAAGGCGAGATAAGATTTTAAAGTGGTGTATATTCCTCCTGATTATCCTTGTGAATTGGCAGGAATCACGTCTTCCTCGTTTTCTACCGTTCCCCTCCCCTCACCGTACGAGCCATTTACCAACCTCCAAACTGGGGAAGGGTCCAAAAAATCTGAACTCCAGCCCGATAAAATGGAACACATGATGATGTTGCAGGTTAGATTTTATCATATTCTGCTTATTAAAAAACTATAATAATGCAAATATGTATTAAAATCCTTAACCTTGCAGAAGGCTCTCAAAATGGACGGCTCTGACGTCATGTTTGATTATATTGACAATCTCAAGTTTATGGAGAATTCCGCTTACGGTGGGACCATGGTGGAGCTACCCTACTCTAACAATCCCGACCTGCTCGCCGCCCTGTCCCATCACGCAGGTCATCTACCCGGAAATGTGCTCACGATGGTGATGAAGCCCGGTGGAGGAGTGACACACCAGAGCAGTAGCTCTGGTGGCAGCGGCGGTGGTAAAATTACATCTATCTACTCGCCAATATTTCAATCGGTTGGGATGCCCACGCTCTCACATTACACGTCATCATCTCACATGGGTAAGTTCCTTTCTATAAGAGTAGCATGATTCGTATTACAGTCCTATTTTGTACTTTAAATAACTAATCCAGCTCAAATTGGTTTTGCAGCTGGACCCCCTCACGCCATGCTTCCTGCATCACAACCATTTCCACTGCCCCCACCACCCCCACCTGGCCCATCAAAATCATTATCTGCTGGTGCCCTTAGTAGCAGTGGTGCCATTTCCTCCAGTGTTACCACTGCCTCTGCTACAACGACGACGACGGTTGCAGCAGCGATAGCTTCTGCGCCCATCTCCTCATCTTCGAAACAATCCATACCAGTTTCAGCAGCCACAGCAGCAATAGCGTCAACTAGCTCATCTTCACTTCCGCAACAAAATTCACCCGATAATGACGGGCTGCGCCTTCTTCTCACCCCTTGGCAGCAAATGATGTATGTCCCTCCGCAACAGGCCATCGTGATAGACCGCATGCATTCAGGAGCTAGAAGATTCGTCGTGTTGGACTTTGGAGCCCCCGTACTTCTCACGGATATGATAATTCCGTCCTGCAGTTCCCTCGTTTCTCTATCGATCGATATTTGGCTCCAACGTGAAGATACTGACGGGCAGCGGTTGGTCGTGGCGTCGGACATTGGACTAAGAACTTTGGTTGTGAGCGACCTTCAACCAGCCGCAATTTGTCGATATTTAAAGGTATGAGTTATTCGGTATGCAAATGTCGACTAGATTTACGATAATATATATTGTCATTTTATTGACAGATTACTGTGATTGGCCGGTATGGAATGGGGACAACAAAGTGTCGGATCCCATTGGGTCTCTTTTACGGCCACACGACCCTTTTACCCAACGATATACCGGGAGGACTAGCTCATGGACCCACGCCCCCAGAGGTGGCCATCCTGACTCCAGTCAACGTGCAAACCCATCTCTCAGTCTTGTCCTACCTCTTGGAGGACATTGGGTGTCGCTACCAGCTGGCCTGTGCTAAACTGAGAAGACTCTTGGAACCCCTGCTCAAGCCGGAAATATCCTCCATCGACCACATCTCCTACTACTTACCCAAAGGGAAAGAGAGGAACAAATTGGGACTGAATAACTGTACGGATCAAACTATTCTAGCAGCATATCAGGTAAATACATTTACCATGCACATATGTGCATGTATTTACGCACATGTAAATGATAGCACTTGTGGATTCTTCAATAATTACTATTCGATTAATCAGAGTCAAACTGATTCATCTCAGTATTAATTAATTAAATGTCATCCCACAGGAATGCATAACGCTTCAGCAACAACTGAACGTGGCCAAGAATGTTGTAAGACGGTTGCAAAAGTCACTCGCACCTTACTCGCCAGCCTCCCTCAAAGTTTTCGAAGCTCTGTCGGAAATATCGACGGACAAGGCTCATCTTCTCTCAGAATTTCTCATTGAAACCCTACTCGGAATTAGCTTTCTGGCTTCAAATGCCCCCCTCGGACCCAATGTAAGCCTTTTGCTTACTATATAATACTTACGTATGTATGTAAACTTTTATTCAACTGTCAACAAAAATCAGCTAATACAAACTGATTTCCAATTCATGTCAGAAATGCTGTAATTTAAAAGCCACCAATCTATAAAATTATCAACTAGCTTAATTAAATAATTAACAATATATGTAACAATTCTTATTTCTTGCTCGAAGCAATTCCTTATAGTGCTGGATAAATTTAGCAAAAGATTGCTCTTTCAGTTGCGTGGGAGAGAATTCCATATTTTAATATTCACAATATAAGTCTGGTGTTCATAATTATTTACACTTGTGGAAATTAAACATGCTTTTGTATTTCTCTTGATGAACAGTTGATGCCCTACTCGATGTACTCGCACATGAACCAAGAAGTTTGTGAAGCCTTATTTCAAAATATTTGCGTTCTGGAGAACGGTCAGTGTCAGTTGTCAACGTGCATGTTGATGCTTCGCGTATGCGGATTTCAGTCCTGGTGGGGCAAGTTTCTCGCCTCCACGCTCAAATCCCTCTTCTCTTCAGGAACCAATTGTCTCTTCCCTCAGGACAGGTAAAAGGATACTGATGTCTTGACTAGTCCATGTATATGTTATGTAGTATGTAGGCAGTCTTGGACATTTACTTATCTTGTGTTTATTACACTTCCACTCGCAGGGTGTTTATACTTCTCGTATATCTGGGACAAAAGTCGTTGCTCAGTTGGCAGAATTCCCATGTTTTGGAAAGTGCTCTTGAACTTTTGGTCGACGTTCTTTCTCCAGTTGAGAACACGAAAGGATTTTTGAGTTCCAAGCTTGACATGACGCTTCTAGGTTGGATCGTTATGTACCTTTGTCTCTGTTTGGACGGGGTCAACTGTACCCTGGCCACTGACGGGTTAAACTCTACAGGTGGAAAGAAGGAGAAGGATGGGAAAGACGGTGAGTTGTCATTTTATAAATATATTTAATAATCAGTCCTTTAATTAATCAAGTGTTTACTGATTTGTGTATTTTTCATTTTTTTAAACTAAAGTTAACTGTGTTTCTTCTCGATGGGACTGGAGGTAAGATTAACGAAAATGTCAGGTTATGTTTCTTGCACTATTTTACCAATGTGCGATATTGGTATTTGTGACTGATGTCTCATGGTCTATACCTTATACTTATGGATTGTTAAATCCTCTCAGAATTTCGTCGCGATGGGACTTTATCCAAGGAGAAAGTGCTCTTTACCGAAGGATTGCGGGGTCCAATAAGCCACAAGAATACAGCGGATTTCGGAGACGAATTCAAAAGAAAATGTTGGCCACGAAGCAAAAATTGGAAGAACTTGACACTGTGGCCACGGGTTTGAGCCACGTCAGTCAGGTATACACGGTGTGTTGCCCAGATTATTTATTTAAATTTACTCTTCTGCCTATTTCGGTTTGGACTTTAGTTTATGCAGTCATTTATAATTATATGCTTATAGTATGATTGTTTTTGCATTTGTTCAGCAACCGCCCGTTGGTCTTGGGATGCAGCTTTCTGCTCTGGGAAATAAAATTGAAGCCATTAAACAGAAACAAGCCTCGATAGGAAAGAATATAAAACTCCAGTCTTCCAAACACTTTGTAAGTCCTACACGTCGTCAGATACGGTAAACTATTAATTTCAAGTCGATAGGACGAGTTTAATGAGATTTATCGTGCGATGGACATGAATGGCTTCATAAGTCATGACTCGGGCTAAAAACAGAAGTAAATTTACATATTCCAGAAAAATTATGAACTACGGTTCGTTTATTTACGATACGATCCTCGACGTCACCAATGATATTAGAAATGAGCGTGATGACGTCGAGGATCCTATCGTAAAAAAGGAGTATACTTGTATACTAATAAATAACATTAATTTAGTTGGCACACAAATCAACCAATCCATTTGGGTTTTTTATCTAATGCGGATTCATTCCAATTTTACTTAAAAAACCCACATCTATATGCAACAGATGCTTTCTAAATAATAACATTGTGCTATTACAGAAAGACTTGTTGCAAATGCGACGGTCTGAAATGATGTTGAAACGAAGTTCTGGTCATCAAAAGGATGGGAAAGATGAGAACAATCCATCTTCAGACGTTGAGATTAATCTTAATCTAGACCCAAAGTTGTGCCTTCAAGTAGCCAAAAATTTGGGGCTGTTGCTTCTCCGTATGGATTCCACATGCCATTCCGACGTATTTCTCATCACATGTAAATCTCTTGCCCGCATCGCTACCGCCTGCCGGCCTGCAATTTCCATCGGCTCCATCTTCAACAGTGAAGGACTCATTAATCTCATCCTGAACGCGGTCGGATCGGACTTTATTCGACAGAAGAATTGGAGCTCGTCCTGGGTTTCACATGCTGGTAAGCGTCTAAATAAATATGTACAAATACATTTATTATAGTGTGGCATTCAATAATTGACATTAAAGCTACATATGGTAGTATCAATTCTATACAATGTGCTCCGTGTTTTGTATTAGTGATGTGCCTCATTCAAGATATTTTGGAAGGAGAGAAACTGTTCCCTTCAAAAAATGGTTCAAAATTAAGAGAGACAGAGACTGCCAACCTGTATGCTGAAGACATTATGTCTGGCGTAGACGAGAGTAGTAGTTCCACCACTCCGCCCGACACCATCTCTGGAACTGTCGCAGAAGACATATTGATGGATGAGGTGGATGCAGAACAAGAGCAGGGTAACAAAAAAACACCATTGATGATAATGATGATTTGGTAATAAATAAATCTTAATAATTGGCAGCAAATGACCCTGTGGCAATGGACGTGTGTTCCTCTGGCGAATCTGATGACAGTGAGATAGACGAGCTAAGTGTTCATTTCTGTGTCCCTGGATCCAACGAATTGACGAGCAAGCCAATGCCTTTGCCAAAGAAAAATAACTCGAGCTCCTCGTCGGCTAAGAGACTCGCCCCATGTGCCACAAGCGTATCTACTGCACTGGACGCCAGGTGCTTTTTTTTAATTATATATATATAGTAATAAGTCAAAAATATTGACGTCATTGAGTTCTGGATGAAATTTCCTTCCAAAATGATGCTCAATATGACCAAAAAAAGTAATACTAATAATAATATCCTACATAATCTTTCTGGGTTTATATCAACAACATTTTATTAGTATAACAAAAACCGGAAAAAACATCAGTTTACTAAGTACTCTTAAATCCAATTAATTACAACCTTCTCATAAACTTTCGTGTGAACATCCGCCTTCTTCATTTTATCAATATCTAAAATCTGTCTCTCTTTCTCCCCAACCCCAACAGTCTTATAAATAGGCACCATATACTTAACATTCGTGGGTGACAACAATGTTACGAAACAGTTTTAAATTTATCTTTCTTTACAACAATCTCTTTACCTGTCATCATCACAACCAAATCATGAAATATAGCACCGTCCCAACCACTATCATAATGAGTGAACTTCTCCGCGAGATTGTAAACATTGTTCCCGTTAACCGACTTCATCTCCAACATTTGAGCAACGACAACACTTTGGTGTCCCAAGGTCTCAACTTCCTTCGCGTTTTGTAACATTTCTTCTGTTGTGGACGTGGTGTAGTTGGATTGAAACACTTGATGAATGTTCTTGGGATCGACCCCCTGCATCGTTGTTATTTGGGTTGCATGACCTCGTGCTCCTTTAATAACTGATGTACGGAAAACTGCGTGATCCTCTCCAAAGCGATAACCACCCTCATTGTTGTCACCCACGTATACAAATGGAAGAGTGTTGCTGAAATTGGTGGGACGATAGGGAGATTGTGCGAAATTAAGTGAGTTGTCGTCGTCTCCAATTCCAAACCACATGTCGTTTAATTCCAAACCTTTCTTGACCTCAGCTAAGTTCCCTTCGTTTGTGGTGATGTCGGAGTTTATGAAATGAATTTGTTCCATTGGTTCTGTAGTGACAGAGTTGTGTAGTGACACCATGAGAGACATTTGAATCTAGGGGGAGGGGTAGACAAAATGTTATATTTATATTAATAATTGAAATGATTTTTTTTACCTAATGCCACATACCTCTAAACTTTGAAACATTTTTACACTCTCCTCGGGTAGATATTCCCAACGCTTCTCGATTACAAACCATGCTGTTGGTGAATTGGCGATATATTTACTAATACTCGTCCGGTCGTAGCTTGATCCCCCCAAAGTAGCATTGATGTTGAGATCATTAAATTTAGTCTTCCTTGCTTGTGGATGAACAATTGCAATATTAATTTTTTCTAAATCTGCTACGTCCCTAATCAGAAGAATCTCCCTCTTCACAATTGCATGCTTGCGACAGAACTCACCCAGCTAGTAATATTATAATAATTAGGCATTTAACAAAAATGATGGATATCAATATGTTTAAATCAAATTACAATTCTTTTATCACCGCAATTTTCTGATTTGCATTTGGAACCTGAGCCCTCGTTCCAGTTAAATTTGTCCCCCACCTTCCTGACTTTGTAGAATAATCTCCCCCCATCAAACTTTACCCCCACTGGTTGATTTTCATGGATGATTGTGATACCGGGAGGACAAGCAGCTTTCCAAGCGTCGCTCTTCTCATACTTTTTGAAATGTGCATTCCAAACCGCCATGAGATCCTTATATTGTGAGGTTGACTCCATCGTGTCGAAGTTGAACTCTACGAAGGGATGTTTCACTTGAAGATGGTGAAAAATCTCCATCCGAACTGTGAAGAGAGGAGATTCTGTCTTTCTGCTCGGCATGAGGAAAGTACTAGATGACGAGGGGGTGGGTGGACCTACAAGAAATTATTACTGTATAATTAATTGGTTTTATTGCATAATCAGACGCGGATGAGGAAAATAACCATTACCCTCACTGTACAAATTCTCAAATTCTTCTTGAGAGTTGAGGAATCCGACCTCATTGTCCTCACTCAATGTGAGCCTGTTCTTCCAGTCGACGGAAGTATCTCTTATTGGGGGTACAGCCTTAATTTTGACAGAACTCTTCTTTTTCTTCTCGGGGGGTTGTTCAGCGGGTGAAGGGGGAGGAGTGTCCATTCCGGAAGAAATAGTGGAGGTGGAGGTTGACAGAGTGGGGGTGGCACTTAGCCGCTTGACGAAACGATCCATGTTTCAAAAAAATGTCTCTCTTAGTCAGAGAAAAATAAAAACAAGTGATGAGGAAGAAGGAGAGAAGATGAAAATGTGGAGTTTGAATGAAGTGGGAGAAAAAGTAGAAAGGACCAAGTTGCCCCTTGATTAACATTAATAAGGAAAATGCAACAGTCGGCGAGATATTTATTCATTCTTTTATTGTTTCAAGACTTGAGAACGGGGTGGAGAGCACGACGGAGATTAGACTACGAATGATGGCTGTCGTGGATTCCGAAGTGTTGAGCCAGTCACTGAAAGCTGCGATCGAGGTGCCGAGTGAAGTGCTCAAGAATGCAAACGCCACTGCTGACACGCCGGAACCGCCCGCCTATGTCCTGCCTCCTCCCCCAATCCAGTCCAGTCACCTCTTGTCCGAGTGTTTTGAAAAGATTTTTCAAATGATGGCTTCCGAAAATTGTTCCATTAGCATTGAGAAAGTTCTCCAGTTGTGGATCAGTATTAACGTCGAACTGGGCGGCATGATGGGCGACAGCCACGAAGTGAAACCCGTGGTCCCCCTTTCTTCAGCCTCAGTCTCCTCCCTCATGATGGCCTTTACAAAGTGAGTTGCATGTCACCCACCATTTTCGGATTTATGTAGTACCACTCATGTAATGTAATATAAACAAGTTTGATGATACCTACTTTCTGACTTGTAGGAACTCGGGGATTGGGGTTCAAGAGTGGGGCCTTGCTTTCCAGTGTTTAGGACTAGTTTCTAATCAATTGAGCCTCAACTCGACTGATGGCATGTGGCTGTACATCATGAGCGACAAGTGTTTCCCGGAAATGATTCTTCGCTTCATTTCTGGTACTGGGATGCACCTGCAGAAAAACCACATTGTTTCTGTAAGACTACACCACTTCTTCCTATTCCTCTTTAAATTATACTAAGACGTTTGAGTTGAAATATGGACCTTTATTGATGTGTTGTTTTTAGGCCGGCCCAACCGTTTGTCAACATTTTTACAATTTCCTCCTCCGTCTTCGCCACTTGAGTGCGGACACGCCTTGGACTCCATGTCTAAAGGAAATCCTGCTTCGCGTGCTTAGTCTCTTTCTCTCTGGTCCATTTGTTACCACAGACTTCCCCATCGATGCGTTCAACAAGTTCTTGGATCGCCTTACCTGTCCCGACCTTTCATACGTCAATCCTGCCACTATAATTAGTCTGATGCAGCAGTTGGGTATGTTATCAACAAGCAATAATCGTACATACTTTCCCCTCCAAACTACATATATATGAAGCTATTAAACGAGGATTTTCTTTGTTCCTTTTAGCTCAAATTCTTCATCAATATATTTTCTGTCCAAACAAGCTAAAAGTGAAACCGGGTGGTGAGATGAAATCTCTTCATTCCACGTGTTCCTCCACTAACAATGGAAATGGGGACACGAAGCCAGCCAAACCACAAACGTTCGACCATGTCATGTTTAGATTAATGTCCTTTATGGCATCCTTTGTGAGCCTTCCCTACAAAACTACATCAACGGTGAGAATTCCATGTGCTATAAGAAAAAACTATTAAATCTCTGACCAGCCCATAAATTTTATTATTATTATTATTATTTATTTTATGAGTTTTTGTTTGGTGGTTGCAGTCTGAGAAGACTGTACAAGAGTTTTTGAGTCAGATGTCAAAGTCGTTCCAGTTGACCGAGTATGAAAATGCCTTGGTACACTATGTGGCAAAATGTGGTGATAGTCAGCCAAAAACCATTGCAGATATTGGTGAGATATGTTAAACAAGATATTGTTACATTATTACCATTATTTTCATCTTGAGCGTTTGTTCTGTTTTTTTTTCGTTAACAAAAGTTCTTCAAATGGAGTCGACCATGATGCGTATAATGTCCGTACTTGCCAACCCCAACAACATCAACGTCCTTGTTAGTGGTGATTTAGTGAGTGCCTTCAACATCATGGAGACATCAGTCCCAGCCACCGTCGTCGATGCTGTGATCCATCTCTTTTGCAAGATACAAAACAGCGCTTCCCAGTCCAAATGGTTGATAGAGCCAATCTTTAGATTTTTAGCGAGTAAGTGTCGACGCCTCAATAATTTCGCCTCTCCCAAAAATGTCTTGTGCAAATCGTGTTTCAGTAAAAAGAAAACCCACAAATGTTGGCACTAATTTTATATTTATTCCTTAATCACTCACAGAAACCCCGTATGACGATTTTTGCTGTCCCTTTATCGTTTCGGAAACCTTTGTCTTGATGGTGCTAAAAGTGATTAGTCAGGAGGACAACCTCCGCCAGTTCACCGAGCTCAAATGTGTGGAAGCCATTTGTGACAAGTTTGTGGTGAGTGCGAGACGCTTCTTCAGCTCGTGTCCCACGTTCGTCTCCATCCTCACTCAGTACATTGGGCGGACTGACACAAACGCATTATTTGGCATCGGTTCCAAAAAGTTGAGCAATGAGCCGATCGAGATTCAAGAAGGACAAATTAACGTTGCTCCACTTGGTTCCATAACCTCGACAAACTTCTCTGCCCATCCGTCCGAAGTTCTCCTCCAGTCCACCCCTCCACACCGCAGGGCTCGAACCCCGGTTTGGTCCTACCACTTCTTCCCTGAAGAGACTTACCTCGAGGTTAGTGGTAGATATAAAAAATATCAGAAAATGAAATGAACGATATTAACTTTTCACGTTGCGAACGGTTAAAAATTTAAGAATTTCAATAACCACAATAAATGATGATTGATCATTCCAGATCGTGATATCTCTTCCCTGCGCCGTCCTACTTCGAGAAGTTCACATCATTCCGCACATGACTTCTCTCTCCAGTAAGTTTAGTCGACTGTCTTCATTTTGTCCCAATTTGCCCTCTATAATATTGTATTTTTTGTATTAATGTGTAGCATGTCCATCAGCCGTGATGGTAGAAGTGTCTCGAGATCAGAGCAACACAACCCTTCCCATGGGCCCCCCCGTTAATTGCAGTGGAATGTCCAACATTATCATCCAGCTGATTCAACCGGAAGTTGCCAAGACGGTGTTGCTCCGGCTCTTCAAACCCAAGGATTCCAGCAATCTCGGTCTTTCTCAGATACGACTATTGGGCTCGACCACATTTAGTGAGGCTGCTCTACAAGGCTTGTCAGCAGTGGACTGTGTTAAGAGTTTCGAGTCCAGGTAAGGAAGCTTGTGAAAAAGTTAATTTCTTCCGGGGAAGGATTGAGGAAGAAACAATGAAATGGAGGAAAATAACTCGTTTGAAACCGTGTATTCATGTTTTATCTTCAGTGCCCACTGGCTGTACATTCTCGACCGAGCCATCCAAGTCTCCGAGTCGGCTGGGATGTTGTGTCGCCGGATAATCGAGACGTCTGTCAACATTCCGGATGTTTTAGAGTCCTGCTACTCCATGCTCATAGCCCCCGTGTCGAATGGGAAAGCGCAAGACATTTATTTGCCGCACGTCGCTTCAGTATTATTTCAGTTTGGGAATCTCCGCTACGACGTAAGCAAGCAGTTGATGGACGCTCTCCTGGGCCCGGTGCAGATGGGCTTCACTCATGGTTAGCTTTGTTAAATTAACTTCAGTTTCGCATTCAGTGATGAAAATTAAAGAATAGTAGTAGTAGTAACATGTTGTTTCAATGTGTATTTTTTAGGAATGGTGGCCACGAATCCGGCGGCGGGAGGAGGTCTTTCTCAACTCAGTACTGTGGTGGAATTGTTGTTCAAATTGTGCTGTGACATTCCGCAGTGGGGTCTCAACAACTTGATGGCGATGGTAGCATGGTTGGAAACGTGTGCAGACAATTCGGTTGCGGTAAGTGACACAATCTCGTTCTAGGTTTAATATTTGCATAAGGTAAACCCAAAAAGTTGTACTCAATTTACTCCTTTCCTGGTTCATATGACGATACAGAATGTAAGCTGTTCCGTCGCTGCTCCAGCCTACTTCCAAGCCATCGCCTCTTCCATCTGGGAAATTGCTTCAATTGGAAAGACTGATCTCAGTGAGATTTGCACCGCAAAACTTCTCTGGTGAGTTATTTTCTGGCCTACTTTTATGTACGAACCTTTAAATAATTTGAAATTTTCCTCTGAACAATTTAGGAAACTGTACAAATGGTCACTAAAACTGGATGGGAAGTCGGAACTCAAGATTGCGTTGGACCACGTCATGTGCTCCATATGTTTCAGTAAGCCTTGGCTCTTTGTCTACCTCATGACCCGAATGCAAGGTGAGTATTCAAAAGGAATAGTTCATTTATTCTTATAAGTATAATATTCTTATAATACTTATAATCGTATTTTATCTTATTTTATCATATGACCCAAGTCTTGAAGCCGATGGACTGGACCGAAAAGAACCAACCCATTGAGGATCTCATTTACCAATGGTATGAAGAAGAAGCTGTCTGGGATCGACTCCAGCTGGAAGACCTTTCCACCATCCGATCCACACTGACCTGGAGCAAACTCATGACTTTGGGCAGAGCCAGCCAGTCCCCAATGGCATCACGACTCCTGCAAAAGTCGCAGTTTGTGGGACTCCTCAACACGGCCATTATGGACTTTTGGAGATATTTTAGTCAAAAATGGGCCAACCCACTGGAGGTACACTCAATAGGCATTATTAATATATTTTAGTTCACTTTAATAGTATATCTGCACTTATACTTTCTAAATTTATTGAACACAGTTTTTCGTATATATATCCCCCAGAAATGTTTTGATTGTGTTGTTTTTCAGATCCAAACTCATGTCATTTCCACCGAGTTTCTCATTTCGATTCTTGCCTTTTACGGCGAACTGTGTAAAATCAACGACTTGAAGAGTTGGTTTGGGGAAGAAGGGTCTGGTTTCTGGCTTCCCATCCTTAACTTACTGTCATCGCTGCCAGGTGCTCTCAAGGCTGCATTTTTCGGATCCAACATGTACGAGTTGGAAAGTGTAGTGATCCATTTTCTCTCCAAATGTTGCTGGTCACATCCCTCTAACCAAAAGATTATTGCAACTTGTTTGAGAGAAATCATCCTCACACAAAAGTCATCTTCGCATAGTGAGTTTCAGCGTACCATTTATTTTATTTTCAAAGTCCGTCTCAATCCGACCAATTGTTTTTGCTTGTTTGTTTGTAGAAGCTGTCTTTCTGCACTCCATGTCATCATTCTGTCGCCGCCTCTTAATTCAGCTCCTCCTGGAGAACGAAAAAGTTGTGGTTCATATCAAAAGCAGTTCCAAATATCCGCTCAAATCTCCTCAGACCTCCCTCCAACTCAAGGACAAACATCCATCCATGGGCGTCAACGGTGGGGATCGACTCTTTTACATGAGCACTCATTCAACGGCATATGAGCTTATAAGTATCATTGGTAAGTTGTCATCCACCACTTGTACAAATTAAGAAAATTTACTAATATTTTGGACACCGAACAGAACCGAACGGAGTGAAATTGGAAAAGTTAGCGGTTGCCGTGTCAGAGCCAAATAGGTTTCTAAGTCTGCTCAAGAAAGAACAAGGGTTGACAGAAGCTGGGTTGGAAATGATTGATCAAATGACGCTGGCCATGCAATCGGCGGCCCACGCCGTCAGAGATAAGCGATCGTCCTCCACGACGTCCAGTACTGCTTCTGCCGAGGCGAAACGCCCAATCAAGATGGCTTCGAAAAAGTTGAAACCTGAAGGTGCTCCAGACTGTAAGAGTAATGGGGATGGAGACAAGATGAGAGGTCCAACTCTGGTACGTCAAAATTATTAAATACACCCAGTTATTTAAATATTGAAAATTTTATACAATGCTTCAAATTCCCTTATTCTTGTTGTGTATAATAATATTATTACTCTTATTATTATTATTATGGTAATTAGATTTTGGAATTGGAAGAGTTCCCCGACGTCAAAATTCCAACAAACATGTCCATCGCGACACTAATGGCTGCCGTTCGTGCTCAGAAGCCGGACGCCTTTTTGGATAGCTTAGTATTCTTTATCCGATCAGACCTTGGATCTCCATTTATGAACAGATTTTCCACCACCTCCGGCGTCTCTCCATCCCCCTCGTCCTCTAGTGTCCCCGACTTGGTGGATCAACCAGAACAACAACAACTCTTTCCCGGAATTGGTGAAGTACAAAACTTGAAAGAGTCAGCGACCACGATCATCCCAGGAGTATTTCGCATACCGCCACTCCCGTCAACTGTGGAAGTGTTCAGTATGTTGGGTGGTCTAGGATTGCTGGCTAAGCATCTGCCTATCGTCTACCCCGAAACTTTGCGACAAATCGCGGTTGGGAGTAAGTTTACGGGAACTGTGGGCGTAGTGATGAACATGGACAAGGAAAGCCCTGTCATGATGAACGACAATGACTGGGTTAAAATTGAAGCTGCGGATGACTTTTATGACGAAATGTTAGACTCCATGGTCGCCTCAACCCCACTGGCCAAGAGGGCACCTGGGATTCGACAGATTAGCGTGACTCCAGGAATTCCACCCCACTCAATGGCAGCCTTCGGACTCTTTCTGAGCCTACCGAGGTTCTCAGAGATCCTTCTGGGCGAAAGAGTGGGAGCGCAGTGCATGCTTCGACTTGTAATGGGAGTAACGGACGATGCGGATGGAAGTGAGCCACTTTTGTTGTTGAGCAAAATATTATATGTATTTAAATAGCTTCCATCTGTACTATCATTAATTTTAAGACCTTTTGCTGGAGACCGATCGGGGCTGAAGCATGAAAATGTTAATGAAAAATTTAAAGTGTTTTATAAAATCACTTAAGGGGAGAGAAACAACTGCCAGTTGCAGAAAAAAATTTTAAAGAACTTTTTCGCCCCCAAAATACAAAAAAAGTGTTAAAAATGCCTTTTTTGGGGACAAAAAAATAATTTTTCGCGGTGAAACACATTGGACCGCATTCCCCATAATTATTTACATTTTTGACGTGAAAATCAAAATTTTGACAAAAATTGTTAAAATTAGTGGTTGACCTTCCCCATAAGTTGGATGGAGTAAAATATGTAGCACGCCGATGAGGCCGAAATGATAAGAAACTCGGGGCTTCCTCCACTCTCTTGTCTGGAGGCGAGGGGTTTCTACTCATCCGCACGCTACATATTTTACTCAATCCTACTTATGGAGAAGGTCAACCACTAATTTTAACAATTTTTGTCAAAATTTTGATTTTCACGTCAAAAATGTAAATAATTATGGGGAATGCGGTCCAATGTGTTTCACCGCGAAAAATTATTTTTTTGTCCCCAAAAAAGGCATTTTTAACACTTTTTTTGTATTTTGGGGGCGAAAAAGTTATTTAAAAAAATTTTCTGCAACTGGCAGTTGTTTCTCGCCCCTTAAGTGATTTTATAAAACACTTTAAATTTTTCATTAACATTTTCATGCTTCAGCCCCGATCGGTCTCCAACAAAAGGTCTTAAAACTAATGATAGTACTGATTGTGTTGGTTTCTATTTATGTTCTTTCAACTAGATGACATTTTTAATTCTGCCGTTGCCAAAACTCTGCCAACCTTGCCTTTCCAAGTTCTCCGTTGTTTATTGGACGCCCTTCCCATTCACTCAGAGGAGGGAAGGACTCTGCGACGAGTGATGGTGGACTTACATGCCACGCACTTCATTTTAGCTTGTCTAGCCATATTCACACATCAAAATTGTGACCCTGTCCTAGTCCCTGGCTTACAACATGAGGTAATTTTATCAATGTTGTGTAAATTAATTGTTAATGTAGTCCATTCATTTTGTTTTTACCATAATATGAAATACTTTACTCAATTTTGATGTATACATAGCTCGTCATCGCTGCTACAAAAGCGCAATCAGGGTACTCGGACGGCAATAACAAATCGACCACTGCTACGTCCAAGTCTGACGACAAGTCACACGTTTACTGGGCCAAGGGCACTGGGTTTGGAACAGGTTCTACGGCGCAAAGTTGGGATGTTGAGATGGCGATTCAGAAAAAGAAGAACGAGGAGGAGAACGTGACCTGTCTCCTTCACCTCATGTCCAGCTACATCAACCCCAAAATATCCAGAAACAACGTCGCCGCCGCCACCACCAACACCACGACGGCTGGTCCCTCTTCTTCAGTAGAACAGCAGTCGCAGACATCTCTTCCCTTACCCGACGTGGTCATTGATCTCTTGCGAAGCTCGTGCCTCTTCACGGCCATTGCTGGCTATCTGCGGAACGACTCTGTGTTGGATATGTCTCGACACGTCCCATTATACAAAGCTGTGCTAGAGTTTCTTCGTGCCCTGGTCTCCAGCCCCCAACTCCTCCCCCTACTTGCTCCATGGGAGAGAAAGTCCTCTTCTGGAAAGTCGGGTGCGGACGATCAATGCATTTCCAATCTGCTCAGCAAAATGAAAGATGTCGTAGACAACTACTCGAAAAGACTGACGTAAGAATAGAATAATTAATGAGTTTAATAGATAAAAATAATAATAATAATAATTAATTATTTCAAAAATATTTAATTCAAAAAGTAATACTCGAAACTGTAAGATCTCTATTTAATAATAATGTTTTTTTAGAAATAACCTAAAGGGGAAAGGAGGAAAGAACAAGTCGACAACAAAGTTACTGGAAGAATTGGACGACGAAGGTCTTGCCATCCTTATCCCAGATATTCAAATGACTGCGATACTTGTAGAGGTACAATCTTTCATATAATTGTAAAATATAGAATAATAATATGCATTTTCTACTATGTATCATGCCATGAATTTTCTGAATATCTTAGAAAGCGGTAAGCGAGTTGGTGCTTAAGCGTTGTCCAGAAGACATTGAAATGATGGATGATCCATCCTCCCTTGCAATTCCATCCACCAGAACTTTGGAGGAACGATATATTGATGAAATGAAAAAGTTGCAATTCGGTGAGTAACACAAGCACAATGAATTTAAATTGCAATTGGTTCAATTAAATTGTCTTTTACGATGATAACAATGGTTTACTTATTATTGCAGCCTTTTATGAAATTATTACTGACGACGAGGACGGTGGAGGAACTGGAGGAATTCGATTTTCAGTTCCTTACCATTATGAAAGCAACGTAAGGACAAACTGGGCTCGAAGCTCGGCTGCCAGACTTAAGCGTTTAGCCCAGGAAAGTGTGACGCTGTCGTCATCCCTCCCTATCGCTTACGGAAGTGCAATTTTTGTTCGAAGCGATAATGATCGGTTGGATGTCATGAAGGTACTTAGTTGCAGCTTAAGTAAATATTTTAAAAATTAATTTGTGCTGTGATTGTCTCTTTGTTTAATTCATAGGTGCTCATAACCGGCCCCTCTGGAACTCCATATGCTAACGGATGCTTTGAGTTTGACGTGTTTTTTCCCAATGACTACCCCCAGTCTCCCATGATGATTAATTTAGAAACGAACGGACGACAGCGAGTCCGTTTCAACCCAAACCTGTACACGGATGGGAAGGTTTGTCTCAGTATCCTCAACACGTGGCACGGCCGTCCCGAAGAAAAGTGGAACCCGCAAACATCTAGTCTCCTCCCCGTCTTGGTCGCTATTCAGTCTCTCATCTTGAACGCTGAGCCATACTTTAATGAGCCGGGATACGAAAAGAGTCGAAACGTTCGTACAGTATATAAATAGCATATTTTATGTTATTGGAGCATAATTAATTAGCATAACTTTTAACTGATTACAGACGGAACAGGGAGAAAGAAACAATCGTGAGTACAATGTTGGCATTCAAATCGCTACCGTGGAGTGGGCAATGCTCGACCAATTGAGACATCCATCCGCCTGCTTTAAAGATGTAAGTAGTAGCATTCCGTAGTATTCACAAACTAAGATACAGTTAATTATCCTGTCTTATTCTCTTGTCAATAAATGAGGACGTATCTAATAGTTTCTGCATTGTATGTCCTATGCTAACTAGGTGATCCAACGTCACTTTTGGATGAAGCGAGCCGAAATCATTGCCCAGTTGGATCAATGGATGGAAGAAGTATCCGTGACATGTCGCAGTGATAAGCGAGCTGGAAAGAGTGTGACTGGTTCTGCAGACCCTGTCACCGTTTATAAGGTAAGTATATATGTATATAAATCAATTTGTCCTAAATACTATTTGACTGGAAGCATAAAATCTAATGTTGTATCCTATTTTTTATTTGAAATTCTTGCAGAATAATTTCACCATGTTAAAGAAAGAATTTATGAACATGCAACCTCCACCAGGATTGGAGGACTTGGGTGACTTGTTTCCCGAAGGACTCCAAGCCCCGTCTTGTTCTTCCTCCGCATCCGCTCTCATCAGGTCGGCAAGTAACCCCACAGGGAATTCTGCTGCAGAACAACAATTACCGCCGCCCGCCACGCCAACAACTGCTCCTCCGCCCGAACCCGTGAAGTCAGCGGCGGATGAAGACGAGAAGATGAGCGTTGACGTTTAACAAAGTGTTAAATCTTATTTAATCTATTTGATTACGCAGCGTAATCATCATCTATTATAACTTATTTAATTAATTTATTACACACTATTTATACTCAAAGTATTACGCTAGTGTCCACTGCTGTTCTGAGAACTGAGCAGCTGCCTTACTAATAATTAATTCATTAATTTAGACTCGAATGAGTATGATTGAAGGAGACATGTTTATGATGTATTTAAATACTGGATGCTAATGAAGGAATAAAAGTTTGTGATACATATTTATCCAGATAAGTACTTTGTTTATGCATATTAACATGCCTCACTCAAGTTCACAGATACATAGCCTCAGCACAACTTGATTCAGCAGGATGACATTAGAATCTCACGAATCTCCTCAGCTGACTTGACTCCCATGACTCATTGAAACAACTCATTTTGCAATGTTTAGATCAACTTGTAAATAACTATTTTGCGGAGATATAATAATACTACAAAAGTACACAAATAACCACCTCTCTATAATTATGTGAATCTGTCTGAATTATTATTGTTGAAGTTTTTAGTACTACTGGAAAGTAATACATTGGGCAAAGTTGAACATGTGGTGTGTGAGACTGTGAGGTGTTAGATTATAGCAATGAGTGACAATTAATTAGGGAAACGACTTTTGACTCTGCTGGATTTGGAAATTAATAAAACTTACATTGCACAAAAAAGGGACGATGGGGCTGTCCAACATCCTCCTCTTGAGTCAGTTGACGGGTCATATTGTGACTCTTATCCTCTCCCTCTGTATCACCATCCCTATGTCCATCCACGAAGACGACTTCCGGTATTTATTCACCCAAGCAATTGTTTTAAGAACGATCATATATCATATAACGATTTTATTTAACTGTCACCTTGTTGGATACAGAGGTTATTGTCTCCTCTTCTCGGTCGGAGAATGGCAAGAGACGGATGGTCAGTTCAAGGTGGACTGGGCGTCTCAGGGATTTTGTAACTACACCATTTTCGTTGGCGTTTTCCTCTTTGTCGTCTCAGCCGTCCAAGTGTATCGACTCAGCCTCCTCCTCTACCGGGGACAAGATTCGTCCTTCGTGTCTGCATTCATTGATGTCGTCGCGTCCGCCCTCCTCGCCTGTCTAACCATCATTGCCGCACTCATGATCACGCTCGGATTCGACTTTTGGTGTAAATCCATTACGAAAAGATTCGAAACGTGAGAAACTCGATTGTACATAATTCCATGAGCAGCTCATGATAAGCTGTTGTTGGTTTTAATTGGTTATGCTATGCATGGTATACATTTAAAGACGACTCTAATTCAATTTGCTTTTGACTTTGGTTGGTTTGTTAGGTGTGGAGATGCGCAGGACAACGATATTGACAAGAAGGATGGGATTGACACGTCATCTTTCTACATCCAGATGGGAGTGGCACAATTTGGAGCGTGGGCCTCTTGGGCGACGTCTGTGGGTCTGCTCGTATTTGCCACTCTGAAGTTGTGGCGTTATCATCAGGAGGAGAACATGCGGGTGAGCATGGCCATCGCAAGAGAAAGGCTGATCAAAAATGCGTGCTCCGTAGGGGGCGGTCCCTCCTCCTCCTCGTCGTCCGCAGGCCCAGCTTCAAATGGCAGAGGGGGTGGAGGTGATGCCAACAAAAATGCTGGAGCTGCTGGTAAAAGAGGAGGAAATGACCCCGCTATTCATAGCATTTAGTTATTTGGTAGTATGGTAAAGTGTAAAGTGAGTTTATAACAATCGAAGACAGAGATTAGTGTTAAGAATAAGAATAATGCTCTCAAAACGAAACACTTGTTGACAATTTCTTGTACTTTTGGGGATGGAGTGTATTTTCTTACATAAGTGCTTATATATAAATAGCCATGTCTTCTATATTACCCGTTAAAATTAACTTGTTATGTCTATCAGTATCAATAATCGTTGTCATTTTAACGACGAATCACAACTACGGTTAATAAAAAATAAAATCAGGATGATGTCAGTTGCTTACAATGACAATGAGGCACCGCGATGCGCAAAAATAAATCATACAATGAAGTAATTTTTGTTCAAAGTTGTAGCGTTTTTAATTTCCAAGTTTTACAAGAAGTTTTGAGCACAAAAACAAAACAGGTTGTAAGACAATCTTTATCAGCGACATACATAGCAATAAATAGGCAGACAGTTTTTTAGGCACGATATATATGCATATATTCATTTCTGGTAAAAGATATTTCCGTAATGCGGCACATAAATAACAAATAGTGCACGTTTTGTCATTTCAAATTTGAAGAATACGTACTGATTTTTGTTGAGTTATTAAAATCAGACAGGCATGCACATCAAGTTCACAACGTCATAAAAGCCGTACATGAATTATTTTGGTGATATTCATAACGATAATTATAGTCAAGTTCATGAGGATATGTCGACAGTATGTAAAAGTAGAGAGGAGAAAAGTGATGTGGTGATGATATGGGATTTATCAAGAACACACTTTGGCGTGGGTTTCTATATTTTGCTTTCCATGATACGATTGCTTTCATTTTCCTAAAATATTTTTAAAATTATCGGTTATAATCAATAGTTATAATCAATATGCCTATTTTTTGACTAATCAGCCACAAATATCTTGACTGAGTGGCACACATTACATAATACGTAAAATAAATATGTATACTATGCATAACAGTAGCAATATCAAGTAGCAATATGAGTAAATAAATTATAGTTGAACCAACTGCATATATTATAGTGAAGTGTATAAAAAATAGGGTGGTTTTGTTGGCATAATTTAAACATCATCATCGCATACATTTATAAATTAATACTTTTTTTATACCAGAATATCATGATGACAATTCCACCTTGGTCTATAACCAGGAAACATTGAAACATGCAATAGCAGTTTGTATACATATATAAATACGTAGTGTGTGTCCATTCGCTGCGTATAGCATTCATGCTTAGGTATATTTAAAGAAACTAGTTAACATAATGATGAATGAATAAGTATTAATAGCATCACCAGCAGCTAAATAATTAGCGTGTCGTATAGTAATTATCATAAGTATTTGTTCCTTTTGTATTGTTTTGTGTTCATGGTTCAGTGGGCAGTATACGGTGTGCATCCACTGCTATCCTGGTCCCTGAGGAGTCACTCAGACAGAGGTTTCTGAAGATAATCGCAGGGTGAACTTGTTGCTCTTTGGGTCGACCACTTGCTCCATGAGGTTGAAATGTGGGAGTGGGGTGGCGGAGACGAGGAGGCTCACATCGCCCGACTTTAGCAGAAATTGGCTGTCCCTTCCCAAGGATCTGGAAACCGAGTGGTCGCTCACCAACGCCCAGGACGAGACGCTCCCTTCCCGAGAACCCTGTTCACACAACGGATTGAGTAAAATATAGAAATCTATCACGTACATACGAGGTAATGGTAGTTTTTATTTTCCTCTAATGGGCCGCAAATTGGGATGGATTAGAGAGGGGCAAAAGGGCGCAATTAAGAAAACCAGATTTATGATTGTATTGTGTTTGCTTCTTCAATAATTGATTTATATCATGCTCCATGAGCGGGTTGGCCGGTAAATAAATGGTGTCGTGGTGTGGTCATTATATTCCCTGGTGTGAGTGTGATATGATTAATTGCTTCACTTTCGCATGAATAGTACAGAGGACATGAAAGAGCAGATCGAGATATATGTAGTATTTAGAAAGAAGGAGACGCGATGCTGCTACCACAACCACGAGTGCCCTGTACCAGTCTCATCACAATGCATGTAAAAGTCGTTGGGCCATAACTCTTGACCAAAACTTGATCTGACAATTAAACCACCACTAAAAAGTTATCCATCTGGACCGAGTGGACATTGGAATGAAGTATTGCAGCAAAATAAATAAATCTTTAATCAGAATTTCTTTCAAACAATTAGCAATTAATCGATTTATAAATGTGATAAGGATGGATTGGAATTTCATTTCATGATGAGGTGAGTGCTAATCCCTGTCAGTCAGCCCAGCTCAGCCCTCAGAAGAAATGGTGTCCTTGTATTAATAGTTTAAAAGGCTTAAACAACGAGCTTGCAAATCGACCGGCCGGCTTTTTGGACGGATTCAGTGAATACGTATGTATACGATCCTCTGATTGGCACACTTAAAATCTTTGACGGAACAGAGTTGGCGTTAATAGATGAACAAGCCACGATCTGGGGTGCTAATTGCTCATTCCGCACCAAAACCAAACCAATTATTGGCATCATCGTCATCGTATGTGGGGGAAAAAGTGGGGAAACTTGATTGAATATAAGATTGACTGAAACTAAAGTTATTGATGGATTTTCTCTGGAGTTGTATTTTTTAGGCTCTTTTGCTGTAATTACTTTCCCACGACCCACGGAATATCGAATACGAGTCTGTCTGTACCTGAAGGACGGGTTGGTAGGATAAGTATCGGTCAAGAAATGATCTCGGAGCAAGCCCCAGCCGAAGACAGGTGGCCAGGTGGGTGAGGACAGAGTCCGCCGTGTGCCAAGGTTGCTGCAAAAAAACAAGAGGTCAACTAAATTGGAACATTTTGTGGTGATGAACTATGGCATCGGCTGGAATGCGTGCACTCATGACTGCACGAGGTTCTAGGCCGACCTATTTACACATACCTGCCGTGTCACGCGGAGGTATTTCTGCAGTGGGCGTGCCAGGGATGGAAACACCGCTGCAGCTGCTTCTCCCGCATCCAAAGGGACGGCTGGACCTTAACATGATGCAAATTGTAATACCAATGCTATTCCCATGTGTATTTATGTAAGTGTGTAAAGCAGTGCTCGTGTCGGGATACCTTGTTCGTCCTGCAACCTCCGAATGTGGGTGAAGGCCTCCTCCGTGGCAGCGACGAGCCTCGCCCTCCTCTTCCTCACTCTCCGGTCGTACTCGTGCTCCTCGTAGAAGCGCTCATTGTGGGAGGCGGCTCGGCGCGAGAGGCGACTTCCTGACGTGGGTGCAAATGTGGAGGAGTCAAAGTCGTAGAACTTGAAGGAGGGGGCGGAGGAGATGGCGGATGAGGGATGGCGCTTCCGCAGCAGGGGCAATCTCTCCAGGTGGGGGTTGTAAGCTGGAAACTCGGCGTAGTAGCGTTGCAGTACCCACACCGCTGCACGCTGTATGCTCAGACTCCCGACCACCCAGGACGCCTGAAAGGAGTAAAAGCCTCAATGTCTAATGTGTGCGAGGCATCGACGATAAGCTATTGCTAAAAATGCAAGTGGACTTACCGACACCCCGTCGGGAGATCGAAGCACGGTGATCTGGAAGAAATTGCAACATTCTTTTATACCGTACATACAGTCCATTTATGTACGTATCATTATGTAAACATATTTGGATGAATAAATGTGCCGGTGTAGTTTGGCAAACATAAAATTCACGTCGAATTATTTTGTGCACAATAATTGGTCAGACTGATTTACCTGGAACTGTGGTGACAGGTGACGAACTTCTGTGAGCAAAACGCCGAGGTAGTGAATGGCAAGGAGGGCTAAAAAACGTGTAAAGTCATGTAACTGATAATTGCTGAAGGATTTTCTTTATTTGTCGGGATATTTAGTGACGATAGAATTATTTGTAATAAAATAAAAGTGACATGCATCGTACCATCGGCTAAACCTCCAGCAAAGGCAGTTGCACCCACGATCGAAAGGTCACCTTCTTCCTCAGCCCTCACCTGTTGAATGGTGCACAAAAAACGGGGCGTCATTGACAATATAGAAATATGTGCATGACAAGCAGTTGAATTAGATAGGCAAAAAGTGTCGAGTTATGTGGAGGTAGATATTAAGTCATAAAAGTTTAATTGTGGAAAACTTTTCTTCTGTTTAATGGAGGATAATTATACGTCATAAACTTGGGTTTAAATTCAAGTCACACAAGAAGCACAGTTTTCCGTCATGATTCTTTCATACAGCAACATTTTTTCCTGGTTAATATTTTCTTATGTGTATGACAGCTTCACGTCAAAAAATCCTGGGGCATTAAACAGATACTCGAGAAAATAAATGACAAAAACAAGAGTTTTCGAAGCTGAGAGACAGTTGGGGAGCACCGTACAGTAAGAATTATTGGATTTCGCAGTGCAAATATGACCTCATCATCAACCATTTCGCATAGTGCTCACCCAGTAGAAGAGCCAGAATGAGAAGGCGGCGAGGAAGGCGAGGAGGAGGGCGATGGCGCGGAAGAAGAAGATTCGTGGCATTGTTGCAGGGGAACCCTTCCAGAATATCGCCCAGACTGCGCCAAAGAGGGCGATGAGTTTGACGGCGAGCGTGAGGAGGAGGGCGTGGCACTCGGGTCCACATTCCCGACTTAGAGCTGTTCCCCTGGAGGAGGACGCCGGGGGCCAGCCGATCCTGTGACCTACGACCATGAGGATGGGTGAGGCCACTGCCATCACGACCACTCCAGCCCCCATCACGCTCCCCAAATATCGCTGACACCAGGAAAGGTCATCGTTGCCAGAGTTGTCGTCCGTGACTATGGTGGCCCACTTGACGGAGGAGTGGTTGCCCCCATTGCCCACGGGGGAGTTGGACCGATCCGAGGTGTTTCCGGTCACAGCCGTAGCAGTGTCTCTCCATTCGTCCTCCTGAAACACATTCAACCAGTTAAACCCATGCCATGAAATCAATTCATATAACTTTGTTACAAAAATGCGCTGCCAATCGAAATATATACAAAATTAATAATAATGAAGTCATCCTCTTGGCACCTATCTATCTATCTGGATACACACAATATGTGTCCAAGTGCACATGTAGACAGTCGAATGTACCCAACAGTTCATGTCACTGTTCTAATTCTAATCTGTGGACGGGATCGTCTTTATGACACGCAAACAATAAATAACGTGAAATAGCAGAACTAAACTAATAATCATAATTGGCAAAAAGTAAACTGAGCCAATTTGCCAGTTTCGTTGCTGCCGAGATTCTGCCGAGATTGGTTATAATGTGGCACTGCCCATGGCCAGCCCTGTCGTGTCATGTCAGCAACAACTTTTCGGAAAGAGCTGTCAATTGCTGGGCATGTCGGCATGGCGTGGCGTGATGAGATGAGTGACAGCTCAAACATTGGAACTAGTGGTCGTTTTTAGTAGCATGGCGCTTGCTTCTTTGCTATTGACTACTTGATATTACTGGACATGTAATCTCGCTGCCGTCATGCAATGCAATGCAGAGTTGAGAATCTGAGAAATGGGATAAATTGCGGGGGTGCAAATAACATTTCGACGTAATGATCAACCGATGATCCCTTCACGTCGTAATTGGCAGAATATAATAGCAAGAGTTTAGTGGGAGCAGTGGATGCGTAAAAAGTGGTTCACCTAGCATGCCCTCAAATTAAGAGAGCCCACAGAGAACTGCCGACCGACCCGGCACTTGACACGAAACACCACCTCCACCAGCACTATTACGACCACAACAATAGAAAAATATAGGCTCCTGGTTGTATGCGTAAACTGACGACAATGCACCGAGTAAATTATTCCTGTGCGTATGCTAAAAACTCAAGAAACTGGTATCTGTAGCCTTCAAGCGAGGGCTAAAACCATGATCTTCAACTATAAATACGTGCTGTTACCTGGGGTAGGATTTGAACCTCGATGACCTCGTGCGGGGGACGGTTGGCTTCTGGTGAGTCCATCAGACCGTCCGAACCATGACAGCTTTCTGGTGTTTCCAGTAGCGGCTCCTCCCTCCGAGAGTTCCGACCAGATCGACTGCAAAATATCATATAAATACATTTAGATTGTAACGTTCACTGTAAGCAGGAGAGATTGAGAGAGAGAACGACTGTCACCATAATTAAGTATTATTGCCACCACGCCATCATCACCTACAATCGTCATCATCATCATCATCATCTCGAGCTTATTTCAGTACATACCACACGCAGCCAAATCGCAGCACTTTAATGTTGTTGTCCTCTTAATATTGCTACTTGTGTAGACTTGCTAAAACTTTGTAATTTCCGTCCCTGTCACATCTCGCAGTCTGCATCTTTACATGCAGACGTCCACCTGCCTACCTGCAATTCTCGGAGACAAATGTTGATGAGACTGAATGAGACGTTTTTGCACCACTCCATCACTGCCAAGCCACAAAGACGCTGCAGAAAGGGAGAGATACTACAAAACTCCATCATCAGCAGTCAAGTTCAGTGTCGCAGAGAGAGAGATGACAAAATTAAATTGGATCGAGCATCAAAAAACTCACATGCACACAGTTTGTCGTACTCTTTTTCATATCATGCACTATTGCAATTAGCAAAAGACACGAAACGCAAAATACTTTCAGCCCAAGAACAAGACAAGAATGTGTCTCAAGACAAAGATGATGAATTATTACTCTTCGTCTTCTTTCTTGTCTCGTCAACGTGACACATTTGCTTTCATCTACGAGACATGCTCACACGCACTGAAGAAGGGCTTGGAGAGGAGAAGGAATCAGAATATTTTCCTTCCCACCAGACAATTTTCCACCTGCACTTGAGGTCACCGAGATAAACGGAGGGAGTAAAAATAAAAGAATAGGAGGCGACCATGTCGAGGACTGTGCTGCCCAATCTCAAAAATATGCACCACCACATTTATTCTTTCTTGGAGCATTATATCAATATTTCTCCAGAGTCATGGGAAATTCTTGCATGCATTCATACACGAAGAGACAGTGGCATTCTATCGGCCATATGGCACTGTTTAATTTGAACCTGCTATAATAGTACAGTATACGTACATATGTAAATAATGTAAAAGAAATAATGATAAAGATGACGATGGTGGTGGAAGGAATCTCATTGTTCGTGGTCAGACAAGTAGCAGGACGGCAAAAAATGGTCCACGACGAGAGATGTAGATACATTGTTGTAGACTACGTGCTCACCTGTGGTTGTTGTGTGACCTGTGGTGTTGGGGTCTGAGGTGATGGGGTCGATTTCCGGGGAGGGAGACGACGCTGCCGTTGGGGTTGAGGGTGAGTCTCCCCCCGCGGGACCGGGAGCTCAGTTCGGAGAAGCCGCTCTTCAAGGACTCGGTGTCCATGTTGTTGGTGGTGGCCGCGTTGGTGGCAGTGTGCATGGGCCACCCCACCTGCAAATACACAAGTCAAGTCAATTCACACAACAACAATCAATACATCGTCAGCATTATCAAACACACGAATGACAGTGCATTGCTTCGAGAGAGATATGTGTACAACTAGTTTACTGCACTCTGCATGCGTATACGGACGGATGGATGGAGATGGTTAAATGTCGTTGATTTATTGCTATCTCTCGGAAAGATCTCTGAATAGCTGCAGCCAACGACGGCTTACTACCGAGAGCACTAACTTGACCAACTATTACACTTACAACTGCCTCAAGACCATATGTACATACGTATGCACATACTTGTACATATTCAGCGGGTGGACGGTAGCGAGGACATTTTTACGAGTTTGCTTTCTGGAAAACGAGTTGTCTCCACAATGACACCGCTCTCGCCCATTAAGCAAACTCTCACTCGCATATGCATGTACTGCTGAACAAGTCGACTCCCATTAGTAAGTCTTTAAATGCTTATCAGCAACAATGACACCAAACCACCCGTTTTTCGGAAGGTTTTTCTTCCAGCTTGGCATGTGTGATGTGATCCATATGCAACTATGCATGTCCCCACCGTCATGGCGTCACATTACGGCCACCACAACTCTAGCTCATAAGTATATGTATGTGGGTGTAGAAAATGATATCGGGTTACGGAAAATTTGTCGAAATAATCAACACCAAGCGTATCGTATCGAATGTCCCCTCAAGGGATGGACGGAACGCAGCGTGATGATGGAAACAAGATCCACGAGCCAGGGAATGAATGGTCGTGATAACTCTTTCAGAACTTGAGCCCCGAAGGGCAGTCAATATGTCATTCCGACGACCAAGAAGACGACCAAGAAGAGGAAGATGATGATTATGATGATGAGGTCAGTCCGACAAAATTTCGCTGAACAATACTCCCCACATTTGTACCTCTGGCTTTGGCATTTGGCTGCCCATCCATCAAACATTTGATGCGCCTCGGCAAAAGCAGCGGGACTGAAAGGACGCTCTTCTAATAACATGATGTAGTGGTTACTCAAACTGTGAAATTTTGAGTAAACTGATGGTCGACTCGAGGAGAGAAAGAAGGAACAGGTTTTTGCTCACACACATTTTCATTTCGTGTGTATTGCAGTTTATGTACGACTCTGAGATGAGTGAGAGGTCACTGGCTGGACGACCAACAACTCAGACCTGAATAGTCAGAGCTAAATATCAGTCGGAGCTGTGATGGTGTGGACACAAAAACTTTCCCAGCGCAGCCAAAGGATGATGAAGCGTCGGTTAGGTCGTCGGTGAAGAAGCCTCAGCAAAAGTGGATTGGATTTAAATGCTCCTCCTCCTCTAATACGCAATGCTCTCCTTTGTTTCAACCAAACCAAACCACCAACCAAGTCGCCTCAACTGCAGAGTTAAGAGCAGAGGACACGGGAGCAGCTTTTATGGCGTAAATTAATGTAGCAGGTAATGGGACGAGGACGAACGGACTTCTTTTTACCTGAAAAAAAGACAAACATCCCCTTCTCATTAGCTCCTCAGCGGATTAGATTAGAAGCTATGTTCCACTTCATTCGCACACTCAGCCTCCATCTATGTTCTGCATTCACGCTGCTGCTGCTGGTGGTGGTGGTGGTGGGGGTGTGGATAATCAACTGATTAAATTAGAGGGTCAACTTCAAAACCGCACTTTTTGTGGGAAAATGCAATAAATCAGAGAGAGGAGAGAGCTGTCCCCAGAGGGGAATGTACATACTCTGTGCAGCACTTGATGTACAACCAATCCATGCAAATCCATCCATATTTACATCATTATGCGGGCATCATCATCATTCTCATCCGTAAAATGATGTGTAATAAAGCCAGATATTCCGTCTAAAAAATTCCTGTATTAAATTTCCATCCAATTCTCACCACAAAACCCAATCCGTTCTGAAATCAGATTACAATTGCTCCGCTTCTCTCTCTCTCCTTGATTTCTTTTGCTCTTGAAATTATGCACACATCACTTTCCGCTTGATTTCATTCATATTATGTTTTCCCATCAACAAGGGTTAAGCACAACGTTAAGCCTGTTCCAGTTGCAGTGAAATTTGCAAGCTAACGGGCAACAAGATTGGGGGAGTGGTGAGACACGGTATTGTTTTCCCAAGAGTGGATAGTCTTGTCACTGGCAAATGAACATGAACACGTTATTATGTGAAATGAGATGCTCCCAACCAGAATATAACGACAGGGTGACAACGTAATCCAGCGTAATTTGGGATTAGATGACAACGACAAGAAGAACAACTACCCGATACCCCCGGGGACAACAAGCCACAGAAACTTGACACCCATCACGCAGCAACAGCAGCCATGTAAAAAATGTGTTTTTAATCTTTTTCTTTATCACTCTGACAAATCAACAAGTCAGCGAGGAACAAGTTGGTAAAAGCAAATACGGAGGAGCAAGTAAATAAATATATGCACATACAAGTGCCATCAAAGGAAAAGTTGCGACTTGAGACGAGGAGGCACAATAAGTTTGTGTATATGTACATACGACGAGCTATGCAGGAGAAGTGACTTATGAAGTGGTTACAAGAACTCCTTCGACATCATTGTACGAAATCTCAACTTGGCGACTATGGATTGGGTGCTTGATCAGGTGCTTATGGGATTTACTCTCATCAAGATCATCGGAACATCAAATCCTTGTATGTGCTTTTATGCTGCCACAATTCCGCTCTCTCGACTCGGCTACTTTTAATCTTTCTTCCCACCATTTGCATATATATATATTGCATGCAAGTATAATAAATATGGATAACATGGAATTGGAGGAATGTCGTCGTCATCTCTCTGCCATTCTTGAATTTTATTATTTGCAGTCCTAAGTGGCAAGGTGTGTTGTTTAGTGGCGCTATTACGCCGTACAGTTATTGGTTTGGATTCTTATGGTTCGGTTTGTGGGAAAGAATGGCTTTTTCTCATTTTTAATCAAATTTCTTCTCGTGCACTAACCCCATCAGGCAGGCAGCAACCAACAACAGTGCTGCTAATGTGCTGATGCTCTCATCAGAAGATATCAGAATGATCACGCTATAAAGAATAAGGAACAAAAATGTTTGCGGTCTGCTGCTCTGGTCGATTTGTTCGTAGCAGTGACTGAATATGCACTTGAAGAGTTGAATAATTTGATTGGGAATTTGATGCAAGCAATTGTGGAGTTAGTTAAATGTTCGCATATAGTGAGGCCAATCAATTTGGTGGGATTCATCATAACTCTGCTGGCGAGAGGAGTCGTGGTGGGACGGATAAGAGAAAAAGAGCCAATAAATGTCACCCCTAATTGGATAACCACCAGAAAACCGGGAGCAGCACAGAAAAGGATTGGACTCTAAATCGTAAAATCTTTCCACGCAATTTTACAAAACTTGGTCCAAACACCCACCAGCCATTTTTGTACCATAGTCATCCACACACTGGACATTGATATTTCAGCGCATCCATTCCAGGTGCCACACGATCGGGAGCGATTGTCAACTTATTTATTATTTCTGCTCTATTCGCATGCATTTCCTCCAACAAATTGTGTTTGAGGAAGAAAATCAAACTGAAATATGTAAAACTTGCAGAATGTGTACATCTCTGTCTCTCTCTGTCTGTTCGAGTCATCGCCCTCTTTCCGGCGTCTTGGTCTCTCTCTTGCGGTGGTGGTGGTGGGGACGAAAATAGTGTTTGATTGAAAGTGCTAATGGAGATGTTTGCCTTTGTGAGGAAGCCAAAAACCAGGAGAGCTTCACAATGGGAAAGTGCAACTTCACTCCACATTCACAATTTTACAGCCATCTCATCATCATTCGCAGCAGAAATTCACAGCAGAAGAGGAATACAGTGGTGCCAGGAGATTTTTCAATCCTCGTTTCTTCCTACCCACCACTCGCCAAAAAGCTAACACTTGTCTCTTTTTTATTCAAACCCATCTCATCATTGCTCACTCACACCAAATCTCGATTCAGAATAATCTCTCACATTCCATCTTTCTCATTTGCTAATAGAACAACTTGCGGTTCTCTGTTGTGCGAGTGAGTGAAAATTAAACATGTTATGAAATCAAAGGAGCATTTTACCAGCACAACGACATGTTCATGACTTTACACATAAAGAATGGTGCCACATGTGAATGGTGGTATTATTGGCGATGGAAAAGAGGTGACACTCATATGTGTTTGATGCTAATAATGCTCATTTGATTCTCGAGCTACAAATAAGTATGGAACGGCATGAAGTGATTATGGCTAATTGATCATTGATGCAGATCCAATCCAATCAATCAGTCGGTTGACACCTGGCGCAGGTTTGCCTTGGCTGCAATTATGCCTGATCGCCATCCTCCCCTCCACGCGCCACTGCCCCACCCAACCAACCAGCAATTAGTCATCCCCTGCCCTCCCCCTCCCCAAACCAAAGAGCGCACAACCGTGATTCCTTTGTCCCCGTGAAAGAAAAAGAGAGAGAGAGAGCTCATGTAACTATTCAGAGAGGAGCAAATTAATTCGAAGATGAGCACCAAAAAAGCAACCATTTCATCTCATCCTGACTTGTTCACAGAACCGGAAACAAACAGCACTAAAGAAAAGCTCACTGGCCATTATTCCTCCTTCGGATGCACAAGAAGCATGTATTTTTCATCTCATCACCCTCGTCCATGAGACTGCATGAGCTCAACTCGAGTTTTGAATAGAGTCATTTTGAATGAAAATAAAATACATAATTGCCAATTCCCATCGCACAACACCACCAATAATTCAACGCTATGAGCAGCATTCACCTCTCTCTCTTTGTACTCCTTCCTAAATATTAATTATCCAAATTGAGTTGTACATTAAACATTTCTACATGCAACACAACACGCTCGTCGTCGCCGTCGTTGTGACTCCGCAGGTCGGAAAGAGAGCATAATAAGAAATCATGAGCCGAGTGTTGCCGAATTCAAAACAGCACCCCCACATTATTTCATACTTTACGAAACAACAGTGTTTGAAGAGCTGCCGATGGACCAAAGTGCTTGTCCAAGTAAGTAGTGACCACTTATGAATAATACTTTGTTAGTCGTAATGACACGGTGATGGTGGGAATTAAATTTATTAACCAAATAATAGCAGTTCCTCCTCAGCACCACTCCTCCTTACTTGGCATTTTAGCTAGCGGATAGAAGAACCGTATTTCTTATTTTCATCAGTCTTCAAAGTATACAACAAAGCACACAAAACAAACAAGGCTCCTTGCACGCTATTCACGGTCCGATTTTTTGAAATGTCTTTTTTTTATTTTTGCGTGGCTGTTTCTCTTTTCGACACTGCGTATGTATTTATTTACTGATATTTACATATGTACACTACTCATCCTAGATATGCGTCCGATTTTCTGCTGAGCTGCTGCTTCATGGACGGAGCTGATGGGAGCTTTTTGAATGGAATTACGATAACAACTATAACAAGCCCAACTCCTCCCACCAGCGCACCATTACTTTTTACGAGCTTCAACTGTCCATTTCCCAAATACCTATCATCATCAACTTTCTCTCGAACAGATCGTACGTAGGCTCGGACTGTGTTCCCCACGGAATGATGATGATTACATTATGATGACTGGTTTTGCATCATCCCTCGAGTCGTGAGTCAGTCTCTCAATAATCTCAACCAATAATTCCCCGTTTTCCCAGCATGTAAAACAGAATAAATTACAAGTCACAAAAAAAGTATGGAAATAAATTTAATTGATTTTTTCATCTCCTTGTAGAAAATAAATTTTAAGACTAGGATTTTTTGATCCGACGCAAAAATTCAATTTACTTTAAACCGCAGAATTCATTTAATTCCACAATTTTTTGAGATATCGTAATAATTAATGGCGTCGGTCAGCAAGGCATATGTGCGTTGTCGGCCACTTGCGTTGTGTGTAGCACTCTTGTGATTAGCAGAGGTTTACTTTGATTTCATTTGCAAGTCGAGTGTCTGACTGAGGAAGAAGACAGCAAAATAATATTGGTAATCACAACAAACAAGAATAACAATCCTTTGTTGTTTGCTTTGTATCAGAAGCAGGGTCCCAAGAAGTTTCTCATTCGAAACCGCAAATAATTCTGCTCTTATCTCGTCGTAAAGTCTGCGGTGAAATCTTTGATTGCTTTTTTGTGACCCCACACACAGAGAGACAACATGCACATACATACAATCTCTTTGAAGCTTATCTATCCACAGCGTCTGTGTGCCTGTTTGATATTGTGAATGCTATATTCCATGAGAACTCGAGTTCAAGAAATGCAATTAGAACCCCACCACGATTCACATTTGTTTGTCATATAGATAATAAAGGAAGGCGAGGAGGGCCAAATAAATAAAGAGTACGTAAATTGGCTCTTATTTGGTCGTCGTCCACCGCGACCGGCGCAACAAAGGAAGACCAGGAGCAAACTATGCAGCGCCCTTTGATTTCTTAAATTAGGATCAATTAATGTCGTGGTCCACAAAGGTCCCCGTTCCGCCGTCTGTGTGGCCGGCAATAAAACTTTTAAAGTTTTCCGAAAATTGGGAGGAATTTCATTTCATGGCTCAGATTTGATTTCGCCCGAAACGACGGGATTACTTACTCCCCGCACTTCAACTCTGCTAGATACATGTGTGTGAATAATTTGTGAAGCGTGTCGAATTTCGGAGTTTGGGAGTGATTGAATGTCACGCTTGTCGGAGGAGCATCCATCATCACCACCACCACCTGGGAACGCCACGGTTCCGACGTAGGCACGATGCACTGCAGTGATGGTCACATTATGCAGGCATCCAATCCAATCCACAAACAAATTGTGGTGTTGGTGTTGGGAAGAGTTCAGATGATGATGATGCAACGAAAGGTTAAGTTTAATATCATCTCATAATCCCCAAACCTTGGACTTATCTCTAACCGACCGTCGTCGACTGCTATTCAATCTTTTCAGAGATTTCTTCATAATAAAATCAAGAATAAGAAGTAAGAGAAACTGCTCTGGGTGTTTGGTGAGATGGTGTCGAAAGATGCGGAAAGTGAGTAACGCAACGCAACGCAAACGTCATTGTCTTGATTCACATTGTTGTGATTTGAATCCGAATCTATTTGAACACCATCTGGGCCAGCTTTTTGCTGTTGCCTAATCTTTTAAAAATTACAATTTAAACTCCGTCTGCTACAACCTTCTCGTCCGTAGATTAGATGGTTGCTTAGGGTGCTCAGAGTAAGCAGGGACGACCCTTTTGTTCTCCACCACGAGCATCAGTTCACAGTTTAGCGTTTACTTACGCAAGAAAATAAGTGCTCCCTTCTCCACCACCCAAACATTCCAATGTGATCCTGATGAGCCTTTATTGCAGGCCAACCACTCACGCAACACACTCTTTTACAACTCCAGCCTCATATTACGTAGGACACGAAGAAAATGCCTTTCTCATAAAACGAGCTGACCAATTTATACTCCCTCCACCACCACCGCCACCACTAGTAAAGTAAAGTGAAACCGTCAATAATTTTTTGAAAGATCAGCAGAAGCATGGGAGGAATTGTGGGATTTGGCAGGTGGGCAAAGTACATGCCCATCAAGTACAAACTCGTAAACCACCAACGCGAATAAAGGTCCTCCTCCAGGTCCAATAAGCAAAATGTACTTTACGCGTGAGCCAAATTGACTTTTTCTCTTTCTGCAAAAATTAGCATCAAAATCTCGGGATTGTTTCAAAAACCAACTTGACGACAGAAATGGTGACAATGAGGGAATGACAGGAACACTAGTCATAGATATGCATGCGTAAATGGGCTGAGTTGTTCGAAATGAAGGATGCGTTGGTTGTGATTGTGCATTGAATCATGATTCCTTTTTCGTGAGTTTTGTCCGTTGGTGTGTATGCTTTCGTGTGGTTGTTGCCTCATCGTATTTTTTGTGGTGAGCCCTTTTTCTTAATTCGGTCCTTTCTCTCCACCGACGGCCGAAGACATGTTCGAGTTCGCGTTCTCGCCTTCGTCGTTCCCACAGAGAGAGAGAGATAGGGATTTCTTAATACTCGTGTAGTCGCCGTAATGTGGATCATAGAGCCCCTGGAGGCCCTGTAAAAGGGGTCTAAAAGGCAGCCACATCCGCTTGCAGGTAATATTCCATTTTATGATGAAACTATCTCATTCCACGCCAACGAACCACCACCACCACCACCACCGTCTTTACCACCATAAGCAAACGGCGATCAACCTGTCGGAAGGAAAAAAGTGGCCACTCCACTATTTCCAAGAAGAACATGTTTCTCCACAACATTGCATCCACAACATGCCCGAATACAATGAGACTCACATTTTATTATGTCTGCTCATCCACCGTCTTCTGCATGCGGAATGTTCCCATATCATAGCAAACGATGGCTCAAAGTGAGGGCAATAACGAGTCGTCGAATAATAAATAATATATTATATGCGACTCACAACTAATGCATGAAGAGAGCCATGCAAGCACTTATATTTCTGCTGCCCAGCTAAATACATTTATATTGCCTCTCATTAATTTGTGGGTTGTTATACAATGGGTGGTGTAAGGGGATGATGACACCAAAATTGCACCACAGCCACAAACAACTGAGTCTGGAAAATGACGAGTAAAATGCATACTTTATACTTGTACATACATCGTGTTGGGACAGAAAAAAGTCGATAATATAAAAGTTAAGCCGGTAAGTGGTTAGATTTTTGCCTTGATTTGGTTTGGTCAGCTAGTCTTGGGATTAGTTGGGTCGGATTAGTTTAATCCCTTGGTCACAATACAATTTGGACATTATATGTATTGCGTGGTCGAGTCCGACCACGGGACAGAGCAGGAAGAGAGATGAATAAGAGAACTTATGAAAAGCTCATCATTAGCCAATCCGCATTATTGTACAGATGAATATCCCGTCAAGAAGACGTCGTTTTGGTTCTCACAACAGGAGGAACGACGTATGTAAACTCTCTCTCTGCCCACGGGTATGATACCCGCAAAAAACTGCCACCCACCCAATACTAATGCCCACAATATGTGTGTTTATCTAATCCAGGATCACGTACCGCTCGTTGGCGAAATAACAGCATGCTCATCATCAATCTATCCATCTCAAGGAAAATTGGGAGACGAGGAAAATGCAAATGTCCTACAGTGGAGTCCCTCTGTAAGTGGGGTCTCATTATTAATAAGAGGCAGCATTTATGGCTGCTAATGAACATCTCCCTCCCTCTTATAATATACCGCACGATTAATCAGCACTACCGGCTAAAACTATATGCAGCAGAATACCGCAAATCCATTCGCCAATCTCTCAACAAACGCCTCCATTAATCTTGATTGTTGTAAACTTTTAATTTAACCAGTTGAGTTAAAAACCGAGCCCACCATTTTCTTAGAATACGACGACAAACCCGTCCCACCTTTTTACCTATAAATGTTCTTTTGATTCCCATGCAAAAATTGTGAGCATAAAAATAATTATAATTGCAGATATCTCTCATCGGTAAGTTAAAAAGAGTTTGTTGCATATGAAATGGGATAATTACGGAAAGTAATGGTTTGATGCTGATGATGAGAGCGGTGTACAACAAATGTGTGGATATCATGCAAATTAATCCCTTAATACCATCGTGCACATGTCACCGCAACACAGGCCAGTTTCTTTAATAAGCAGCGTTTAATTTATGGGGATTTCGTTCCTAAGCAGGCAGGCAGGTCAACAATGGATAATTCAATTAAGCGGATTTCTTGTCAGTGTATGTCCACCACACACACGGTGTCCCCTCTCCTAAGACTTCTCCTAATACTGTCACCACCACTCGAGGCTTTTTGTAGTAGAGAGAAAAGAAGGAGAAATAAATGTCACCAAATGTCCACTCTCCGTCTAATCCAAACTACTAAATGTCTCCATAATATGTCAACAATGGTCAAGTATTTACATGGTTGGAGAAGATTGAACGTGTCTCACTCACACAGGATCATGTTACACACTCATTTCGTGGCCAGTTTGCAATTTTATTGCCAATTCTGGTCATGTAATAGACAGCTAAAGTCAGAGTCCATAACGTGGACCTTGTCATACGACTCACCGTGTGAAATGGGCTTCCAATTGCTGCAATTTTTTAAATCCAACCCTTGTCTTGAAAAATGTGTGTGTTTGCAACTCGATCGCGTCGTATCTGTTCGTAGTCTTCTTCTTCTTCTCCTTATCGTCGTCACATCACAACAAGTGCTTGATAATAGCAATAGAAATAATTATCATGATGCTCATTTGCATTCCGTCAGCCTCATGACACCAAATTGAGGTATATTAATAATGAATCCCGTTCCTCCTCGTCATTCTTCTTCTTTGTTGGAACAGTAGGAGCAGAATATTAACAACTTTTGGAAAATGACATCGACAGGAGAACTGCTGCACGCACAACAATCACAAAGTATTAACAACAACAAGAGCAGCAACACCAACAAAGAAATTCTCCGTTATTATTATGATTATGATGAGACTTATTTAAAACATATTAAGACGCTGCTCACAAATTAACACACGACGACAATGAGAAATTTTGCAGAGATATGACTTCCTCATTAACACCACCGACTCATCGTCCACACCACGTTATTATTGTTACACAACCGAACCGAATGAAGATCACAAATATTTAGAGTAGCTCTCGCTCTGTGTAATTAATCCTAATTTCAAGGCAACCCCACTCGTCGTGGTATCGTTGTACTTATAATTTACAACATGCCGGTGCAGAATTTAGGCTTTATCTATATTAAATGTGTCTAGCATTTAATGTACGCTTTTATCCGCTCTCTCATTCGATCCATTGAGTACAATAATTCTTCTTTAAAGAGTAAATACAGCTCGTTAAAATTTCTTTCTTTGTGCGAGATGCAGTTGAGCAAGTTTTATTAGTTGCAGACACGGAGCTCGTATGTACTTATGTAGGAGCAGCCGTGGAGGATATGCAGGGAAAGATATTCAAATCTTCAGAGTCGTCTTCTTTGGCGAAGGTTTGATTGTTGTGAGGCAATCGTAGGATGCAGACGAGTAACAAGCGAAGCACTAGAGTTTTCTTGTCTGCTCTCAACAATGAACTGGTTCTTCTAACTCTCCGACAACTTCTTCACCATCTTCAAATCTTCATCACCCTCCTGAGCACTATATCCTCCTGAGCACTGCATATACATATCCCACCCCACTCCAACCAGCACAAGATCCCGTCTTATTTATTGCATTGTTGGATGGGGGAGCATCATCAAGAACTTGGTGTGTCTGTGATGCGAGCTTTTGGTGAGTAATCAAACCCGGACCCGGGGGCATTCTCACTACAACGTTCATTTCGCCCATACACTCGCGACGAGTGGCATTCGTTTAGACTTGGCAAATATGTGCAAGGAAAGGAATCACTACATCTTCAACGGAAAGCAAATTACATTACATCGATCCAGTGATGGGAAACTTCCTTCCTGTGCCAAAACGCAACGATATTTTCGTAATTTGACGTAGATCAGAAATGCATGCATGCTCCTGCATCAAAGAGAGAGAGAGAGATAGGAGGTGAGAGTTGATTTTTAGAACCATGGATTCAGAAGGCGTCCGTCTCCCCGAACTCCGAATACTCCGAATCCGGAGAGAGAGTTGCACCCTGTTCACTCACCCTCAAAATAATTTGGCCACCCTCCTCTGGCACCCACGCCACACATTGTATGTATCCGAGCTCGTTTGTGTAGTATAGTTTTACATGAATGAATAACATTACTCTTTGGTTCATAATGTTTTGCTTGCTTTCTTTATTGCATTTCCTCCTAGTTTTCAAAACATACATTTTTTACTGTCTGCTTTATTATTCTTAAATCCAGTCAATAAGATGCACTAAAATAAGGCGGAAGCGAGACCACGACTACGAAACACAGCTTATTTGCTTCCATTGAACTCCGTTGCGTAATGTGTATTTAATAAGCAGAAAAAAATAATGTATGAATATTTAGTAACTTAATATTAGTTGATTATAATTAAAGCTAAACCACCATCGAAGATAATTTCATTGAATGAGATAACTAGCGATGAGTGACTAATTAATTTCTTAAGATCGATCACACGACCGTTATTTTTCCCAGTCCATCCTTTGCAGTTTGTGCATATTGTGTTTCTACATAAACGACTCTACATTTGTATTTGAAGAATAACGAGGAGAAGGCACCATCCAATGACTAAATCACAGACAAACACTCGTAATGTAATCCATTGTAATAGATTTCCAGCCAGTCGACTTTTTCCATACTGACACTTTGATCTACGCCACCATAAATAAGCACTTATTTTGGCATGGATTAGTTGGATGTCAATTTTTCTGGAATTTTAATCTATACTCTCGTACATTAATCGATTGATATCATCATTATCATCACACAATAAAAATAAAATATCACGGAAATCTCTCTCGCTCTCTATAATACTCGATAATCTCAGAGGATGGAAAGTAACCTGAAACTAATCCTACAAAATATTTCTTGTAATATATTTGTGTGCGTCGGATAAATCATGACACTACTACACTAATAATAACCAGAGTTTGGCTTAAGGAAAAAGATCACAAAATGGATGCACATTATTTTTTCATGCCTAACATGACTAATTAATTAGATATATTTGTAAAGATATCGACTAATAAATAGCACCAATCACTGGATGTTTTTTTCAAATTTTTTCGAACGACGTGCATTGTATTATTTTTTCCTTGTGGTGTTCCTAAATAGGTGGGGGTCCATCCGGATAGTGTAGCATAGGTTCGAGCGAGTACTTGAAGTTGTTGTGGTGCGTGCACAAGTAGTCTTCGCCGTAGGGGATGAAGGTGGCTGCTCCGAGGAGGAGGAGGATGAGGGCTTGGATTGGCAGGGAAGCTCGCACCACGCGGGCAACGTAACGACCCCCACGAACCAGGACAGAAGCTGGTGGCGGTCCGTCCTCACTGCAGACATGCAAATAAGAAAGTTAATGTTAGCGATTGAGATAATTACTTTGAGAGGGATTTGACGATTACTTTTCGGTTGAGGTGGTGCTGTGATGGGGATTTCGTGCGAGAGCTGGGCTCGAGCGACCTGCAGATCTCTCAAGTATCTACACAAGTACAAAAGTAAATAATAATAAGTTTTTAGTACCGCTTTCTACTTTGTTAAACAAGTGAGCACTACGTAATAACTGCGTAAATAGTGTTGGCAATAAATAATAATCATAAAGAGTGATTCCAAACAATTTGTGAAGGGATAAGGATATGCTACAGATAGAATAATAAAAAAAGAGGAAAAATGTGGTTATGTATGTCACCTCCTCAGATAAGCTCAGCATGGGTGACTCTCCACGGTCTCCGTCAGCCCCACTGTCTCGGATAAATGCGGACAAGTGTCGGATGTAAGCGTCGCAGACTTTTATCAGTGCTTTGAGTTGATGATTCACGGTCGAGATGCGATCAATGATCGTGGCACTTTCTTCTCCAACAAAGACATCTTGGTCCGATGGTCCAGGGGAGCAGATTCCTTCCCTTTCGATGGCCGTAGGATTGACAAACAGTTGCTCTGCCGTAGCCAGCAGCGTTGTCACTTCCGGTTCAAGCCGAACTAGTTGATCTCGCATGGCCTGAAACCCAAATGTACATCAACAGCAGTTAGTGACCATTTTCAGTCATATAATTCCGTTGATATTAAAAAGTTAAGACATTAAATTTCAACTCACCGCAAAGCGTCTCCACTTGGCCAGGATAGTTTTTCGGGGTTGGGAGAGGTCAACGGGTTCCAGGGCTTGAATGTCGTCTTGAACTTGGCCCACACAAGTTTCGTAATGTTCCAAATTTTCGTGGAATCCAGAGTTCTCCATGAGAGCGATTTGAAGCCGAGCCTGCCACAGGGCCGTTTGGTGGCACACTTTTTTCCACAGGGTTATTGCGGCCTGAAGTCGTTCGCGAAGTTTTTCCAACTCGAGGGAGCCCATCGTCGAGGTTTCCCCGTGTTCGTTAAGGTGGGAAAGGACTCCGGTCAGTCGGTGGACCAAATTTCGGTGAGAATCTAGATCCAGTACCAACTCCCTGTGTCGCAACACGGCATCCTCCAACTGCTCCACTTGAGTGGGTGGTCTTTTCTTCATGGTCGACTTCAACTTTCCCTCCGCGTGGGTCAACCACTGCTCCAAACGCCAGAGGGTGGAATCCCAAGCCCCCCTTTGGGCTGGGGTGCAAGCCGGGCACGTCACCTCCTTCTTGCTGGGACTATGACATAGGAAAAAAATGAAATAATGTTAATATGTCTAATATCCCTCTAATATATAACAGTCTAATATGTTAAATATGCCTGGACATGTACTCACCTGGATTCCCTCAACGATTGTCCCACACTTCGCACCTTTTCTTCCAACGACTTTAACTTTGTCCGAACACCGGAAACTTGGGAGGTATTGGCCTCTTCTGGGCTCAAGTGATGCTCTTCCACCAACAGCTTATGAATGTGGTTGAGATGATCAGTTTGAGATTGGGCGAGGGCAAGTACCTTGACAAGCATGTCGTGTGGGGCAGATTTGTCCACCAATTCTTTCAACTCTGCAATGTTGGAAAGAGAGCCGTGGAGAGTCTTGGCCAATTCCTGAAATGAAAGAAATTGAATTGGGTAGGGTTATTATTATATTTCAGTAAGACGTAATACTTCACAAAGTACATAGTATTAAATATTATGTATGTATGGAAAATGGAGTACCTCGAGATATATGTCCTGTCTGGTCAACGTGACGGATGACATTGACTCACTATTCAGTTCATCCTCCTCGTCCTGATCTTCAGGAGGTGCAGCAGCAGCTGATGTCACCAAAATTTGTGGCCCGGTCGGAGAAGACGATGATGATGACGATAATAATTCCTTCGTTTGTGACAGATGCAGCGTCTCCACTTGGATCGCAGCATCATGTTCTCCACTCAGAGTGTCCACCTGGACCACGCTGTCCCTCTCTTCCGCAGCCGCAGCCGCAGACGCCTCGTCTTCCTCCTCCTCCCTCTGTCTTCGCTCAACATCGCGTTCCAATCCCATGAGTAAATTTTCTAGGTAACTTTTCAGAGATTTTACGTTAGCTTGCTTCTCCTTTACAGCCTGTTTCACACTCGAGTCCACTCCCACATAAATCTTGCCCAGGGCAGACAAGTTGGACGTGAGACCCTTGTTTTGATCCACGTTGTCCCGAATCTCCATTATTTTCTTGGACAATTCTTCTGCGTCCAGAGAAGTGGACGACTGGAGTTGCTCCGCCTTAAGAAATAATGATAAATTACTTAAATATCAACTAACACGAAGTATAAGTCAATTAAGTATTCCAAAAAATGCCAATCGTACCTGGTGACACAAACTTTGATAGAAAGCATTCGTGTAAGAATAGGCGTCGTCGAATTGGGCTTGAGCTTCGGTTCGCTGCAGAGCTTCCATCAGTTGGTGACACCTCGTGAGGTGAGACCTCCAGTCTCTAACCACACCTTTTACACGCCCACTAAAGGCACCTGGGTCAGAGGCATGGACCTGCTTCGTCAGAAACGAGTAGTCGTTGCTCAAGTCTTCCACTTTGGGTGCCATGGCTTGCAGGGAGGTCACTAGCTCGATGACCTGAGCAGTGCAACTCTGCTGCTCGTCCAGACCATTTAAAGTTTCCTCCACCTGAGTTAGCAGCATTTCCAACAAGTCGCATTTCTCGTCCAGCTCTCCAACTTTCTCCCTGAGGTTGACAAGACTCGCCTTCTTACTGCTAAACCCGGAAATGAGATGTTTCCACCTATCATCGAGATTCTCCGACATTCTCCGCAGACGGTTGGAGTCAGTGTACATTCGAAGATCTTCACACTCTGTCGCCCCCAACTCGCACAGCTTTAGAATCTCGTTCACTTCAACGGACTCGTTATTAAGTCGTTTCTGTTCAGTCTGCGAGACAAACCAAATTTGTGCTTCATTAAAAAACCGTCCTAGCATATGTGAAAGCAAAATTAGTAAAATGATTACCTCATGTTTGTTGGAAGCCTTTGAGATTTCTTGGGCAGAGAAGGTGGAGAGGTTGATGGGCCTGCTCAAATAATTCTCCAGTTGTTTCAACTTGGTCTCAACGGTGGATGATCGCACTTCAAGTTCCGGCAACAACTAACAACGAGAGAGTTAGTTGCACATTAGATTATCTAACCGTGCGACCAATAACTTTAATCCTTTATGTTACCTTCAATAAGTGATTGACCCTTCCGTTCCGTTGTTCGACGAGCGTGTAGAGCTCATTCCACTTTCCTCGCACTTCTTTCAGGATGCGCACCAGTTCCTTCTTTTCCTTCCCAGCCGTCATTTCTACCAAGTCGTCTCCACATCTTGACAGACTTTGGAAGGCGGGCATCTTCATGGCCAGCTCTGGATGAAGCTCGGTCTCTATGTGGGTCAAATAGTCCTCCAAGTTTTGGGTAGAAGGACGTTCCAACCGATCCTTGGCATCCTTGACCCAGAGCAGCCAGTTCTTGCACCTTCACGAACAAATAAAATCAATAATATTGCCACGATGTGTCGTAGACAAGTTCAGGAGGTAAATAAATGCGTACTTTGTGTCAAAGATGGGAAGTAAGTCCAACTTTTGTTCAGCTTCAGCTTTGAGTTGGCTCAAATCGTCGAGGAGTTCGACCTGGCGTTGAGAGAGAGAAGTGTGTCCTTGTTGGAGAAGTCGAGCATCACTTGGTTTAATGGACGACTTTATTTCTTCTATGAAAACATTCAGTGACTCTAACGAATTTGACAGCTCGGCCGTTTCCTTGTACATTTTCTGCGTAAAAAAATAATTTTACATACACAGGGAACTCAAAACACCAACTCGGGTCGAATGAATAATCATACCTCGATTGACTTTATAAAGTGTTTTAACTCGGCGAATGATTTGGGTGGCCTTTCCTCTTTCAATCGATCCCTGATTGAGGACAGATTAGACGAAATTTGAGACATTTTAGCCTCAGTGTCTGTGTTCATTTGTAACAATCGGTTGATATGGTCCAGCCATTTGAGTAACGTGGCACGCAGATTGTCCAGGCGGGTGGAAGAGGATGCAAACTCTTGGTTCAGTCGTGTCCCAAGTTCTGGGGCGCACAAGGGGACGAGTGTGGTGTGTTGGCGCTTCAAGTCCTCCAAGAGGTCTTCCCCACGGGGTAGGCGACCAATGAGGATCTACAGAAAACCATATATTTACAAAATGGTCTACATAATTTGATTGTACATATGCAGCTAGTACTGCTATGTGTTGGGAGTATACTAACCTCAATCTGTTGTTTGACATGGGGGATTCTACCCATGGAGAGGAATGGAAGTTGTAAGGTTTGCTTTTCCTGTTCCACCTGTTGCAACCAGATCGACAGCGCGTCGAGGGCTGCTTTGTACTCACTCCAGTTGCGAAGCCGGAGTGATGTAGCGTCTTGGCGTTGAGCGAGATCGGCCTCGAGCTGATTGTACTGGTCCTGGATGGGAGCAAAGTCGGAGGGGCGCTGTTCCACCAGAGTGGAGAGAGAGTCCCCTTGTCCCTGAAGGATGTTGTGGTGGACGGAACAAAGGCTCGAGTCCGATACCAACTGAGACTCATCACCTGGAATCGGTTGGTTCAAATAGTGACGACATTGTTCCAGAGAATCGTGCCACAGTTGCAGCACCTCCTCTGCATCTGCCCTATCCGGAACTGCATTCCAAATTCGCACATACTCTTGAAACGTTTTGTGAAACACTTCTTGTGACGTTTTGAGGAGTTGTGTTAAATGTGGCTGTCCACCATCACCACCGGAAGTAGCAGAGGAGGAAACCACTTCGAGAGCCTTCATTTTGCCTTCAGCATCTCCAAGTTTGAGCAACTGTTTCTGCACAAGATCAAGAGTTGGTTCCCCATGATCACGATTCAGCAACTGCAAGGTTTCAACAAATAAATCCATGTCAGTAGTTCCTTCATCAATAATTTGTATATATGACACAAATATTTAGTGTGCGTACCTCTGAGGCTGATGAGAGTGTGACTGTTGCTTCTTGCAAGAGTTGTTGTTCTGCTGGGGTGTGAACAATGAGGTTGTGGACGGAGGAAAGGTAGCTCTTGAGGAACTGGAGTTTTCGAGACAAACCTTCCAATTCCAGTGTAATTGGGAGCTGGTGGCCCTGTTTCAAGGCCTCCTCACTGTCCAGGGAGAGGGTGAGACAAAGCTCTGTGGCCAACGCTCGCAGTTCGTTCATCGTCTCTTCCTGGGCAGGAAGTTCCGAGCCAAGCCGTTGGATTAGGTCAGTTGGGATGGATGATTTCTGCCACAATCAAAGACAGGAAATAATCACATTGTCACAACAGACCAGCACCACCACGATAAATTTTGAAATATTGCACCCATACCTTTGAAATAAGAACGACCCCACCACCGTCACCTCCTTCTCCTTGCTCTTCCTGTTGGAAGGAATAATGGGTGAGAATCTGAGGATAGAACTGTCGAATCCAGTCCTCCAGCCCTTTCTTCCTTTCGTCTAAACGGTTCCAGAGGACGAGAGCCGTTTCCGTGCGAGATATCGCCGTCTGGAGTTTCCCCACCAGCGCACCCCACTCTCCCACCACCTCCTGCACTCTGAGGTCAATCTCCCTTTGAATATCTGCTGGTGAGTCGGCTTTGAGCTGCGTGGCAATCCTTTCCACATCCGCTATGTTGACTTGCTTCACCAACTCTGCAGCGTTCTACTCGAAATCAAAACAGAGGATGAGGAATGGTTCGTTTAGACTGTCAGTCAGAATTATGCGTGCTAATTGATGTAATTTCTCAGTACTCAGATCTCCATATCCTGCATACGTATACTGCTTTTGTCATGTAAACCTCAACTACCTGCTCACTCTCGTCGTTATCTCTCTTCCAGATCAAGAGGAGTGATGCGTGATTGAGAATTTTCCTAATTTATTAGGAAATCTGTCTGAAAAGACGGGGTAAGTTAAGCAGCTGAGGAAGAATTACTGTACGAATGTCATTCAATGTCTCATGCAGAGAGAGAGAGAGAAACGATAAGAGTCGTGAATGGAGAGGAAATGAGACTGAACGTACTAATAAAAGTGGTAAGTAAGAGTAATCTGGGATGGATCAGGAGTCGAGAGAGAGAAGGAATTTGTGTGATGATGAAAACGCTAAAATTAGTTGACTGTTATTTGCTGCTACTTTGATTGGGCCGTGACCCTAGAAGAGCAATAAGCTGATTCTCATCTCCTCTTCTATAGAACCTACATATATGCCTTTACATACGCTGGTTATTTTCTATCCACATTTCTTCCCATCCTCCAGTCAAACCATAGTCAGCCTCGATCTCTTGTAATTCGCACACACAAATGTGCTTCGTACCAGCAATCGTAGCAAATGGTGCAGATTAATAAATAATTTGGGATTGGCATGAATGAAAGGACCTCACGTATTTATGCTGTGCAACGAGAGAGTGGTTTGACAACTTGGTCGATGACGGTTCAGTATTGGCTTCATATAATAAAAGCTTCCAGCCAGTCTCACTCGCTCTCAAATTCAGTCGTTTTGGGACAGTACAAGAAATACAGTCGTACGAAGTACGAATACATATTTGTTATTCTTTGTGTGCTATAAAAGTCTAAGCTGTCCAGGGTTATGTTATACGAACTTGTTTCTGTTTGCATTGTGCCATATGGAAATGTGTTCCTGACTCAACATGTAAAAATTCCACTATTCCCATTAAAATAACTGCTTCATCATCACTCGATCAACCAAACCAGATGCAAATAAATGTACATGTGCATATGCCGGTATGCAAATGCATGTAGTTTATGCTTAATTGTGCCGAACGGGTCACTGCTCGTCTTCCTTGGTGCGGAGATGCAGGGCTGAGATGAGTGAGTACGTAAAAATATCTGGAGAAGGTGGAGCCATGTACCTTGAGATGTCGGTCGGATGCGAGGAGGAGGCCGTGTTTGGTGGGGCCTTCGGCGACAAGATCCAACGTCGTCTGTGTCTGTGTGGTGAGGAGAGCGATGGAGGTTAAAAGTTGGTCGTACTGCTCCCAAAATCCCAACTGCTCCTGCACTCGTTTCCTCAGATCCTATTTTTAGACAGGAAGCACGTTAAACAGCATCTCATCTCTCATTTTTCCCCCCTACACAACGACGTCTCGCACAAGCGTCACTTTCTTTTTACTGTTCAGAATAAATGTCACGTCCTCATTTCTCTCCACGAGTTTGTGGGACATTATTATTGCGTTAGTCAATTGGACGAGTGTCACAAACAACTAAAACTGCCAATCATCCTTATTGACGACGACGAGGAGGGTAACATACAGAATATTTAATGAACATAAAGTCAACAGCCAAAGAGGACAATTGACACGTTTTCTTTTACCAACAACTCGACTACTCAACTCATAACACACACTTTAAGAAGTACGTACGTAGCACGCAGAGCACAATGGATATTTCAATGGCCAGATCAATAGCAATTTTTAGCAGAACAGTTATTTGTTGCCGACTCCACCGAGTCCAAATGCCAACTAACTGAATTTAAATACCGAGACCCAACTCTGCACGACTCTCCGTACGTACGTACATTTAAATCCATGTGTATGCGTTGTGTTGCAAGTTGATGGTTATCCTAGTCATGTTATTCGTCATGTTGTTGCATGTGTAGCTAACTCTGTTATCTAATCTCTGTCATCACAATCAACAAGACGAGGAACGACGATGTGACGTGACATACTTTATCTGTCGTTCACACTCACTCGATTACTAATTGAACGAGTCAACAAAAACAAAACAAATGGTTATGGATTAGGGGAAAATGTGTTGGAATTAATCTATCGAATGAGACATTCTTTGCATCTGTTCGTATAGGGATTACACGATCTACACCTAATTAGAAAGATTGATAAAATTACTTGGATTCTGGCGCTGAGAGTGTGCACTGTGGCTTCCATCTCGTGCAACTCGTGGTCCATTTTGCCCTTGTTGAGGGCGAGGTGGGTGGTAGAGGGGAAAGTGGTCAGGAGGTGACGCATCTTGTCCAGGTCAACGTTATTCTTGGAAATGTCTTCATCCAGAGTCTGCAAAAATACAAAAGTTAATGGAAGAAGATACAAATTGGTTAAAACATGTGCACATCTACATTGTGATGATTTAAGCTTATCCATACCTGACAGTTCTGCAGAGATTGTTTGAGAATGTCCTGAGATAACTCGAAAAAGGACGTCCATTGGTCAACACGAGCACGAAGGGTGTCTTGGAGTCGTCGGGTCTGCATCATTTGAATGATTATGAAAATAGTATAAAAATAAATGCTTCTAGATACGCATAATATGTGCATATGAATATGCATAAATTATAATTATGTGTAAAGTACGCACTTTGAGAGACATTCTCCCAAAAGTGGCAAACTTCTCTCGAACAGTGTGCGCCACGTTCAGCTCTCCAGAAACTTCGCTGTCCAGTGTCGAAACGAGGGATAGCATGGCACTGATTCGCTCCGCATCCTCCGGCTCTAAAACCCCTCCCTCATTCGACAGCAAAGTGCTCAGTTGATGACGCTTATTCAGAATTTGGGCCTTTAGAATCTGCCAATGAGTGAGAGAGATGATTAAAATGGGCTACATCAGCAATCGCATTCTAGTTGTGCATATGTACGCACCTGTAATTTTTCCAGGTAGACATAGAGATCGTCCTCCGAGTCTACATTGACCAACATGGTGGATAACTCGGAAGCCATGGTGGACAATTCATCAGACATGACGCCAAGCCTGGTCGAGACGGAAGACTCCGTGTCTGGCTCTCCATAAAAGGAGGATAACTCTGTTGACGCCACTGCTGCTACCAATGAACACCAGCGGTCATCAAAGTTGGCAAATACGCCCCGAATTGTGGGTTCATCAGTCACGTGGAGAGCACGCATACACTGGTCCAATAAAACAGACGCCTCGTTCCTTAAAGGTTGAAGGGTTTCAAGCTGTGCTTTCAATTCCTGTCGCCACAAACAATGAAAACAAGGTATTTTAATGTCATATATGCATACACGTGGGAAGGGAAATATTCGACAGAAAGATGTTTTGTTACTTACCCAAAAGTCGTAGGGATGACTGAGGGGTTGGAGTGCTAAGGCGTCCATTTTTCCCTCTGCCTTCTGCAACCAGGCCCGGAGCCGGGTACACAGTCGGTCGTAGCTGGACTGCGAGTCTCGATAGGCGACCAGTGACTGTAGCCCACTCGTCACTCGTCCACTTAGCCCCAAGAGTTGTTCCACCAGGGCGTCCGACCCACGTTCCAACGTCTCACAAGTCAAAACCTCTTGCAGACTCTCACTCACGGTTCGAAGCTGCATGAGACGAGCTTGGTGGACGATCATGTCAGAGTAGAGGGACTGCGAGTGATGGTGACATTAGCATAATTTCAAATTATACACAAAATACATAATCACGAGTGCATTTTACCTGGTAGGTGGTGCAGTATCTGTCCACCTCGCCCGACGCTACCTGGTCCAGTGACGGAATCTTTTTGGACACGGCCCCCAGCCAATTCCTCTCCTCCTCAAGCCCTTGCTCTAGCCTTCCCCAACGTGCGGAAGCCACTGCCATTTGCTGTCGCTTTTTGCCAGCACGTTCCAAAATACTTGAAGCTTCATCGTAGAGTCGATGGTGCAGCACCTCGTGCGTCTTTTTCGTCGAGGGGTCCAACCCATACTCCAACTTTTCCAGCGCTTGCTGACACCGCTTCAAATTGCCAAAGAATTTACGATTCTTCTTCACCTCATTTTGCAAGTGTGGTAAATTTCTGACCACAATTTTTTGAGAAACTAGTCCTTCGGCCACTTCAATGACCTTCTCAAATTCCTGCAAGGTCATCTCGTACTCCTCAGCGATCGAGTTAACTTGGAAAAGACGTTCCTTCTCTTCTGCCAATTGTAGACAGATGCGATCTAGGTCGGATTGCAGGTGGTTCGACTCCTCGGATAAGTCGCGGTCGTCCTGGTGTGAGTAGTTGTGGGCGTGGTGGTCCACCTTCTCAATCACATCAAGAGCTAATGGTCTCACGTTTCTTTGAAGTTCAAGTTCCAATTCGTCCAAGGCTTTTAGTTGGATAGAAGTTGGTTGATCCTCTCCATTTCCCACGATCCCGTCCATCCTTGTTTTAATGGAGTCAAGCTTTTGGTGTGTGTCGGTTAGGTTTTGAACCAAGTTGGCCCTTGCAAGCTCTTGTTCCTCCAACGAGTTGCACACTGCGGCGATGTGTTCAATGATTTCGGTCGTTATCGTAGTGAGTACAGGCTCAAGGCTCGACAAAACGTCCGATCGGGTTGTTTCTTCGATGAAGGGATGTTCTGTCACCATGTTTCTGAAGGAGTGGATAGGCAGCAACGCCTCATCCAGTTGACCCTTAAGCTCCTCGACTGCTTTCATCCGATCTGCTGGCGAAATAGAAGTGGACGGTTCTTCAAGTCTCACGAGTTTTACACGAATCGTTTCCACAATTTCAGTGATGGTTTCCATAATGTAAACAATTTCTTGGATCACGGTGACATTGTCCTCACGCCGTAACGCATCTTCTAATCTGGCAAGTCCATCTTTGGAGCTCTGTGTTAAAGTGGAAACGTCTTTGCTCTCCCCGGAGGGTGACATTACAAGGCTAAAAGATGGATGACTTGTAGCTTTTCTCGCCCTTTGCCCCCCAATTCGCTTGAGTTTCTTCATGACCTTGTTCAGTTTGAACTTTTGTTCAAGCTCTTGTGGAGATGGTTCGACAATTTCTACGACTGAAACCACGGGTGGCAGTTCTTCCTCCACATCTTGTTTGATTTTGTCACGCTTGGACTTGCGAATGCGATGTGTTTTTTGAGGTTCAACTTCTTGTTGGGCTGAAGGCGGTTCACTTGGTATCTCTTCTTGTTGCTGTTGCTCGTCTACTTGAGGGCTGATTTTTGTCTCTGGGTCGCTCGAAGTAATTTTATGGTGGTCCCCTTGTTCTTCCTTCTCAACAATTTGTGCTCCCTGCACTGACATTGCGGCTTCTTCTGATAAAAATGGTGCTTCTGGTGGGGCCGCCATTTCGGGCTGGGTCACTTTTACCGCTTTCAGATCCTTCTCTTGAATTGATGGTTCCGTAAGACGTACAACTTCTGACTGTTCGTCGGACACAGTTCCCTCTGTCTGTTGGGCAGGCTGAGAGGAAGGCGAGACGACGTCGAGGACGCTGAATTCTTGATTCTCAAGGGACGGTTCGAGTTGAACAACTGGAGCCATCGCCACTTTCTCCTCTTCGCGATCATCTTTTGGGCTCACTTGCGATTCAAGTATTACGTTGTTTGCAACTTCTTTCGATCTTGCAAATTCTTCTTCCTTGAGCGAGTTGGACACCGCAGCGATGTGTTCATTGAGTTCGGGCGTGATCGTAGCGAGTACTGGCTCCAGGCTAGACAAAACGTCCGATCGAGTTGTCTCTTCGATGAAGGGATGCTCCTTCACCATGTTTCGGAAGGAGTGGATTGGCAGCAACGCCTCGTCCAGTTGACCCTTAAGCTCCTCGACTGCTTTCACCCGGTCGGTTGGCGAAATAGAAGACGATGGTTCTTCCAATCTCACGAGTTGCATACGAATCGTTTCCACGATTTCAGTGATGGTCTCCAAAATGTAAACAATTTCTTCGATCACGGTGACATTGTCCTCACGTCGCAACGCGTCTTCCAGTCTGACCAATCCATCCTTGGAGTTCTGGGTTAAAGTGGAAACGTCCTTGCTGTCCTCGGAGGGTGATATTGTATGACTAAAAGGTGGCTGATTGGTGATTTTTCTCTCCTTTTGTCCCCCAATTTGGTTTAGCTTCTTTATCACCTTGTTCAGTTTGGACTTTAGTTCTAGCTCTTGGGGAGAGGGCTCGGAAGTTTCTACGACTGAGACCACGGGTGGCAGTTCTTCCTCCACATCATGCTTGACTTTGTCACGCTTGGATTTACGAATGCGGTGCGTTCTTGTGGGTTCAACTTCCTGTTTGACTGATGGAACTTCTTGCTGCTGTTGCTCGTCTTCTTGAGAGCTGATTTTTTCCTCTGAGTCGCTCGAAGTAGTTTTATGGTCGCCCCCTTGTTCTTGTGGTTGGGATGCCTCTTCGTCTACTATCACTTTGGCAATATCAGTGTCTGCAGTTGTGCCTGCTAAATTCGCGGATAAAGTTTCGGGTTGCAAAAACTCAATAACTTTTTCTGATTTCATCCCCACTTCTGCTGTCGGCGATAACGGAAACTGTTCAAGTTTTAAGAGGATAGCTTCCTTGGTACTATTTATTGTCGACTCAGCGGAAGTTGTGCCAGTTGCAGGAGGTTGTGTGCTGATTGAGGAAAATGTTTCTTTTGTGATTTCTGATTCCTTGACCACCAGACTGGGCGAGGTTGATGGTTCGAGAACGCGTATAGACGTCGGATCCACCGGATTCTCTTGCTCTGGCAAATCAGAGGGATAATCCAATGGACTTGTTACCCCCATCGTCTCGTCATCTGCGGCTACTGCAGGTTTCACTTTGGCCCCTTTTTTCTTCTTCCTAGTCTCAGCTTTAGGGGGTGGACCACTGGAAACAGCTTCTTCGCGCTCCTTTGCGGGTTCTTGGTCCCGGACTGACGGAAGCGTGGTTGCTGTAACTGTAAGTTCAGGTTCCTGAACATTGAATTGGTCAGTCTGAATGGGCACTGGCTCCCCATCTGGATAAGGAGACCCGGGGAAAGTTTGGGCCGTTTTCTCTTCATCCTGCTTGCTAGCTTTATCTCCGTCCTTTGGGATGGAATCATCAATTTCCAACTCTTGTGCCGCCACTAGAAGTTCGTCTGTTGTGGTTTGCGATATCAATCCAGCGTCTGGTGGAAATCCTAGTTCGTGCGTTTCTTGGGCTTGAATTGACTTGACCAACAGATGCGCAGGTTCGTCGGTTTCATCAGCTTTCTCTGACACAATTTGGTGGCCTGATGTGGAGTCAGGCTTCCCTTGAGACTCAACTCCTCCATCTGAGGGCTCGTCTCCTTTCTTTCCACGGCGTTTTCCTTTCGTTTTCTTTCTTTGATCTTCTCTAGCAATGGGTGGTTCTGGTTTTTCATCATCCGTCGGTTTAACCTCGGGGGGTGATGGTTCTGGTTGGGCATCACTCGTCTTAGTGACCTCAGGCAGTGATGGCCTTAACAAACGTTCATCTGTGCAGACTTGTGATGCAGGATCTGCGTAATGATCATCTGAAGAAGGTGGAATTTGTTCAAGGTTCTTTGGAACAATAGCATGTAGCACTACTGGGGAGCCATTGTCTTCACCAGTCTTGTCACTCGTTTCCTCGCCCTCGGTTGAGGTAGGCAGAGCAGGGACGATGGTTATGTCCTCAGCAACCTGTGGCTTGTTTACTCTCAATTCTTTGGGCGCTTGGGATGGCTCAGAAATTTGCGCCACTGGTTTATCAGGGGATGAAGACAGGGAGACTTGGATACTGCTGCTGGGTCCAGTCATCGTTTGATGATCTTGTGTCCTTGATGGGTCCAGTTCCTTGTCTTCATGTGCACGTCTGCCCTTCGTTTTCTTCTCTCCTGCCCGTGTGGGCACGTGGGCTGGTTCCTCTGATGGAAGAGTGAGTACTTGTTCTTCAACCTTTGATGGCACACGGGGTTCAGTCGGATGCACAAACTTCGAATCTTCGTCCAAATCGTGCGATGGTGCGAGTGTAGTGGTTGCTGCAACTTCTTGTCGGATCTCTGGCTCAGCAATTTCAGTTGGGCTGAATTCTGTCTCAACCACGTGACTTCGTTTTTCTTCATCACGGGATCCAACTTTTCCTTCGCTCTCTTCAGTTGCAGAGGTAGGACGGAGCAGAACGGATTCGTCAGCTCTAATTTCCTCATCGTCCGGAGTGCCACATACCCACGCGTGCGTTTTTGTGATGACAACTTCCTCCACAGGGGTCAAGTGATGATCAGCAGTAGCAATTGACTCAATTTCCGTGGACATCAATAGCTGTTGTTGAAGGGAGGACACCAAATGCTCTTCTTCCGGATCGTGTGCTATTTTGGAATCCGTCTCTGTCACACCGTCGTCTGCCACTCTCGCTGAAACTATTTGTTCACCTATCTCTCCTTGTATTTTTGCATCCACTGGTTCAACGTGTGGTGGAAATATTGCTCCGGGTTCTTGTTCCTGAATTTCCAGAGGTGAAATTAAGCCGACTCGGTCATCCTTTTCCTCGCGAGTTTTACGGTTTCCGATATCCTTAGTTGTCTGGTCTTCCCGTTGGGACAATTGCACTGCTGTGGGTTTTTCCATTTTCTCATCAACTTGGACAGACAGTATTTCTGAGGCCAACAGATGCACAGGTTCGTCGGTTTTATCAGCTTTCTCTGACACAATCTGGTGGCCTGGAGTGGAGTCAGGTTTTCCTTGAGAAGCAACTCCCTTGTCTGACGGCTCATCTTCTTTCTTTCCACGTCGTTTTCCTTTCGTTTTCTTTCTTTGATCTTCGCTGGCAGTGGATGGCTCGGGTTTTACATGGTCAGGCTCTTTGACTTCAGGCAGCGATGAACCCAACAAAACGTCGTCGCCTTTAAACTCTGTAGACGATTCAGTCGGTTTATTAGCCTCCAGGGCCGATTCTACAACTTGTGACTTAACAATGGTTGATTGAGCTGGTTCCTTCAATTGCTGAGACTCGAGTTGACGTAATTCATCTGCTTTCACTGGAACCAGTTCCTCAGTAACAACACTCTCCGTCTCTTTGGTGAAGGGAATTGACTTTTCGGGTCCCAATTCTCCACTTTCTTTTTGTTCTTCAGACACCAGATCTGTTGCAACGTTGTCAATGTCCTCAACTTGGTCGACTTTCTCCGGCAGATTTGCATCGTCGGTGAGGGTACTAATTCCTCTCTCGGTCTGAGATGATGATGAAAAATCTTCCAGTTTTTGGACCGTAGGTTTGGGATCTGCGGATTTTGTAATTATCTGTCCCTCAGTTGCAGGGAGAGTCTCATCAGGATCGAGGGCTGCTTTCTCTTTCTTCTTGCCACCCTTTCTCGGCTTTTTCTTGCTTTCCCTTGCCTCAGGTTTATCAGACGGTGCGTGTTCTGCTACTTCAATTGACTCTTCAATTTGACGCACTCGCTCAGGAGCAGTTGCAATCTCAATCAACGAAACTGGTTCCTCCAGGTGCTGAGACGGAAGTTGGCCTACCTCCTCTGCTTTCACTTGAACCACTTCCTCCGTAACGACACTTTCTGCCTCTTCCTGTTTGGATGGAATAGATTTTTCGGGTTCAAACTCTTCTCTATCTTTTTCCTCTTCAGATTTTGGAGTCGGTGTCGCCACCAGTTCTGCTGCAACACTTTCAGTGATTTTCTCCTGTGTTTCAATTGCGGGGACTACATGCTTCGTCTCGTGTGGATCGGTCCCGGGGGTAGCTTCTTTAGTTTTCTCCTCCTCTTTCTCCTTCCTCTTGCCACCCTTTTTCGCCTTCTTCTTGCTTTCCTTTGAATCAGGTTTGTCGGAAGGTGCATGTTCTGCCACTTTAATTGACTCGTCAATTTGACTCACTTGCTCAGGAATAGTTGTTGATTGTACAACCTCAATCGAAGAAACAGGGGTTGATTGAACTGGTTCCTTTAATTTCTCAGACTCAAGTTGACCTGACTCCTCCGCTGCTTTCTCTTGAACCAGTTCCTCCTTGACCTTGGGGGGAGTTGACTTTTCTGCTTCTGTTGCCCTTTCCTGGTCGGACTGTGGCATCACCACCGATTCTGCTGGAATATTAGCAATTTCCTGCTTTAGTTGGCTGACTTTTTCCGGTACATTTTGTGCCACTTGCAACAGTGTCTCCTCCAGAGTTTGAGTAAATTCAAAAGATTTACTGTCAACTTCGACTGGGAACGATTGTTGTTCCGTTTTCTGTGGCGATGTGATCACTCTGGTTTCCCAATCTACTTTCGTCTCGTCTTCTGTTCTAGGAACAACGGGTGTGGAAATCTCTTCCGTTTCAAGTGACGTGGCGTGTGTGACCGTCGCTGCGGGTATGATTTTATTCTCCTCAGCTTCTCTAGCCACACGAACTTCATTCGTCAGGTTCTTCGCAGCTGGGTCTTGGACCTGTACCCGATCCGTCGCCACAATTTCTCCATCTTTCACATCCTCATCATTTTCCTGTTCAACAATTGATATGGGGAGAATCTCTTGGTGCGTTAGTGATAGTGTGGACTTGGGTGCCGTTATGTCTGCAGTTGAGGACACATCAGCAGTTTCTACTTTCGGATCTGATTCGATCAGGCTCTGCTGAGGTGAAACTTTTTCGGGTGACGTCTCCTTTCTTTCAACGCCTCGCTTCTCTTTCGCAGGCGTTTTCTTCTTCCGGTCTCGGGGCACGGAATGTTCAGCATCTACTTCGCGTCTTTTCTCTTCCTCCAGCTCTGTGTGCGTCACGTCTCTTGGTGGATATGTTTGGAATGAATCAAGAGTTGATAGTTCCGTAAGACGTACAACTTCTGACTGTTCGACGGATACAATTCCCTCTCTCTGTTGGGCAGGCTGAGAGGAAAGCGAGACGACGCTGATTGATTCTTGATTCTCCAGAGACGGTTTGGGCGGAACAATTGGACTCATCACCACTTTTTCCTCTTCGCGATCATATTTTGGGCTCACTTCCGGTTGAGGTATTATGTCTTCTGAGCTCTTGTCTGGTTTTGCAACTTCTTTCGTCTTTGCTTGTTCCAACGAGTTAGACACCTCGGCAATGTGTTCAATGAGTTCGGGCGTGATCGTAGTGAGTACAGGTTCCAAGCTCGACAAAACGTCAAATCGGGTTGTCTCTTCGATGAAGGGATGATCCTTCACCATATTTCGGAAGGAGTGGATTGGCAGCAACGCCTCGTCCAGTTGATCCTTAAGTTCCTCGACTGCTTTCACCCGATCTGCTGGCGAAATAGAAGACGATGGTTCTTCCAATCTCACGAGTGTCATTCGAATCGTTTCCACAATTTCAGTTATTGTTTCCATAATGTAAACAATTTCTTGTATCACATTGAGATTGTCCTCACGTCGTAACGCGTCTTCCAATCTGACCAGTCCATCCTTGGAGTTCTGTGTTAGAGTGGAAACGTCCTTGCTGTCCTCGGGTGACATTACAAGGCTAAAAGGTGGCTGACCTGAGGCTTTTCTCCACTTTTGTCCCTCAATTTGTTTGAGTTTGTTCATCACCTTGTTCAGTTTGGACTTTAGTTCAAGCTCTTGTGGAGAGGGTTCGAGAATCTCCACGACTGAGACCACGGGTGGCAGTTCTTCCTCCACATCTTGCTTGATTTTGTCACGCTTGGACTTGCGAATGCGGTGCGTTTTTTGTGGTTCAACTTCTTGTTGGGCTGATGGCGCTGCAGGTGGTAATTCTTCTTGTTGCTCTTTCTCGCCTTCTTGGGGGCTGATTTTTGTCTCTAAGTCGCTCAAAGTAGTTTTCTGATGGTCCATCGGTTCTTCCTTCTCAACAATTTGTGTCTTCTGCTCTAACATTGTGGTTTCTTCGGATAAACGTGACGCTTCTGGTGGGGCAATTTCGAGTTGGGTCACTTTTACCTTTGTTACTCCGTTTTCTGTTTCTAGATCGGTGTGTGTCGCTTTACTAGATGAAGATGTTTGGAATGAATCGGAAGTTAATGGTTCCGTAAGACATGCAGCTTGTGACTGGTCGTCGGAAACAATTTCCCCTGTCTGTTGAATAGGCTGAGAGGAAGGTGGGACGCCGCCGAGGACGCTGAATTCTTGATTCTCAAGGGACGGATCGAATGGAGTCACCACTACTTTCTCCTCTTTGTTATCCGTTGGGCTGACTTCCGGCTGAGGTGTTAGGTCATCAAAAGCTTGCTCTGGTTTTGCAACCAATTTTGACCTTGCCAACTCTCCTTCCCTGAGCGAGTTTGATGCCGCGGTGATGTGTTCAATGAGTTCGGGCGTGATCGTAGTGAGTACCGGCTCAAGGCTAGACAAGACGTCCGATCGGGTTGTCCCATCGATGAAGGGATGTTCTGCCACCATGTTTCGGAAGGAGTGAATTGGCAGCAACGCCTCATTCAGCTGACCTTTAAGCTCCTCGACTGCTTTCACCCGGTCGGCTGGCGAAATTGAAGTGGACGGTTCTTCCAATCTCACGAGTGTCATTCGAATCGTTTCCACAATTTCAGTTATTGTTTCCATAATGTAAACAATTTCTTGGATCACAGTGAGATTGTCCTCACATCGTAACGCGTCTTCCAACCTTACCAATCCATCCTTGGTGTTCTGGATTAGGGTCGAAACGTCCTTCTCACGTACAACTCCGAGATCTTTCTCTGACTTTGACCCCGGCGGTTGTGGAGTTATGTGCGAATCGACAACGGTGGAATAAACGTCTGACGATGAAATCAAGTCCTCCACCGGGTGTAAAGACGCTCTCGGTTTGTCACCCGCTTCCTTTGAATCCTCCACAAATCCTTTTGCCACATCCGGTGAGGCGGGGGTCTCGGTTGGAACTCCTCTGGTGGGTGCTTCTGGAATTGTTGTTTGACATGGCTCCAGACTCCCCACAGGCGCCACCGTTTCCACAAACTCAGGTTCTGTTGCGGTGAATGTCACTGATTCTGAAATGAGCTGACAAGTGTCTCCAATTATCGCTGTCTGGGGACCCACTGGTTCCTTCACTTCAATTTCATCCCCCTTTCTCGGTTTACTCATGGTTTCAGCTGAAGTCACATCTACCAGGTCTACTAAATCTGGTATTGGGATTGGTTCTTTAGATTCGGATGGCTCTGAAGTCATGGGTGGGATTGAGTGTGGTTTAGGCAGTGAGTCGACTGTCGTTGGCTCCACCACCGAAAACTGATCCCCTTCAAAAGTGACTGCCGCATCTTCCTCCGATCGTGTACCATCCGAAACCAGCAAACTTTCATCTTGCTTGAGTTCTACAGGTTTGTCAACAACAGTTGATACTTTCAGGTCGTGGGGTTGTAGAGTTTCTTGAGTAATCAGCGAGGGAGGTTCGGACGTGCATGTGTCGACAATTGGCTGATCGATTACGTTGATGGATTCAGGGATGTCACTCATCTTGGTGGTTTCCGCTTTTGCAGACAGGTCTGTCTTGCTTGCTTTCCTTTTGGGAGTAGGACTCGGAGACTTGCGTTCTTCTTGTGACACGTGGACACTCAAAACCACGTCGATTGCTGCATCGTCCGTGAGGGTACCAATTCCACTCTCGGTCTGAGATGACGACGAGAAATCTTCCAGGTTTTGGACAAAGGGTTTATCATCTGCGAATTCTGCAGCCATTGGCGGTGTGTCAGTTTTGGGGACAGAATGCTTTGACTCGCTTGGATCGAGTGCGGGGACTGAGGTAACTTCTCTAGTTTTCTCTTCCTCTTTCTCCTTCCTCTTGCCTCCCTTTTTCGCCTTCTTCTTGCTTTCCTTTGAATCCTGTTTGTCGGAAGGTGCATGTTCTTCCACTTTAATTGTCTCTTTAATTTGACTCACTTGCTCAGGAACAGTTGTTGATTGTACAACCTCAATCGAAGAAACAAGGGTTGATTGAACTGGTTCCTTCAATTGCTCAGACTCAAGTTTGCATTCCTCTGCTTTCTCTTGAACCAGCTCCTCCGTATCCGCCTCTTCGTGTTTGGACGGAATGGGCTTTTCGGGTTCAAACTCTTCTCTTCGTGTTCCTTCTTCAGGTTTTGGAATCTGTGTCGCCACCAGTTCTGCTGCAACACTGTGAATGACTTTCTCCGGTACAGTTTGTGACACTTGTGACGGGGTCTCCTCTGGAGTTTTATTGTCTAGTTCAACTGGGAATGAATACTGTTCCGTTTTCTGTGGAGATGTGATCACTGTGGTTTCTAAATGTAACTCATCCGAAGTGATTACCTTCTCGGGGGAAAGTTCTTGGGTCGGAATTTGTGACTCGTGGGTTACAAAATGCGGTTCAGATGATGTGGAATCTATCTTTGTGGATTTAGATGTCGATTCATGCTTTACGGTGTCAGCTTCTATGTGTTTTTGTTCAGTTTTCGAATCTTGAGTTGGTGGAAAAGATTTTCTCTTTCCAAGACTATGAACCGAGTCAGGCGAGTCGTCACTTTTCTCCTGCTTTTTCTTCTCTGGATATTGTTCAACTGGTGGTGCGACTACACTCTTCTGCTGCTTGGAAATCTCAGTCTCAATCGGTGAATGTGGAGCAATCACGGGTGGAGTGACCCCATCTTTGACAAGCAGTGACTGCTGCACTAACTCTTCCACTTGTGACCTAAAAATGGCGACATTAAGGAATGGACTAATGTAAATAAGCTCTGATATCTTCAATTTTTCTGCCTTTGGATGATGTCACATTTGATAAATTCAACAACAGAACTGAAAAATCTTACTTCTCGTTCAAAGTTTATCATGGGAAAAAGTGAGAAAGTGCAATTGCTACTGAATGATTTTGACTAAACCCGTTCCGACTCTGTAAAATGTAGCAGTTGAGATTATGAAAGTATTTTACCTGGAAAGGATGGGGCCTACGGAAGACTCGAGACTTTCCCTCACCGCCTCCTCCACTTCTTGCGGAATGTCTGGAATGTCCTCGGGCATGGGAGTTGCGCCCCCTCGTGGCGTGTAAGAGTCGGTAATCTCAGTGATGACCACACCCGGCGAGGTTGGTGGGAAGTCGCCGCCCCCTCCTTGCACTGCAGATGAAGACGATGAGTAGTCAACAATGGGGCCACTCGTCAGCTCCGCAGTCTGTTCGTCAACCTCGTCCGGCTCATCAATTATCTCCTCCGTCACGATCTCCTCCCCGTTTACGATGACTACTTTTCTAATTATTCGGCGTCGTTTTCGGATAACTCGTCGTGTAACTTGTTTCGTTACCTGTAGGTGCATGAGATGTGTTATATGTAGCGAGGGATGATGACAACGAGTATTGCATAGTAATTAATGTATCTACTTTACCTGTCGCACCCTCACAGTGAGGCTGTCCCCATCGTCAGGGGTTATGAGTCGTCTGCTCTGTGTGGGCGAGTGGACCAATTCCTTCGTCTCCTGGGACATTCCAGCTGGCAGTGCGAAGATTGGGATTTCTTCGACAAGGTCCGGAGTTAGGGCACGCTGGTCCTCACCACTTGATGCCATCGTCATGGATGATATTGAACTGGTGCTCGTCTCCATACCAGACGTACTGCTGGACACTTGGACAGATTGGGTCATTTCTCTCCGCTGATTGACGACTACGGTGCGCTGCATGTTGGTCAGATAGTTGGACCCATCCGGACCCGTCACAAAGCTCATGGTTTCTGAAGACGAATAAAAAACAATGGGATGAGTGCAAGATATCCAATTTGCGAATTGAGCATATGCCACAAGATATGTAAATGCTTACCTTGTGGTGGAATGGTGTATGTGGACTCCTCCACCGTCTTGAAGAAGGAATTCCCGGAATCATCGTCCCCTTGTTCAGCAGCAGCAAAAGCCAGCTTCCCGTCCTTGTCCTCCATTTGACAGATGTCTAGCTCTAGGTTCGCAGGTCGATTCTGATCCTCAGTTCCTCCTCCTCTTGCCTCTGAAGGGCTGCCCTCCACATTGATTGCAGCCACCAAGGTTCCTCTCACTGTGATCTGCTCAACGTCGTCGTCCTCGGTGTTGAGCGTGGTGTCATGAGTGTCCACATCATCATGCAACACCTCCGGCAATGGCACTGTTGTAACTGTCGTAACAGATTTAACACACACTGTAAACACTGACATTCCTCGTCGGATAATTGGAACATAATCCGGAAAACGTATCACGCGAGAGATCAGAGATCGAGTAAAAAAGGAAGAGAAGATTTAATACCCCGTGGTGATGGTGGTGCTAGCGTGCTGCTTCCACCGTCAGCTCTCTGCTTATCGTCATCACCAGTCGTCTCCGTTCTGGCAACCGGGCACTCTTTCCTCTCCAACTGGGTCTGACGAAGAAAAATGAAAGTGTGAAAATGAGCCAATTATAAAATTACAAATGAAACACCATCACGCGAGATAGGATTAAAAGACGAAAGGAAAAGGTAGGTCGAGGTCGCTGCATAAAACTCACGAAGTAGTAGTGTCGTCGTCGGTATCGCTTATTCTGAAATATTGGATTGGAGTGGGAGCCAGGCCGCTAACTAGTCAGCCATGCATTCATAAAACAACAAGACACGACAACATTTTAACGGTGCAAGTAAATGGCCAAGTTTCTCGAGCGTACCAACAAGCCGTGGTACGTATGCATATGGGAGGTGACGCTAATGGCTCGTTCAGCCTGTCAACGTCTATACCCCAAAACTGCTCAGGTTGGTCGTTGTGTAATATCCACTTGGCAGTGGTACACTCACTGCTATATTTAGCCCGGCGTGTGACCTTCACTTTTCCACTTCTTGCTTGCATCATCTTCATAATAAGATGGATGCAGTGGTGGAGAATGCCGTGCGGAAATGCTGCCAAAGATGTGGTCTTGTTGTTGTTTCACGAATATGCAGACCAGACCGCACAAGGCTGGCCGGCCAGAGAAGAGAGAGAAGCACATTAATAAGCAGGATCATGAAATGCGTGGGAGGATTACCGGATTATCACGATGAGCCAACAAGTTTAACTTTTTATTATTATTGCTATTATTATTATAATCATCATTCGTATGTGTCATCAAGTGGATGTACAATTACAAGTATTGGGAGGATTGGAGGATAGCAGGAGAAGCAAGGTCTACTGCATAGTCAATACACGACGACGATGACGACGACGACACTACAAGTGCTGGGAGGACTACTAGGACCTCTGCCCTTTGGTGTTGCACGTGGTGGCTTGATGCCTCCGAAGGTGGAGGAGGGCGATGGCAGGACCGGCCCCGAAAGTGAGACGGCCTCCCATCATCCGCTTACTCTCCGTGGATCGTGTTACCTTGGCTGACTCGTTCAACCGACGCGTCTCCTCTGTCACGATGACCAACCGTTTCTCCACCTCCCCCAGCGACCGTACAAGCCCCGCCACGGCTTCGTCCGACGATGGCAGTGAGGCCAGAATTTCTCCCAGAGAACGGGACGCACCCTCCAAGTCCTTTAAACCACCGAGCAGCTCCTGTGAGTGAACAAGGCAATGGTCAGACAGACTTTGTGTGGGGGAGTAACTGCGTACGGGGAATATGTCTGAAGTAGTCTGTACCCAGGTTCGTTCTACAGTGTCGGTGAGACTGGCGGAGGACAACGTGCCCAGGGTGGCGATTGCAGCGTCCACAGCTTGACCTAGCACTGCGACATCTTCTAAAGCAGACTCCTATGTAAAGAATTGAGAGAGAAGCGTATGAAATATGGTCCATCCGTCGCACATTTCAACCTCCAATGCGTTCGTGCCAGGTGATACAGACCAGGCCAAAATCGACAATTGGCTTATTGTTGGTATTGCTTGTTGTGAACAAATTAAACTTGGTCCGATCGAAATCTGATCAAGTGCATCACCTGTCACCATCGCATTGTTGGTGATTAATATATTGATGGCATAGGGAGAGATTTTATACAGCTCAGCAACGACACACTTCAATCACGAACACATAGTAAATATTGCATTATTATCTGTGATGCACATTAATTACACATAATAAAATATGTATGATTATCATATACCACACAATATGAGTTATGCGATGGTTTATTTATTATGCAGGTGCTGTTAAGTTTGCTAAACCAAATACGTGACACGACAAATTAATTATGACGCATACTTTAATTAATGCACAAACTCACGATCTATTAGTCTGGTCAGAGTTGATTAGTTTGGATGCAAGTACAGTACAATTAATGAACACGAGGAAAGCATTGGACGAGTTATTGAACGACACAGTATTCATTGATTGATAGTCACTGCCAATCTGTTAGCCACACAAAATGCAGAGAGACAAGACAACAAGTAGTGGGTGGGGATGAGGGGACACTCTCTCTGTCACCTTGATTTTGCACAAGTTGGCTTGCATGGCGGGTGTCGGAGGGCTGTGGCACACGAGTCCATCGCCCCCACTCAAAGACGTGCTCCAGTCCGCCCAGTTGAGAGAAGGCAGACCTGCACAAAGCAATTCCGTCACGGGACCCTTTCTGCCACCCCCACTGCTACCACCACCGGTCGAAGGAGGTTGCTGGTCTGAACCTGGGGGTTTTTTAGGGCAAGTACCACTACCCCCACCACCACCGCTTTCTTTCTTCCCCTGCTTGCCCTCCTCCTCGTGGGCCTGTAATCTCCTCCTCTCGCTCCCTTCTCTGAATTCTCGCTCATAGTCGTTGTAGAGGAGAATGAGGTGAATTAGGGACGAGGACAAGTAGTCGTGCTCATCTCGACGACCATCGTCACCTCCTTCATTCGTTGTGGTAGGTCCTGGCGTGATGATGCTTTTCGTCAACTGTTCCATCTGGGCCGTAACCTCCTTTGCTGCCTCAGCCAAGGTTTGTGGCTTGATAGAGGCAGCCCCCGCCTTGTTCTTCTTATCCTTATCTTCTGCTTGGTCCTTAAGAACAATCGGGGTGGTAGTGTTTTCGTCCTTCGACTCTGTCTTTCCAGATTTAGAGGACTTGAGAGCTACGTACTCTTGCCACAAGGTTTCGGCGGATGAGCAGTCCAGATAGTTGGTCGGAGTGTCTACATTTTCCGAGTGAATGGCAGAGAGAAATGCAGTGGTAAACAAAGCCCCCTCTTCCCCCGCACGGCTCACTGCCTTTTCCTCCGGTTCCTTGTGTAATTCTTTCTTGGTGGGTTCTTTATTTTTACTCGTTCGCGTGGGCTGGAGAATTGTCTTGGCCTTCTTCTTGATATCTGAGCCAGTAGGAGGAGGACTGTCGTGGCGAACAACTTGTTCCACTTCCAGGTTGAGAAGTGATTCCATGTCTTCCACTGCGAGGGTGAGTTTAGGCTCTTCCTCGTCCAAGATGTTTGTCCAGCTATCTCCCGTAGAATCGGATCTGCCGTCCACCTCTGTCTCCAACAACGGAGGAGGTACGAGTGGAGGCAGCAGGTTGTCGTCTACAAATAACGCAGCCTTTGTCTCCTTTTCGGCTACGACGACGACAATGGTCTCTTCTTTTTTCTCACTATTTGTGTCTCTGATTTCAGCAGCATCTTTTCCCACAACAATCGGTTCCAACGGCGGAACGTCGTTGTCGCCAACTTCTTCTTCCTTGTTGCTGTTTGGAGGTTTGTTCTTCTTTTTGGATTTGACAAGTGTAAACTCATCATCTCCCCTCTCGAAGGGCGGCAGTGGTGACGGGGAGCGAGGGGGCGGGTCGCTGTCCCACATCAACGGAGACTGTGCAAGACCACCACTGGTTTTGGATGTCACGGAGCGTTTCTTTTTCTTCTTGTGCTTCATACCCCCAGAATGTGACGAGGGGGCAGAGGAGCTGTTCTCGTCGGAGGCCGTGTCAATGTCTCCATCTGCTGAAGGCGACAGAGCAATGGCTGGGGCGACAGAAATGGGGGTGACGTTGCTATTTGTCGGAGAGTACTTGACTACTTCCGGTGTCTCTTTGAAACGAACTCGCTTCTCTTCTGAGGACGAATCCTCCTCCGACGCCTTCTTCATGAGCTTTCCCGTCTTGGCAGATCGTCCCGTTTTGGGAGATCCAGATTTGTGAGGTTGGGAATCATCCACAACAGCCGTTCGTTGTTCGTCTTGTTGCTGTTGGTGCTTCAGCTGGAGATTTAGCAGCTGCTGGGAGGCCATAAATTCGTCCGAGGGGCCCACTGAAGTCAGATCCACGTCCGAGTCGTCTGGAGGCGGAGATTTTGGTGTGGGCAAAGTGGCAGCCGCGACGCCAGGAGTCTGTTCTACCGTTCGATTGGTAGAAAGTGGTAACTGTGTAGTACTCGACTGGGTGGTTGTGGTGGTCGTGCTGACGACAGCTTCAGGTCCTAATTCCCCAAGCAAACTCTGCTTATCCTTATTACCAGGAGCAGGTAGTGCTTCTGTGGGAGATTGGATTGCCTTCACTGTCGGTGGTTCCGGTTCAGAGGACTTTCTCCCCGCTCCACGTCGCTTCCCCTTCGTCGCTTCCACTTTCACCTCCTGGCCAATTGGCAATTCGCTTACTTCTTCACTTTCCGATTTTTGGTTTGGTCGCTTGCCTTGTTTGGAGACTGGACGATTGGAACTAAGGTTCGTCTGGTCAACTTTCGGTGGTCGTTCAGAAATTATGACCACGGGGGGAGAATCTAGTTCCACGACGGAATTGGGCTCGATTTGTTGAGCTGGCTTTTCTGCCGGGATTTGTGATTCTTCGCTTTCTGACTTTTTCTTGTTTCTCCTTTTCTGTGACCCTTGTCGATTAGGAGTAATGGGTGCTGGGGAAGCTTCTAACGCTGCTTGGGCTGGGGGTGGTAAAATTTCAGGTTCGGGTGTGGCAACGGATGCAGGAACAGTTTTCACTGCAGACTCGACCACAACAACATCAACTTTTACTGGTTCTTGTGGGACCGGTGGTGGTGACGGTACTTGAGGTTCGTCGACCACTTTCACTTCTTCGCTTTCTGACTTTTTCTTATTCCTCTTTTTCTGCGACCCTGGTCGATTAGGAGATATCTGTGCAGCCTCCAGCGCTACCGAGGCTACTGGCAAAATTTCAGAATCGGGTGTCGTAGCTGCTGCAGTTTTCACGATAGACTCAACATCAACAACGTCAACTTTAGGTGACTCCTGTGGGGCCAGTGGTGGTGACGGCAGTACTGAATGTTCGTCGACCACTTTTACTTCTTCACTTTCTGACTTTTTCTTGTTCCTCCTGCCTTTTGTTTGCGACCCGGGACGATTTTCAATAACGGGGTCTGGTATAGCCTTCGAAGACAAACTTTCAGAATTGGGTGTGGTAACTCCCGCGGTTGCTAGAGCAGGCACGACCTCATCAGGTGTAGCTATTTCTTGTGCGACCAGTGGTGGGATTTCCTTTACTGCTGCGGGAGCTTCGGGTACTTTTATCTCCTCGCTT